GTTTCTGCCTCCATCCCATGTCCGTTGGGCGGATGGGGTTGTGGTTCTTGCATGGTGGGACTGGGCACCCAGGGCGCACGCAGGTGGACAGCTGCAGGTGCAAGAGCAAAGATGCAGATGGAGATGCAGTCGCCGTTGCTGTTCCATGCTTGCTTGCCTAAGACTGTACCTGGGTATTCAGTTCCCAGTCTTTCTTACCTCACCTTGCCTCGCAGCTGTACTGAGGCAGGTGCGCGATGCGTGGGCAATGCCCGCGGGCCCCAATTTGGAAAGGAGACATGTGGCTGCCGTTCTTTCCTTCTCCTATTCTCTGCGTTCTTCCTTCCTTTCCCATGCCGCGCCATGCCTTCCCTGCCGTTTCCTTTTCAACACATCCCACAGCGTGCCACAACGTGCCTGCCATCATCCATGCCGTTGCTCCCCGGTCTTTTACCTCCTTCCAACACCGCGCCGGCTTCGTCTCATCCCTACCTAGGTTCCCATCGCTCCCTCCCATCGCTCCCCTCGCAGCTTCACATTCAAGGTACTAAGTACCTTATGTGGTGGTCACTGCGTCATCGACTTACAATGTAGCTTGAGTGACTAGTCTCCCTTTTGGGGTCACTTCACAATTCACTTGCTCTTGTTGCGCCTGCATGCTTCAACCTCGACACTGCTGCTCTCAAAATCGGTCAATACTCTAGGCCCAATTGAAAATTTCTAGGTTGCTACAAGTGTCAATGGGATGAAAGAGGATATCTCTAGGCAAGCAAAAGTCCCCACTCCAGGTCCCTCGTTCCCCACAGCTATGAGCTCTCCGACTCCGATGTCAAACTTTGACTTTGCCTGTATCTCACAGCTTCAACCACCTTAGCTCTTACTGCGCGCTCCTTGCTCGATGCCGCAGGCCTGCAAGCCTGCAATCCTGGTTCAAAGGCGACGGCCCCGCGCTGGCCCAACTTCCAAGACGAGACCATGAAGCACCGCCGCACTCTAGCACTGGAATGCATGCAGGTGCCATACCATTGAGGAATCCATCCTGCATCCAGTCTCCCGTCTGTAACTCAAGACTCCTTCTTTTATCTCTCAACACTACCACAGTACTCGACCCATCCACTTTGCCCACCTTCTCTCGACTTCTCCTGCATTACGGCCTGTCCCTGTCAATCCAGGGCAGGCCACTATGCACTTCATCAAGAAGAATCGTCTTACACGCACTAGACTTTCCAGTCCGCGCAAGCAATGAGGGGTCGTTGAATGTTGCGACATTCCTTCTCTTTTCAAGTGCATATATCGGAATCGACACCCAACGATAGAGTCCCGAAGCATCCGTTACGACCCTCTTAGCTCCCCAGTGACCAAAAACTCTACAATCTCAGATAGTACGGGCTTTACAAGGCCTCTCGGCACCAGAGAGCTTCAAATAGAGTGCAGCAAGGTCCACGAAAGATCTGCAGGTCAAGTACGGCCATTGACCGAGGCCCGGAGCCGAGACAATGACCAGGGACGCCGCGCACCAACTGAACTCCCGGTCTAGCCATCGCAACGTCGCAACCGTTCCCAAACTTCCGCTTCCATGTCAGCCAACCATTCCAGTGCCCCGTCTTGGATATGCGCGGTCGACTGCCTCACTTAAGCCCACCCGCGGCAAACCAACGTCGCCATGGGAAACACAGCCCGTGGTCGATATTTCGCCAATCATGGCGTCGAATTCCTCGTCTAATTCGTCACCTCGGCTCGCGAGGAGGATGGTGAAAATTCTCCCCTCTCCAAATAGCCTGATTTCACCTACCGACGAGCGAGCATGCGCCCCTGCATCTTGGACCTGAGAACCGACTGGTGGGATTCCGGGGTCCCCAGGAAGCTAGCCGCAGATGCGAGGGTAGACGTCTCGCTGCTCGCGCGCCCCTCCCATACAAGTCCGAGTTCCTGTTCCCGTTGCAGCCAAGGGCATCACTACCTTACGGCGTAGCGTATTAACCCCATGACGTTGGCGAAGAATTCGGAATACTGGACTCTTGTGAAGTCATGCATCGTTTGGATCTTGACGCCTTTCCTGTCGTCCTCTGGACGGTACATCCGACTTGATCTCCTGCTTTGGTAGCTGACCCGAATCCGGCATGTGTGACTGAAGATGCAGCGACCGATCGTCGACCATGCCCTCGGGCCGCGTCGTTTTCGTCAACACGTCACTCCCGCTGCCTATGGTCGCCCAGATCGTCAGCTCCTACAGACCTTGCAGACCAGGTCAATCCCGAGATTGTCGAACCCCCAGGTCCACTCCTATCCCCTCCCTATCTCCGATTTGGTGGCTTCCAAGGAATGGTCTTTGTAAACCGGAGAACCGGTCTGCTGGGTTCTATAGTCGGCAAGCGGTGTCTAGCCCCTAGTCTATTCCACATCTCCAACGGGAGCTGTCAACTTCGCTTCCTGGAACATGGCCTGCCCCTATTCCCCAGTCTCGGTCATTGCAGTATTATTTATGGAGCATATTCAATGACTCTGGTACGATTCTTGTCAGCTCCGACGTTCTCAGATACGCCAGTAGCTAGGTACGCCGAAACACCTCTAATCATACCCCTTAAAAAGATATCTTCAAAGGTGTACGGACCGTAAACGAGGAAACTCTCGACACCCTGACGCCCAGGCCACGTCTCCGCCATCTCACCTTTCCACGTGGCCAAGATGAGATGGGCTGCACCCTTAGCACGCTAATCAATCCACCTTTGAGTTTCAGGCAGGAACTCTAAATCCTCTGGCTTCCAAGCCCGCCACGACCAAGTCAATGCGACCGTTGCTAGTCACATCTGCTAAATGCTCGACCCCCAAGTCTTCGGTTTGCGAGCCTGGGACTTCATTTCGAGAGTGATGCTATACGTTATCCTCGTCCAGTAGCCATGGGCACCCGACAACACCCCTCGATCAATCGGTGTTGCTCAGCATTTGATGCCCATAAGCAGGAGGCCTGAAGCAGACTGGCTGTCTTGCTCGTTAGGAGTCATTCTTCCTATTGTGAATGGTATCTGGCGAAGACGATTCCTTCGGATGCCGCAAGCACAGGCGCGAGAAATGCTAGGCCGATGATGCCATGGGTTTCCCAGCGACATCATGCGGAGGATCTACATCCGCATGAGCGTCATGAGTAAACCATCAGGTCCCCCACGAGATCACCAGCCGAACATGCTTCACACTGCCAAACTTTCGAACCAGTTGAGAGTGAGTGCACCTGGCTCGCCACTGCCTTGCCGCATGGCACTGACTGACCAATGTAACTACATTGGGCATTCGAGGCCTGAGCAGTCGAGTTCCGCCGCTCCGTGGCTCCGAATGCGAGGACGGCATAGTCGTGAAGTTGCCTCAATAGGACAGGTTGATGGATATAGCGGCGTATCTCATGATATGTTTTTACGTGTTCGGTAGGCACGGAGCTTCAGGTGAGCGCCTCCGTCAGTTGACGTCGCTGCCCGAGCACAAGGCCGCAACTGGCGTTGACCTAGTTCCCAAAGGCTACAAACAGGACGCGCAGCCTCGATAGACAGTCGGGAACACACGACTTGGATGCCAGCTATCGCCTTATCTGCTTGGAGACATCATCATTGCCTCGCATGGCTCACTTATTGGAGGAAACTCCCGACAAAGCAGGGTGCCGGTTGTTTGCGCGGCTGGTATGCACGTCACATGCTTGACATTCGCGAGCTCCTTGATTCGCTGCCGTCGCGGTCTGCGAGACATTCCATGGAACAGCATATTGTCCATCGGAATGCGTCTCACGCCTGCCTGAGTAATTCCGTTTCCCACGCTCCCACGCTGGGAGATCGTGCAGGTCGTCGTTATGGCCGGGCTGTGGACAGCTTTCGGAATGTTGCGCGAATGGCAAGAAACACAACGAAGGCAATGAGGGGCTGATATTATCGATGGAACAAAAGCTGTCTAGGTGGTTAACCGGCACCGTTCGAAATATCTTCTTATCGGTCCGGGTAACTACCAAGAGGAAAATTCCAGACCCATTCCTACCTTCCTCTGAACGGTTTGGTAGTTATTCCCGGTCTGCATCACGATGTATACACCATTATCATCTTTGAAGGTTGTTGTGCGCCCCCCCCCCCCCAAATACACTTCTTTACCAACCAAACAACGGGCCAGAACGAAATATGAAAACTCATCGCAGGAACCTTGCTCAAGGTAGGCCACAACCATGATCCCAGAATCAATTCGGTGGACGAAGTTTCTCTGACGAGACATTTACCCAGCACTGATTGGCCTTTTGATCGACGACCCACCGCATCCGGCATGAAAGTGCGGGCTCCCAACAGACTCTGCAGTATGGGGCTCCGCTTCCGCAACCAGCCGGGTCCACATTCACCAGGGCACGCACAACCCAGACTAACAATCATAATACCAAAATCTTTGGATAATTTTCAACAACTGGTCTGGTGGTATAGTTGGTTATCACGTCAGTCTAACACCTCGAGGAGACTCGGCTAGTCACACTGAAGGTCTCCGGTTCAAGTCCGGGCTAGATCATCACATGGGCGATTGGTTTAGTGGTATAATGACCGCTTAGCATGCGGTAGGTCCTGGGTTCGATTCCCAGATCGTCCATTCTTTTGCTCGTTGTGGTGACGTGACGGCGCTTTTTTTATGGTTGTGCGTCTATGCGACCAGGTAGATTTGGAGGGAGCGAAAGCCGGAAACAGTAGATGGTGGAGTCTCTGGCAAGTGTTTACCTGCTCTTCAACTTAAGCTGTCAATGCCGATGTCACGGACATGTTGCGGCGTGGAGTTAGGTTGCTGTTTCGATAGCATATCCACTCGGTGAAGAAAGGTCGGTAGTGGTTTTACTCCGCGATTATATATACGTGTGAGAATCGGGTTTGAGATGGTACAGTATACATCAGCGACCAGAGGATCTGCATCGAGCATATTTGGTGGTGAAAATGCATTCACGAATTGGAGATCGGTGTGGCTGCGTGAACAGCAAGCTTAGAGAGGCTCCGGATGAGTTCAGTGAGCTTTGAAACTTAGGAGGCACAGGACATAAATATCTCCTCGGCGAGGTCTCCTTGGCCCCCTTTTATCCCATCTAGTAGATGATCGATGCCTATGGTGAGAACTTCTATTACAATGCTCAGCGTCGGGATCTTGCCATGGAGTTCTACTTCGAGGTCGGGGTCTCTCTTATCCATCTCGCCCATCGCATGTCTGTCGTCGTGATTGAGAGTTTGGTCCTTGTATCCTCACAGAAACACCTACGATTTGAGACTGACAAAGCCTCGCTCTTCTTTCCTTCCTGCTGCTTCTGCTCTGATTCCATATTGCTCTGGGCTCTTGCGGAACTCCCTGCTGGCACAAGACTTGAGTCTGCTGCCATTCTGACTGCTGGGAATTTGATTTCCTCTTTCTGCCACCTGATCACGTATGCCCGGGACTGTGGTTAGATTAATTTCGGATAGCATGGTCATCTACGTGACTAGTTGTTAGTGCCATGTTGCGTGTCCACACTCACACGTGTTCGTGCAATTTTCATACGCTCTCTTACAACTTAGGTAGGCAAATATGAAGCTAAACATTCATGTATGGCCCTTTCAAGCTCAGAGGGATTTTGGGCGCGAAAGCTCTTCCGAATAATCGAGCCGATTCGATGTTCCAGACCTAATGAGGCTTTGACCACTCCTTGTAGGGTTCGTTAATATGCTTAGATGGCATTGGTTCATCCGACTTACGTTGCGTAGCTGTTGTTCCATTATTAGAGGGCAATCTTTCAAGCTCGGAATCAAGAACCCACTAACTTGGAGTTTCAATTTCGAATGTCCCAATGTGAATTGGGTACTCGGTCTCAGGAATTACCGAGAGTAGGGGTAACTTCGAAGACGTCGTCGCCGCTGTCGTGCTTGGGGCGAAACCACAGCGGGCTAGAGTACGGACCGTGGCAGTGCTCGTCGTCGTCAGTACTATTCAGACAGAATATAGGGATGAATATGAAGGATGCTCAGAGAGCATGTGATTAGAGGACGAGATTCTACTTAGATTTTACTCAATCTTGCTCGTGCTATTAGGCGCACATGGAGGGCCCTTCTACGCTTCGGTGTTCCAGTGCACATACAGCGGTTCTGCGAGCAACAAGAATGCAGAGGGGAGTAGAGTGCTCTACCCATCCGATGGTGCAACTTGAATGTGCCTTTTTAGGGTCGGTTTGGGAGCCGCTTCTAGAGCCCATTGTGGAGAATCCTCCGCGTTTCCTACTCAGCTTGCAAATAGATATAGAAGTGTATATGCTCTCCACATGCAGTCTGGGAAGTGAAGAGGAATATCCTGATGATTAGGGTGATTAATCGTATCTTTTACACTAATATGAGAGGTTTGAATGGAGAGAGGACTATGTTGCGTCCTTCCATCTCTACTTCTCGTGCGCCGGTTTCGAACTTGTTTTCCAGACCATCTTGCGGCTGCCCTTCTTCCATCTTACACCCCAGAGTCTAGGGCAGAGAAACAACTGGTAAGTGGCTGCAACCTAGCACACTTCGATTCTCCTTCAGGGTTGCTGCTAAGTCGTGTCTAGTTCAACAGTTGGGCGCCAAACTAGATGAGGTCAAAAAGATATCGGAAGTGAGCATTTCGCGAGCGGTATCATTTTCCTCATTTGTGAAGAATAAATTCCCAGTGTGGAGGGCGTTTCCACACGTATACAGGCCTTGGTCAGCCTTTAGCTACTGATCGATAGTGTCTACAATTAGAGAAATGCCCTGCTCGGCGAGCGATTTGAAAATATAATATACGATTCGTATTAAAAGGAAATGGTTCATATTTGTCTTCGGTTTTCCAACACACTATATTGGTATAGTCGATAAAGGAATCAATGGTTGACTGTGTGTTTAAACTGTTGAGAACTTGATACGCATGGGTGAACAACAGTGAGCTAGCGGGTTGCCAAAACTGAGATTTTGTCGGATTGATGTATGAGAAATAGAGGAGGGTACGATGAAACGGCGGAATCAAGCCATTTTATATCTAGAGAGATGAAAATGATGATATTCTACCCCCTAGAAGACTCTAGACGATCTCTAACCGCTTCTTTGTTCTTGTAAATCAACCCAAGTTCCACCGCGTGATTTGGTGAAGACTCGTTTCTGATGTAAAGAGAGCATGGAAAATTTGGTAAAATCCAATAAACCGACATGAATTAGAAGATCAAATGTGAATTTGAACTTATGGGTCGCGAACCAATGGAGTTCGACCTGCGTCACACTAGGACACGGGATTTACACCTCTGCTCATTTGACTGGAGCTATCGATTCTTGTTACTTGTTCCAGTCAAAATCTAGAGCCTCGAATCAGTCTATCATAATGAACAGGTTTGTTGTACGGGAAAGATTGATTGGGCTATCTTGCATCAGGCAGCCACCTCTCAATCATGTCGGTGCTCTTCATGAGGAAACCAAGCCCGAGGCTATCCGCTTAACCCCCCCATGCTCCAGAGCCAGAGCCCAGGAGCTTCCTTTTTGACTCCTTGCGTACTACTCAAGTCCCATCAGCTGATCAAGCCGCGTCATATCAGGCTTCAGCCCCAGCATAAGCCAAGATACCCAAAACCATCTCGCCGCGTGACAATATCGCATCCCCACATCTTCCAGCCATCACCAACCGCACTCTATACGACAGGTGCGCCGCGGGTAATACCGCGGCGAAAATCATGCCTGCTTGCAAGCTGGTTCAACACAATGTGGAGGCGTGGCAGAGGGGTTCGCACGACCGTGGCCGGGGCCCGCACCGGTGGAGGTTGGGCACACATCGGCCCCACATACCGACCCGGGGCCCGGATCGCCGAGATGTGGGCGTGCGCAATGGCTCCTGGTCCATTCCCTCCCGTTCTGATCGTCGCCCAGAACATAAGCAAGATGAGATTCGGGCAATAGGCATCTCTAGGCAGAAAGTCCAGACCGGTCGCCGCCACCTCCGCGTTCCCTCCTACCTCGACACCCTCCGAGGGGCTGCAGCGAACCAAAGGTGGAAGTCGCTAAGGGTGACCGCGTCCACACGACCACGCCAACATCGTCTCTTCCTTCTTCTTGAACGGTCTCCTCGTCAAACATTCCCTTTTAAGCAACTTGCAGATGGCAGACTCACTCTTCATCAGCAGGAATTGAACAACTGACGGAGATTGCTCCACGGGGTAATCACAACGTGACAGTTTCCTCCCTCCATCCCGACGCCTCTCACACTTCTTTAACCCCTGCCACTTCATCCTGCCTTAGCGGCCGGACCTCGGCTCCAGCTTACTCCTCTTCAACCTCTATCGCCCAATCCGTGCGTACCAAATAAATGTCGTCCTGTTCTTCCTCAAATCTCACTCACCTGCTCTCACCGGTCCCGTCCCGTCCCTAGACGCCGCCCCTCACCGGTGAAGCCAATCCCGCCATCCAGAGTTCGTCCTCGACGAAAAAGTTGGCCACCACCACCACCTCCACCTCCACCACCACTGCACCTCGATGACACGAATGCCCACCCCCACGAGACCCTTGGCACGATACTTTACCCATCCAGCACTTCGACCGTAGGAGTCAAAGGGCCGTGTCGGGAGCGTTAGGGAAGAGAAGAGCCGTCCCATTCCGCCGCGCCGTCGCTAGTCCTGGCGTTGGTTCATCCTGCCCATCCTTCACGACGCGTTTCCCACCTTCCCCATGTCCTCCACGTCCACTTCTGACTGGCTTCGCGCTTCACACCACACGATACAAAAATCGATAATGTCGCTGGCACGCCCTCATTCGACCGCGGCGTTTGCGTGCCACACCGGAGAAAATTTGGCCTAGAACACGTCAGAACAAGCCGACGTAGCGCGAGCGCGCCCGCGCCTTATGGCGTCTGCGCCGCAGGATAACAGGTTCTGCAGGTTCATTCACAGATATGCACTCGCAGCCTGCTGTTGCGTCTTGCATTTTTCCATCCCGAGATGCATTTCTTATCAATGGTTGCTCTCTGGTTACTGGTACAAGCATCAAGCTTCACTTCCGAGGCTGTCGCATTGTCCGTATCACTGCTCTCTATGACGATTCAACCTCTGATTCTGATCTCATCATCCTCTCCCCCACCCCTCCTTTCCCCAAAGGAAAGGATCTCTCGACATCTCGATATACCACGTATCCAACGGAGCCTCTGCCAAAGGCTGCGGAGCATTGGGGCCTTTGGGTCGCGCAGTTACCGGTATCCCGCAATCCCGTCCTCCTACACCACCGAATTACCCACATGCGCGCCCGCCGCGAGGTAAAGCAGATAAAATCTCAGGATCGCGATGTTCCAAGACTTTCAAAGTCCACCACCATCACTTCATCCCATCAGCACCAACTTGCAACTCCCACGCTTCAGTTTGGTGGTAGCCTCCACATTACCAGCCAGCTCTTTGGCAACCAATGACTGGTAGCAGGAGGTGGAGTTCCGTCCAATGAGCAAGTGTGATGCTACACCATATATACGCACTACACCCTTCGAGAATCCTGGATCACCACCATTCCCCCATAATCAACGCAACGTGGGTTGTCTCGGACGCCTCGATCATCGCAATCCAACTCCTTGTGGATGGGTGCCGTCCATCGAGCCGTCTTTCGAGATACGCTGCTTTTGCAACCTCTACAAAAGGCATGCTGCAAGGACCAGGTAGGTAGCAATGTGATCCACGTCCTCACTGCTAGCGCCGGGTACAATGGGCATTTTGCTGCGGGACCGCAAACAAGAAAATTTGATCGAGAAAAAAGGTCGCGAGACAAGGAATGCGTCCTGTTGATCCCCAAACGACGGTTCATGGGTTGATAGGTGTTGTTCAACCGCGCGACTCTTCGTACGTCTCCGTCCCCCGGCCCCCGCCTGAGCCGACGCTTCGGAGGTAGCTCCGTTATCTAGGTACCTAATGCCTCGCTTCGGCACGCTTCACACCCAGCAGCATGTTTGACAGACCAGGCTTCCTTGAATCGTAATTCCCTTGCTAAATTTGCCGTATGTAATTTGCTACTTCGCCTTACTCCCCTACTCTTTAATTTTTTGTTTTTTGGTCCCCAAGGAAAGGCCTATGCCTTTTTTTTTTTTTTTTTTTTTTAATGTGCTTCGTGAACTATTACATTCGTCTCCATTCAATCACCAACAGTGGCCTTGGAACAATCACCCATGCATGTCCCCCATATCTTCTCACGGTGGCATATATCTATCTGCCTGCCGTACTCAAGTAGTTTCACAACAAGGCAACTTCAGTTAAACCCAGAAAAGATGGGTAAGTTCTGGGAACTATTACTGTGTACCCGTCTGGCCTTCAACTTTTTGCCGAGTTGTATTTCACGTGGATCAACTGGGGTTCAAGTGGACGCACCCCCTCACCCACTGCGCGCGCCTCACGCCTCGGGACTTTTGTCCGTACGTGGCACATCAAGCTCAGCATTTCTCAGAGAGCAGCGCACCGTACTCATCCCGTACCGTGTGCATTGATCCCGGGTATGGTCCTGGTGAATTTGGTTTCCGTAGACTACCTTGGGATAGCGTCAATAGGTACGAGAGATGGATGTGTGCACACGTAGAAAGGCGGCCTTATGGGCCTCTTAAGACCCTGGTCCCGCTGACAATGTGACACCGTCCTGGTTCGTGCCTGTCAATCAGCGGGGCATGTGATTGTCCACATGCCCACCAACCGTACCTGGCCACCGGGTCGTGGAAGATCGTCACTCACTTTAACCTCAACAAGCCAATGCAGAGTGGGCCACAGAAGCAGGCATATCATCAACAAATCAAAAACTCCTTTCTTTGGCCTATGAGAATCCCATCAGGGGGTATGTTCGCTCCCACAATGTGCAAGTCAAAGACAATTCCAGTCAGTTTAAGGAAAGGGGGTAAGAGAAACCGACCGATAGAGGGGAACACAAATCAGAGAAGAAAAATTCAAACGAAACAATGTGCCCTCGAGGACCAGAACCTGGTCTGGAAAGTCCATCCTAGCTTCCTAAACCCCATTGTGTTCCGATCAAACCCATGGATGTGTAATGAGGTCCCTTCCGTCTTAATGCCGAACGATAACCCCGATGATGCGTATCCGTAAAGTTTGTGCGTAACAGCTCGATGCAACCTTGCCTCCACAAGCCATCCATCCAGTGATGGTCTCGACCTGGTCGAGTGAAAGTTCCCGAGCTGGTCAGAACTTGTCGCTGCCAGATGGTTTTCCAACGCCCGCCGCAATTCTCCCTTCTCCACTGTCCGCCCTCTGGGAGAGCGTGACTTTTATATTTCATACATGTGTGAGCGTAGTAAACGAAAGAGTTCTTCAGACTTTCATGCCGTGTTTTTGTTTTGGGTTGGCGGGTGCCGCGAGACCAACCGAATCCATTCGCTCTTTTCTGTGCTTCGGGGCATTTTCTCTTTTGGGGTGAACTCATGCAATGCTCCCAAGGCTCAATACAATGTTCCCTCTCCATACATCAATCGCTAGTCGCTGTGCCGATAAATATCCCAGTCTCTCGCGAGAACCTCGAACCCATTGCCCCAAAATCGTCAGGGCGCCACGTAAAGGCGTTGCCGAAAATTTCGAGCCTAACAACTCCATCCGTGAGTCGTTGGCGCGGGGTATTTGTTGTCCGGAGGGCATGGGACCAGATTCCCCAAAGTTCGTCTACCATAGTAAAATGTCCGTTCCACGCGCCATGCTGAATGAAAATAAAGAAACCTAAACCGGAATTGATTGTTAAAAGGAAAGCCGAGGCCAAACAATTCCTCCGCCTAATTGCAGCCTAGTACCCGAAGTCGACGCAAATTAAACGCCCACTGATGATTTGTTCCTGGACTCCGATGAGATGAGAACATGGACGAAGTAGCCGACGCGACTCCGGTGCTGGTGGCTGCGGTGGAACAACGAAATTAGGCCCATCGCAGAAGGGCGAGTGAGGATCGTGTGAGATTTGAAAGGGAAAAAAATCAAGGTAAATGATGAAATGCCGGAAGAAATCATATGCCGATGTAAATGCGTATGCGCCGAGATCATCAAACAGCGCCGTCCTCGAGGCTGTCCGAGCACCTTCTGGTTTGCCTTGTTGCCGTGTATCCGCACTTGAACACCGTAACGCCAGAACTCTCGCCATACTGCCTCTGAAAGCCAGATAGGCCTCTTCGCATACCAGCATGCCTTACCTGCCAAGCATATGTGGTGGCAGATAATTCGAGTTGTTTCCATTCATCAACGAACCGGGCCCACCAGCAGTCATAGTGCTGCTGTTGTAACCGTTCCACACGTTGTTGTTGCCGGTGACTGGAAAGCCAGCAACGGTGTAGGGCGGCGTGCCCGAGGAGCTGTTATTGTAACGCCCGGAACCAAGGCCAGGTGGCGCCGAAAGTCCTGGAGGAGGTCCGTTGGTAGTCTTGAATCCATTCGTGGACCCTGTCATCATGCCACTCATTGGAGACGTTGACTGACCTGGGGTCTGTCCTGATCTGACTCCCAGGGGGTTCTTCGAGAAGCTGAGGCGAATGCCGCCCTTTACGCTATTGTGCAGCGGATGGCCGTAGAGCTCGTGAAGAGCTTTCGTAGCGAAGGAAACATCCTCAAATTCAACGAAACACATAGGTCCGTTCTGCTTGGTCCGGAAGCAAAGCCTCTTGTAACCCCGTTGCTTGGAGAACATGGCCTTCAGCTCCTCCTCAGAGGTGTCAATGGGGAGATTGCCCACGTAGAGGGTGTTGCAAGGCGGGTTCTGATCTGCAGGGTTGACCGGCGGAAAGTTATGGCGGCCGTAAGGACCAGTTCCCATGTGAAACGCCACAGTGTGTGGGCCCCCACCGCCCATCACAGTGGGTGACATGACTGGATGTGCCGACATCGCTGCCATCCCTTGTTGACCATACTGCGGAAGCGAGGACGGGTTGGGTGTTGTGCTGGTGGTGTTAAGGGACAGGCTCGCCAGACGCGATATGGGTAGTTGTGGGGCGGTAGCTCTTCTCTGAGCCGTAGCACCGTTTTCCGCGTAGGCGACTGGATCCTTCAGCAGCTCACCGGTCTCGTCATCATCAGCGGCATCATTGTTAATCAGCGATTTCCCGGAAATGCGCGTCCGTTCCGTGAGGTGATTTCCGATGGGAGACTGAGGCGAAAAGAGGTTCTGATAGTGTGCGCTGGACTCCGGGTTGGGCAGTTCGCTGGAGCCATAGATACCGTTCAGAGGCGGCGAGATCTTCTCGAGAGATTGGAATGCGCCGTTGAATCGCGATGGCTGTCGCGAGGATGGGGCCGAAGAAGCTGCGGACGAGGCAGTACTCGACGATCCAGTCCCTCCGGCTTCGGCATATCTTCTCGACGTGGTCGGACTACCCCCAAGAATCTCAACAATCATGTTGGCGTCGTTTGAAATGTTGGATTTTCCATTTAGCATGTTCTTTGTTTCGATTGCCCCGTTCGTAGTCCTAAACTTCAAGACGGCCGAGCGGAACCCCTTGTCTTCTGATTGATCTACGGGTAGCACTTCGACGTCGACCAGCTCTTTGGACCAAACGACCATAAGGCGAAGCGATTCCTCCGAGGTGTTCAGCGGAAGGCGACGAATCAGGACAGAGGCTGCCACAGAACCCGAGTTGGAGTACGGCGTTCCGACAGGCATGGCGGCATCGCGCTCAAAGGGGTTGACGGACGAGAGGAACGGTGCCTGGGTGTTTGAGGACCTGAAGGGTTGTGATTGATGTAGAAAAGCCGGCGCAGCCATGGCAGTAATCTTTGCAGTGGTGGTTGTTGTCGTTGTTGGTGTAAAAGGAGTGTCGCGACTCGATGTCATCCCACAAGGTCGAGTGCGGCTGATGAGACTGTAGATGCGCCTGGTTCACCTTTTACTCGCCTGTCATCCGCCGGTGTTGCGGTGCATGCGCTGGCGCGTGGTGCCTGGAAATGCTTCGAAGCTGCGACACAGAGAGGGAGAAGTGCGACAGTCGCGCTGCTGTAGTGGAAACTGTTGAGGCGCGTGAACAAGAATGCGGGAAAATGGGCCAAGACGCGGTGAAATTATCGGGTGTTGATGTCGATTTTCGAATGCGCGACGGGAGAGTACAGGGCGATGAAAGAATGCAGTCAAAGGCGTAGTCGAAAAGTTTGGGGGGGGTTGGATGGGTTTTGGTAGATGAGGAAGGGATTATGGGACGTGCGGGAGGAGTTGTGGCAAGGTTATGTATCGTGCCTCAAAGTTCGGGGACGAGGAGAGAAAATGAGCAGGGTGCAAAGGTACCGCGAGGGAGTGTGGCACTATGGCAAAGAGATGGATGCAAAGGCAAGGTGTGATGGTGGGAAGTGTGTAGTGGGCGAAGTATGAAGTGTGTAAAGTGAGGGAGGACCAGGAGGTGTGCGCGCCTTGATGGTTGAGTTGAGTGAGTTGGGTTGAGTGCGGTGCGGTGCGGTACGGTGCGTCAGGATAGCATGTAGGGACGGCTGGCTGGACTACTTCGCTCCAAGGGCAAGGGGGGCCTCGGAGAGTGAGTAGAGCAAATGCTAGGCTGGTTGCGTTCGACAGTCGGGTATCCGTAGCTTCTGGGAAACCGGGACGGGGTGACTGGGACTTGGGTACCGGCGAGTGGTAGGTACGCAGCAGATGACAGGCCAGAGCAGGTCGACCTGCCGGGGCCCCTCGAAGCTTGATGGTGACAGGTACCCAATAGGACTACATCCACGGGTGGGTTGACTCGATGACCAGAGCCGAAAAACGACTAAGCCAAGGTCGACAGCACGACTACCGCGACGGGGGGTCTCTCTGGGTCCTGGTCGGCAAGGACAGAAGAAGCTGGGGCACAATCTGTTTGTGAGCCTGCGCGAATGTGTGCACAGTATGGGCAAAAGAGGGGGTGAAAAGCGGGCGGAGGTGCGGAAGGATGTTGCAGGACGGCGTCAATGTCGTGGGTTTACCGTGGGGTTTGGCAGCGCAAAGTATCGAGAATGGTGGCTTGTAGCCAAAGTCTGTTGGGTCTATACCTTGGGGAAACCCAGAGTGTTCGCTTGATGAAGGGATCAGGCGATGTGGAGGGAGATGTGAAGTAAGGTATCCGTAGTGTATCCGTACAAATGCCAAGTACTCCGTACCCGGCCAGTATCGAAAAGCCAGTGAAGCGAAGACGCTGCAGCTGGGGCGCTGGGAGGGTGTGTGAAAGCAGAGTCGGTCGGTCGCGGTGGCTGTTGGGCCTAGGGGCGTCGACGGTGGTTCTTCTCGAGGAGGTGGTCCTTGTTCGAGCTCTTTGGATTCGGGTCCAGTCCAGTCCACTGCAGTCGTGTTTGGACTTCTGGACTCGAGAAAGTGGGAGTGGAGGGATGGACGAGGGATGCTCGTGCTGTGGAGGTCTAATTGCGCCGCCGCTGGAGCACTCGGGAGGGACGTATCGTACCAATCAGAGGCTGATCGCGTAAGGTGTGAAGCGTTTGGTGTGGGCCAAGGCGATACTAAGGCACAAGTATACTTTTTGTCTACTTGGTCTGGTGGGGATGTGCAACCACCCTGACGAAGGTTCTGTGTAAGTGACTAGCCTGTCGCAGTTGTCGAGAATGCGGTACTTGTACAGGCAGCGATTGTTGCGTTATCTCTGCCTCGCCCCGAGAACCCTGTGAGCGGCCGTCGCCAGTTCAACGCTGTTTCTTTGGCGAAATGTTTGATATCGAGAGCAGTTGGCGAATTGCGTCGACGGCTTCTGTGTCTGTGCTCTTGCTGTGGCGCTCGGTTGGGGGTGTGTGCAGCGAGCGCACTTGGTATGGGGAGGGGGGGGGAATGAAGTGCGCCAGTGTTTTTCCAGGAAGACTGGGAGTCGTGGGAGCAAGCAGCACAAGAGAAGCGGGAGCAGGAGAACGTGGAGGAGGTACGTGTAGGTACCCAAGTAGCGCTTGATGAGGGTTGCGTGCTCGTGGATGTGTGTCTTTGATTGCCGTGGCAGCAGAGGCAGGCCGCGGTCGTGGCAATGGTAAGGTAAGGTTAGGTAAGGTAAGGTAGGTAGGTAGGGAAGCGGTGGTGGTGGGTGGTGGGTGGTGGGTGGTGAGTGATGATGGGTGGTGATGGTGGTTAAGGGGATCCAAGTGAGGTGGGAGACGGAATTAACCTGGGCGGGACGCAGGCTAGCGGGCGGGCGAGCGAGCGAGAGAGACAAGAGAAGGGAGGCCCCTGCCGGTACGTCTTCCTGTTAGGCTGGTTTTCTTGGTGGCACAGCCTTTAGAGGGGATAACGGCGTCAGGAGAGGGTGCGGATTGGTCCAACAAGGTGGTAGCAGTGCGACCGGGCTCAGGGGTCTTGTAGACTTTCGGCGATCGTTGGCACCGTTTGAGGGCTGGTGCTTGCCAAGAGGCGCGTGTGGTGGACGGTGGTGTCTCGCTTTGGGATATCGGCCTGTCGTCTTGCTGTCTCTGTCTTGTCTGTCTGTCTGTCTGTTGGGCGGTAAAAGGGTTGCGCGTATGCTAGGTATGTCTGTGCGTGTGTGCGTGTGTGCGTGTAAAGTGCGTGGAAACTGAAAGTGCGCGTGTGTAAGTGCGTGCGGGTCCAAGGTAGGTAGGTATCTTCTTCCCTGTCTTTGTGCGAGGTGCGTATCTGTACGAGCGCGACATATGTCTACGTCTGCCAGAGGTAACGTCGAGGGACAGGAGAAAGGGGCGGGGAAAGAAAAGGGAGTGACAGAGACCAAATTTCGGCTTCAAGTTGCTGGTTGCTTCCCACCGTAAGAACCGGGAGGGAGCAACGGAGCCTGTCCATATTTTTCGGTCAAGCGGTTCGGTTGGGCAAGGACGGGAGTGTGAGAGAACACGGTGAGAGAGAATTGGGAATCAAGTGGCCGGCTTGGTGTTGCAGCGTCGCACTTTCCTTCAAAGTTCTTCCTGCCTCCAGGCTTTGCCGTGTTGGTGGGAAGGTACTAAGGTAGATAGGTAGTGCTCCTACCCTGCTCATACCAACACCACTTCACTGCGTGGTGCCTTCCTGCCCTCGCCAATCTGAGTTCGAGGCAGCAACGACAGGGTGGAGTCGGCCTTTTCGAAACAGGAAAAGAAGCAACAACGCAGATTGCAGCAGATTCACCTCACCTTACGGTGCTTACTTCCTCACCTCCCTGCTCGACTTGCAGGACAAGTTCCCGTCCCTCAAGCACCATGGAGTAGAATGTCCGTACCTTAGCCGGTATGGGAAGCAGCCCGGTGGAAAGACGGCATTGGACGGGCTTCGTCTTCTGCACTGTACAAGAGTCGTAATCTGCAACACTGCTCACATGTCTCTGCGGATACTCAAGCACCAGGTCAGGTTCCTCGCATTACCTACCTCGACCGACCTGCATCTGCTTCCCAGTATCCGTAAGCTTTGGGGTTTTCTTTTTCTTTTTGCTGCTTGCGTCAAGCAAGAGTCGGCCGAGGCACGGTTGTGGATGCACGTGGAAGACAAGGTGAATATGATCAACGACACTCCTTGCTCCTGGACGACCTAGCTACACGACGACGATTGATAGTGATACTGTGAAGATGCTCGATGCGCTTCGCTGCCATGCAAATGCCGGCGCACGCATCACGAATATCGTACCTGAAGAACCAAAGCAAGAGTTAACAAAAGCTCTAGCTCATTACACAGTACCGAATCCGCTCAGCACCAGCAGGCCAGCAGCAGGCCAGCATGGCCAGCTGTATCGTAAGCTGCCGCCGCTGAAACCCGGGAGGATTGGAGACGGGGTCATTGCATGGAGCTAGACAAGCGTGTGCCTCGCCCTCGATCCGCGTTTGCAACCGCTCGGGAGGACGGCCTCAAATGTCGGGTGGGAAACCCATGTGCTGCGCTCTGCACCTCGCGCCTCGCGCCTCTGGCTTCTGCCAACGACTTGTGCGGGACTACGAATACCTACTCCATTGTTCTGCCTTGCGTCTTTGCACGCCGGGTGTTGGACAGACAGGCACCTTGGCTCCAACAGATCTGTCGGCCCTGATCTACCACGCGAGACCACAGACCAGATGAGGCCATGTGCCCGTCACGCCGGTCAGTTGGCAGACACCCAAGCTACATAGTACATTAGCCTACGGATACCCTGTTCCAACCCGCCTATCTTGCTTTACCAGAACGGGCCCAGTACTGTATTCGTACGTAGCAGCACCCACCATTGTCGACAACACTTCCGCATTGAAGTACCTACGGATACCTGGTGTCCTTATCCATCAACCCAGCAGCATCCGGGGCGAGGAACACCGCATCCGCATCCGCGAAGCAAGGGACCAGACCAGACCCTCAAGCCCGTGCGGAGCTGCGATAGCGTGGGTTAGGACCTGGACATGGGCAGCTGCCCACACGGTTTATTCACTTTGTTTCTGTAGGGCTTTCCCTCTCCTCGGCATCCCCTCCGAGTGTCAACCTTCCTGCGACGAAGACAAAAGATGGTGTCGACACCAGCCCTGTCACGTACACTTATTCTCGATGGAACCCCTTGCTCTTGTCAACTGCGCCGCTGCATCATGGGCCGTCATCGTGCGTCCGCCGTGATAAAGTGCAATATACTCGTCGTATCGGCACATTGGTGGGGGAGAGCTGAGATCTGCGAGCTAGGTCGGCCGTGTTCGGTCACAGAGTGATACATACTGTACACCCTGCCATTCATAGTTCTCGGGACCCGACTGCCAAGATCCTTGGAGACACCGGCAATATTGGAACTTTCCTTTCCCCTCTGGTCCTTTTTTCTGCCCCGACCCGACGACATTGTGCCATTTGAGTTCTGGAGAGTCAAGTCTGTGCCGCGTCTAATCATCGTCAGCCCTCCTGCCGGTACTCAAAACATCCTTCACCCGTTCCCGCCTCACACACTCTGCATGCGCCGAGGCGCAAGCCTGCTGGTGCCATCATATGCAGATAATCAAACTTCTTGCGGCGAGAACCCCCGAAACCCTTTAGCAGACCACACATATATCTGCAGGCAAGATATATAGGGCGCACACTTTTGATACAGGTTTTATATGCAGGCGAGACTTTTCCATCTCGAGGCTCTGCTACGGCCGGAGGGTACGTGATAGCAGTCCTGCCGGGGGAAGGGGGGTTGAACGATTGAATGCCACCTGCCAATCGCGATGCTGGCCGACATTTCAAAAAGGCTGCCAATTTGCCTTTTGAGTGTGGGGGTGGTTTCGCAGCCGGCCAAGATTGAACAAGCCCAAGGGAGTCATGTTCCTATCCATCTCACTCGAGAAGACAGATATTGGTATTGCGAAACGATGGACATGAGATCGTCTGACGAGACTGGCAGGCTATGCAGATGGAGTGGTTCTGACAAGGTACGAAGACACCGTTAAGCCACCAAGTCCATGTCGAGCACGCCTCCGCATCAGGACACACATTTCGGTATTATTTCCACTCCTCTACCTGAAGGTTGCTTCTGTGAGCTACGACAGAAACGTGATTTCTTTTGCTACTTTTCTGCCTTATTCCCCTCTGGATTCTTGTTTTCTTTCGATTGCTGCATTGACAGAATCCCCCTTGCCCAGCCGACTTGCTCGTATGCACCGCTGACCGACCGATTTATGTAGACACCCAGATCGAAGATGACCCGTCTTCCACTTTGACGCTAAAGCAAGGCGACGATAGCTTATTGGATTGCCGAGCAAGCTTCGATTCCCCGGCTCTCACCACGATGCTACTCTTTACTTCATCCTCCGGCCCGGGGGTTGCCTCTGAACATGCCGGACGGAAACCAATGGATCGGTCTTTGCCCCGACACAGCTCACCCAGTCTCAACTCCGCCAATTTCCAAACATGGCTCTTCCCTGAAGTGGCAGTGCGCCTCTCATTGGGCGCCTTCGTATCCTTGTTGTTCTGCAAAGCTGCTCGCCGTTGATACTGTCCAAAGTCCGAAGTACACCACCAAACTCGTCGTCTCGCAAGCACATTCCACAAATTGACTGGCAGATGACATGCAGGCTTGTACAGGTATATAATGCATTTGAAGGTGGAAAGACCTTGAGGAGATGCATGGCGCAAGACGCACACATGCGTACTCAGATCCCTCGCCTCGCTGTGGATGATACTCAGGTTCGACGCTCGTCCCTAAGCTCCCCTTCTTGTTGGACGACATTGACGTGCGGACAATCCCCCTCCCCAGGCCACCAAAGACAGTTGACCTGTGCGACGACAGGGCCTCCCTTGCCCAATGCAGCCCTAGCGTCTTGCTTCCCTGCTGGCTCAATATCGAAGCCGCTCTCTGATCCGTGCTTATCCGTATCTGGTCAGCACGGCAGAATACGGTCTGGGGTGAGCTGTTGAAGGTAAAGACCCCTCCTGATTAGATCCTTGCGCGAAGACAGCGCTTTCTTTCGCCAGTGCTCTAGACTAGCTAGCCACTTGCATTCACCGTCATTTATTCTACCCTCACGATGAAGTCCGGATTGGAAGACACCACCGGCGTCTTAAGTAAACAAAATCAATGGGTTTTCACTATACTAGGTTGTAGGTCTCCTCCCGCGTTTGCTTGCTCGAGGGCAGGCAAATATACCTGAATACCTACACTTTGGCCCGCTCGCTCTACATATCCGTCTGGCTTGACATCAGCGCACTCCATCGACTTGCCCACCTTGATCATCAATTCTAGTAAGCATCAAAAGCATACCACTTCTAGCATTCATCAAATTACAGTGCAACTTGAGTATCTTGAACTGAATTCTTCTCCACAATACTAGCCATCAAAACCCAAGGAAGCAAACTGTTCTAGCTGCCTCGCGAGGTTAAATCCGCACCTCTCTAGACTTCAAGAGGGTTTCCCCATCCTCGAAATCTTGACCTTTCACTTTGAGGTACCCAGTATCTCTGCTTTCATGGTGTCTTCCGCTCTTCTGAGAAGAATTGCTCTGGACGCCTCTAGCTCTAATATCTGCCGACACTGTACTAGAACCAGATTACAGTGCAGAGCCTTGCTCTCTCCCTACCTTGTCTCAATGGCACTTGACGGTGTGCTGACACACCCAGTACAGTTACGCTTGGTGTTTGAGCTCTTCTCCTGGCGCGGCCCGGTCGTCACATCTGCGACCCAATGCTCTCTGCTGGCCTCTGGTTTGTCCTGCCATCCGCTCGTCATCGCATCAACAACAAGTGAGGTCGGCCCACCCCTGAAACAGTGTACAATGTAGTCGTATGAGATGACATTTTTCCACACAAAAAAAAAAACCAACGGAGAGCCAGCTTGATTTCGCCCCCTTGACAGCTACTGACAGGCGCAGAGAAAGCCATGAAGCCAGCAATACCGAAAATATCTAGCATGCTGTAGATACGAAGCTGGATAGCTTCGCGTCAGGAACAGATCAACTTACTATAGGCTCGAGAAGCGAAATCAGCCATGGAAAAGGTTCCATACCTCTTCGCCAAGTTTGTCCCTGTACTAAGGTACTCAGCATGTGCCGCTATACATTCCCGACTCCCGAGGGGCCTCGAAATGCACACCAGCAGCTCTTCGGTTGTATCGGAGCAAGAAAGGACACCCATGCTTCCGTCGGCCACTTGCGCATTTGTGGATCTCGTCTGTGTTGTCCATAGGCACAGTGTAAATGGGGGTTCACACAGCTTTCTACCCATACCACTCGAAGCTGGTTCGATCCAGATAGAGATACAGACCTAGACGACCATCACAGGCTTGCACTGCTATCTTATGTCGTTCGAAAAGCTCCCAGCTCTGCTAAAATTTTTGAAATCACTGAGCCCAGAGCGGATGTACACAGGGCAATTTACTTCCTTGAGGCTCAACTGGTATCCTGCTTTCTCGGCTCTGGGGTTACACCAAAGAACAGACTTCGCCGTTTGCTAAGCTTACGAAACGTTCGGGGAACTCCAGCCTTGCATAAGTTCACCCTTTGTGCTATTTCCTCTCAACTTAGAGTTCAAGGGCCGCGAGTTTCGACCTGTCCCTCCGCAAGTAACCTTCATCGCTTCGACAGCGGGTATTTGGCATTCTTCGCCATGGTGGCATCGACGTTTTCCTGGACAAACATCCTCGCCTGTCGACCCAATTGCGAGGAATCCTGTCGACTTGCAAGCAATCAGTTACAACGCCAATTCTCCACACTAGCACGAGCTCCAAATGACACCCAGAAGAAACCACTACCTGATTTGGCAACAATCCTGATATGTGGTCACTCCCTGTGTGACCGAGTACGTCCTTTTTCTGTAGTTATCAGCCAACCGTTGGAAAGTCAAATCACGTACAGCAGAGACGGCTTCATGCAAACTAGAATCTCATTGGTCCACAACCCTGAAAAGTACAAGCAGCGGTGCATGGAGCTACTGTACGGGTACCATGGCCAGTCACGTCCGGATGCAGAATCCTGAAACTAGCAAGGAAGACGCACTGTTGGGACGAATTCAAGCGCTCAGCGCTTGGACTATGCTGCTCGCATAGCAGAGGGCACCAGGCTCATCCTGATGTCTTTTGAGCGACACCCCCCCCCCCCCATTACGACTTGGTTTAACGGTCTGATTGCTGGCTAAGACGACATGGAAAGGATGGGAGCATGCCAGTAAGCTCCAGTTTGACTCGGTAATTCGCAACCCCATGGACACACACACCAGACCCTCCCGGCTGCTTGAAGGTGGGCTGGCCTGCCAATCGAGACATCTCTCCACTGCCGAGACCAACGACGATGTGCTGTCGACAAGTCTCCCGCTCCGGCTAAACCAGCTACCTTTCCTCGGGGCACCATCCTCGGGCCTGGGCCTTGGAGGCTCGTTCTGACATCTGTCACTTGTAATTGATCCGCAACGGCGCATCTTTTTTCTGCGGCGGGGCATTGCACACCTTAAGCCGAATGCTGGCCGTGGTACCTGTATCTCAGAGACAGATTCCCAAGCATGGCGTCTATCCAGGTCTGGATCTAGCAGCCCCGATTCCCAGCTGACACCTAGTTGGACCGTCACGTCTCTAGTGACTGGTCCCTCAAAGACGGAGCAATTTCCGTGGCTGGTGTCTCAGTTCAATTTCATTTTGCCGAAGAGATGTGGGAGTGCAACAAGTTGTGAACAGCAGCCAGCCACAACCGTCGACAAGAAAGGTCGTCATAACAGCCATTTGCCCTTCCGCTCTTTGAAATCAGATGCTTGAGGCCCACGAGACCGCACACGATGACGAAGTTTGAGCACAATCAATTGGGGGGAGAGGGGGTGGACAGAGAAGAAGCGCTAAGAATGAAAGCGGCCAAGACAGAGAGAGGATTTGAAGGTCAGAACCACCCAACAGGGAGGGTGTCTATCAGGAAGACTTCCGATACGATAGAGTCGGCTGTCCCGTCTTTCACTAGAGCGGTCTGCGGGGTTCCTGGCAAAGCTTGGCGTCGTCGATTCTCACGAATTTGCCCAGATGACTGCCGATGACGAAAGCCTACTCACTTGCATGCTACGGGATTCATCCCCTTCGTTCTACCGTCGGTTTTCCTTTCCTTTCCATTCATCTCGGCCGGGCTTCCATTGAAACATCGAATTCGAGGCGAGACCCACTCTATCTCACTCAAGAAGAATATTTACAGACGAGCCAGCTGTTGAATACCTATGGCTCGCTGATGTTTGGCGAGTGTGGTCAGACACCAAGGCTGTTTGCCTGCGTTTCCTTGGGCAGGATTGGAAGAACTGTTTCCCAAGCAAGTTAAAAAGGTTGAAGGTTTTTTGGGAACTGAAGCGAGTGGCCCCCATTATCTCTCAACTTTGGACAAGACCGGCGTTCGGGTGGCCGCAGCGCCGAGCCGCCGTCAGGCCATGGCTCGGTGGTGTTTGTTCAAACTTCACACAGAGCCGAGCCTTCATCTTTACAGACCCTGGCCGATCACAGGTCAAACCAACGCTTTCGGGTTCAGAATGATGGTGGCATGGATGCGCGAGACAACCAGAGCACCTCTGTTCCGTAATTCTGGGCCATCGCGCTTCCAACAGCCCATAGGGCTGATCGGACCACAAACCACTGCCAGACCTAAGGCATTTCGGGTGCCATGAAGCCATTGCAAAAGGCGCGTGCCTACAAATACTCTGCCCGCTCAAAGTCAAGGTCATCTGACCTCTCTTCCCTCGCCAATCAACCACTCGGGGGGGCTTCCGCATTCTTGGGCAGACAGGGTTGCCTGGCCCTCAGGAAGTCGGTGTCTTTGCTTTTTGCTGAGGCAAGCCGTCCGGAGAAATGGGCCTTTTCCTCCAGGTGGGAAGAAGGTCAAAGCAAGGGTCTTCTCCAACGAAAAACCTGTGCTCATGATAGCAAAAATGTGCCCTCCCAACCCAACCCTTTTTTTCCCCCCTTCTCTTTTGTGTTCCTTTTCCCCCCTTCCCTTTCCCTCATCCTTCTCTTTGTGTCGTTGACAAGCGTGCGAGCTGCAGCACACCAAACAACACTCATCCGAAAACCGCCGCAACGAAACGTCTTCATCCCCTTCCCTCGAGTCTAATTTTGGATCACCCCTTGAGAGACTTCACGGGCAGCAGCAACTATATGCAGGCCCCGAGACAACCGAAACGTTAGGCTAGGGGGGGGAGGGGGAAAGGTTTGGTGTCAAGGGGGTGGGTGTGTGGCAAGCTTGGCACGGAGCCCACAGAGCCCCATGCCCCTTTGCGTCTGGGGTTTATCTCCAGGGTCAGCTTTTTAAACCTCGTCCTGCTTGTGAGCTGTCGATGTGCTTAATCTTCAAGCATGTGGCTGACTGCTCAGTCCGGCCACAGGCTTCGGCCACGCCCGCTGCCCCCCTCCCCCCCCGCCGCGTACCCAATCTGCCCGTCTAGGCCAAGCGGCTCCGGCCAGAGTTGCATGCTGTTTTTGTTTCCCCTGACTCAAAGTTGATCCTGTCTAGTTCCCTCCAACGTCCCAACGGGTCGGGGGGGGCCTTTGGAAGAAGCTCCGGTACCCTGCTCCGTACTTCCCTGCCCGAATGATCTTGAACGCATGCCGGCGCCGGGGCGGGGACTCTTTTGACGAGAAGCCGCGATCATCGTCAACGACGAATGGTGCTCACTCTCTTATTTTTTTCTCTACCGCAAACGGATGCAGGGACGGAATCCTGCCAGCCGAGGCGACAAATGTCGCGGGTTTGGTAGTTCAGCCGCAGCGCGCTACGGCATACAGTGCTTACCTGGCGGCACTGACAAAATCTTACCCGACGGGCTGTAGCCGCGTCGCGTGGGCACAAAGCTCAGTCCACTTCTTTTATCGCCTCGCCTTCGCATTGCGTGGCTTGTTAGGGATACATACCTACCTAGTATCCGTATGTAATCCAAAAACCTGGCTGGTCTTTTCTCAAGAATGTGGTATTCTGATACTGCTTATTTTGTGACCATTTAGATGGTAAATTACAATCGAGACCGAACTCAACTCGTCTAGGAAGCTCCCTCTCCTCTCTTTTATTTGCTGTCCTTCGTTCACCACAGTTCCGCGCCGGGACGTTGCTCATAGACTACTGCAAGCTCCCGCATCTCAACAAAATCAAACGTCTCACAGTCGCGCATCACTCGCCCTCACCGCTCGCCCCGCCCCTCTCATCATGACAGTCGCACAGGGTTACCACAACCTCGTCCCCGTGACAAACCTCTCGCCACCAGTCGACACAACGCAGCCCTACGACCCCTCAACCCTCTCCGGCAAGACCGTCCTCGTCACCGGCGGCGCTCTCGGCCTCGGCGCGGCCTTTGCCCGCGAGTGGGCCTCTCACGGTGCCAACATCATCATCGGGGACATCAACCCGTCCGCCGGCGAGGCCCTCGTCGCCGCCCTCCGCGCCGAGAATCCAAAGGGGGGCTCGCACCACTTTGTCACCTGCGACGTCACATCCTGGGACTCGCAGGTGTCCTTCTTTAAAGAGGGCGCCCGCCTCTCGCCGAGCGGCGTCATCGACGTCGTTGTAGCCAATGCGGGCATCAACGAGCCCGGCGCCAACCAGCGCTTCGAGATGCCCGAGACCTCAAGGACGGATCTGGACGCGCCGCGCGAGCCGTCGACGAGGACCATTGACGTAAACGTCACGGGACTGTCGTACACAACGCACCTCGCCCTCTTCTGGCTGCCGCGCAACGGCGTCTCTCGCGACAGGTGTCTCGTGCTCGTCGGGTCTGTCGCTGGCGTGGGGCATTTTCCCGGTCAGGCGCCGTACACCATGTCCAAGCACGCCGTGACGGGCCTTTTTCGGGCGATGCGCGGGACGGCGTACATACGGCACGGGATCCGCTTGAACATGGTGTGTCCGTACTTTGTGAGCGGGAGCCAGATGTTCCCCGGCGTCGCGGAGGCGGTGTTGCTTGGTGGCGGGGCGGGCGGGGCGGCGTTTGGGGATGTGGTTGATGCTACTACGAGACTTGTGGCTGACGAGGGGATTGTTGGGAGGGCTCTGCTTGTTGGGCCGGGTCTTGATGCGATGGGGGCACGGGAGGAAGGCGAGGAAGGGGGGACGGTCGGTGGTGTGAAGAAGGGCAAGGTTGCGGTGTGGGATGTGTATGCGGAAGATTACAAGGACTGCGAGGCTTTTGTGTGGCGGTGGATTAGGATCATGAATACGGTTGAGTATCTTCGGGGATGGACGGGGTGGATCGGAGATGCGTTTTCGATTTTGACGAGGCCGATTCGAGGGGGAAAGTGAGTGATGTTATGCGGCACGATAGCTGCGTGCGTGCCCCATGGTGAAGGGGGGAGGCCGGACGGAGCCAACACAAGGGAGGGTAATGAGATGACATGGCTGAGAAGGAGGCAACAAGCGGATATAAGCGCCTTACCGAGATGTCAGCGGGCGTGTGAGTCTTGCAATACAACGGCCAGAGAATCGAGGACGGTGCGTGGGCACTTGTTCGATGAATTCAATCTTGCTTGCCTGACGAGCATAGAGAATCCTCGCCAACAGTCGACAAGTAAAAGATGTCAGTGAAGAGTGACTAATGGTAATCAAACAGACGTTTGTAGTGGGATGAGGTTCGACAAGAAGATAGACGGAATTATCAGTTGGGAATCTCTGATGTGTTTTATATGGAAATAAATCATGTGTCCCGCAAACATGTTTAGAATTGTGTGGTCTAGACCTCCCTCTTGGACTGGACACTTGCATCGACAACGAGGCATGAGTTCAACCTCAACAGGATAGGAAAAACGCCCCCACAACCTAGCTCACAATAGAAAACTCTACGGCAATATTCGAAACAACAAGTCGACTCTCCACGTTCTTGTCAGCCTTGTTCTAAGAAAAAGGTCGTTGTGCCATTTAAATTAACAAAACAGCAAAATGTCCTTAAAACCTAGCTTTTAGTATAGACCCTCCGATAAAGCTCTAAATAACTAGTTAACGATCGACATTCTTGCCCGCCTTGTCCTAGGCAGAACGTGATATGTCTTTTTAATTGCATAGGACCACGTTCATCAAAAAACGACTCACAGTGTGTGCTTGTGTATGTTTGTGTCGTACAAGACCTCAACGCCCTTTCGCAACATTCCTCCTCGTCGTCATCATGTTATTCGTTGGCAGCGTGAGACGAATACGGAAGGGATAATGGGCAGTGGGCAACCACCGAGCCTTTGTGCCACTTGTAAGTAGCTTTGTCTTTTATCCTTTTCTGAACCTATACTCACAGGCCTGGGGTAGCTTGTCATCAGGACCGCTGATGTACATCCTTGAGTACTTGGTGTCGTGGGGCGACCAGATTCCCGTTGCCTGAGCTCCAGAACCCAGGGCTACTATCTTGCCGGTCAGTCGGCTTCTATTGCTCTAGTAGAACCGCTTTATATTCCACCATTGGTCGGTGTTTGTTTCCCTACGAAGTGCCGCACCTTTGTGATGGCCCAAGGAGAACGTGACCTCCACTAGCTAGTCCCTGCGCTGTGCTGTTTTCGGTTGCCGAGCATGACCGAAGATGACATACTCACTTACGACCTCGCTGTTACGAACCAGGTTCTTGGAGACCTCGAGACCAGTGGCGGTCCCTGGTAAAAGTTGAGCTTTTTGAGCCCTTTTCGTGTGGAGTACAATGCCAATCGCACCACAGACTGCCCCAGCAAGCGAGACATGGATGCTGTTGCTTATTCGATCTGAGATACATGCAGCAAATACCGCACCTGTCAGAGTCAGCGAGCGCACTATGACCTCCCATATGTCCAAGTTTGGCCCTAGGGATTCTTGATATTTCTAGTACTGATCGCTCATTCTTGTTTAAGAAGTGGTATTTTGAGCACTTGAGCACAGACTCTAGGACGGGTTGCCAGCAGCAGGCGACGAAGCGACGAGGTCGGTTTCAATAACGCATATATCGATGGTGGTTCAAACAGATGGCACCGTACAAGGTGCCAAGTGATGAACCAATATGACGAAGGCGAAGGAGGCAGACGAGGGGGGCAACGCTTCAGAAATAGTAGGGATTGTATTCTTGAATTAGATTGAAGACACATTGGACTCTGCACTGATGATCCTGTACATTCTACCTGACCGCCCGAGGCTCTTGATCCTCGTAGATGAATTAAATTTTCAAAAATGGTGGAACTCGCCCAATTTACATATTCCTGGGTAGCGACCGCATTTATGAAGGGAGCCAGATGGGGCTACCACCACTCGTATCTGCGGACTGGTGATGCCGTGTAAGCCTACACCTTGAAACTTGTTTTCTAACGATGCCAATATATCACCGACCATCACGATAGAAAAAAGAAAGTAGGAGCGACCGCTATAAAATGAAGGGGGCTTTCATGTCGCCACTCTCAATAATTCTGACGATGAGATGAAGCGTTGCATGTTGTGGAACGAATAGTCTTCATCCGCTTCCACTGGGGGAGGGGCCAAGGTTCATGGCCCCCTGAAATGAAGGATCGAGGTTCACCGTCAGATCTTGGGCCTGGCTCAGATCGAACCCCGGCGTGGAGGCACCAGTCATACCATCCGGCCAGTTCATAGTCATCGTCGCCCACAGGTCATCATAGATGGGCTGTCCGTTCACCATCGCGGGCGTCCCATTCGGCGCCGGCGCAAACAGCCCATGCGTCCCGTCCCTGCTCATATCCTGGTCCCAAATGGGGAAGTACTGGTCCAGGCTTCCATCAAACATTGGACACCCGCGAATCGTCCTGGGCAGCTTGTTCACCGGCGTCTCGATATTGGCGATCCGGGCCTCGTACTTGCGCTTGACGACCGCGAAGACAACCTTGCCGGCCGACAGGACGTCCATGCTGGTCTTGGTCGCGGGCGTCAGCGTCAGCTCCTCGCTGTCGGCGCACAGCCGCGCGAGGTACGAGTCGAACTGCAGCTGCTCGCGGGCGCGGGCGTGGTCCCACTCCGGGCAGAGCGGCATGGGGAAGGAAATGCGGATGGCGAGGATGACGGCCTGGATGAAGCGGCCCCAGTCGATGGAGCTGAGCTCGACAAAGGCGGAGGAGGGGAGGTTGACCATGAAGTCGAAGAGGGTGCGGAGGAGGGTCAAGCATTTCTCGAGGCGGTGGGCTGGGATCGGGGGGCCGAGGTCGCTGTCGCCTATCTTTGCTGTGGAGCGGAGGGTGTAGATTGGTCCGGCGAGGAGGAACATTTCTGTGAATAGGTTTGCCAGTGTGAGGGAGTCTGGGCCAGGTTGGTTAGTATGAGGATACTGAGTCGCGAAAAGATTTAGGTTACACGACGTACTGATGTCACTGAGGCTGCTTGGTATCCGGCTTTGCCACTCCCTCAGCTGGCTCTCGAGCCCAAGAAACATAAAGTGAACCTGCTGCTTCGCCTGCTCTCCCTGCGGCATCGTCTTTGAGATGGCAGATGACTCCTCTGTAATGTGTACCAGCCGCGCAAGCCACGCGAGTGTATGATCCCCCTTGAGCGCGGAGTGCTGCTCAAGCAGATCGCAGCAGGCAGCCGTCCACGAGGTGTAGTCGAGGGCCAGGATCGCCATCTTGGCCCAGGCCATTGCGAATCTAGCATCGGTCAGAGTCGTACGGCGGAAGTACTGCAGGAAGGGCAGTACGTGCGCTGAGACCAGGTAGTAGCAGGACACGTAGGCACGGATGCCGTCCATTTGATCTGGCGCGAAGGACGACGCTGTCGCGGCGCTGCCATTGGCAGGCGAGCCTGCGCCTTGATGAGGTGGGTGATCTAGTTCGAGGTCGTGGAGGATCTCGGCGGCCATCCGGACGTATTGGAAGGCTTGTTTGTTCTTTGGGCGGAGGTGAAAGGGGTACCTGAATCTGATCAGAGGGGCGGTTGCTCAAGCGATGGAAAGACGGGATGCGCAGCCTACCATGCCGTGTATATGAGCAGGCCTTGAAGGAGCTCCAGCGTCCGCTCGCCGCCGGCCACAAATTTGAGGCCGAGTATCTTGCGAAACTCTTCGTCGTAGAGAGTGTGCCCCTGCAAAGCACTGGTAGCGGACGCCGTTGAGAGAATGGCGAGAAGCACAAAAGGTTTGGTCTTTGATAACGACGTGACTGTGGCGTCGGGCGGAAGTGCCACGCACGGGAAGTGCTTCAGCATGACGCGGAAAGTCGATAGCAGCTTTTCGGCCGAGTCGAGGTTGAACTGCGGTTTGAGACCGAAGCTCGCCACCGAGACGGACGGGCCCGAGGACGGTGGGGACGAGATGGCCGAGTGGGGATCACTGCCGGAACCGTCGAGGCCGAACATCATGTCTATGGATTCCATGTCGGACTCTGGTGGTAGAAACTCCTCCAAGTACTTGTCGTGCCGGGCGGCGAGATTGTCGAGGTCGTCAGCCTCTTCTACTTGGGGCATCTCAAAGTCGATACTGAAAGTCTTGGAGGGCCCCGGTGGAGGAGGTGGTCTGGGGGCGTCCTGGTTTCTGGTGTAGTGTACGTGTAAGTATGGTTGGTGAGGCGAAGAACCCCGCTGGAAAGTCGGCGAAATCATCCAACAGCAGCAGGGATTGAATTCAAAGAGGGATTCAGAGGAACTTACTGCTTAGACTGTCGCGGACGACGAGTCCTGGGCCCGGTGCGGAAGATGCATTCTCTCTTGAAATCGAGACATCTGGATTGGTTCGTGGGTTGGTGAGCGTACGGATCGACTTATACGCCGGGGCAGCTCGGGAGTATCGCCCGGGTTCAGGGTGGGCACACACAACGCACCTTCGACATGTTCCAAGCTGCACGCTGGTTTGGCACTTGACTTTGGCTGCCCTGCAAGCTTCACAAGCATTGGTCACTCTCTGTCGCGGAGTGGCGCCGGCATCAGGATCGGTGCCGGGCTCCATGATGCGTTGGCGAAGGGGGGTGACGGATCGGGTGTTTGGGGTACTTGGGTACTCGGCCCGGAAAGAAGGATATTCACAGATTGGAGCGCTGTAAATGTTTGCTGAAGAGCTTGGCAGGGAGTTCAAGAGAGAGAAAGTGACTAGAGTCCCTCCCGTTCCTGGACGAGCAGGGAGATAAAATCAAGGCCCACTGCCTACGAAGCCAGGCCAAGATAGGAGATGATGGTGGAGCGGAGAGAATGAGTGTAGTTCCTAGTCAGCTCAAAAGCTCAGCCTGCGCCTTGGATGTCTTGCAGTAGAGCCAATGAGGAGGGGGGGTTGGATGTAATTCCACGAGAACCATTAGGCTGTTGGGGACTTTCGCGGGGGAAACATGGGTGAGGAAAAGGGCGGCGAATGAGTCGACGAATCCTCCGGCAAACTTCGGATGTTAGTGATTGGCTGGTCCCTTTAGGGACTGCATGCGTCAGGCTAGGCGGCTCCGCTCTTAGGGCGGATTTTAGGGGGTCTGAAGATGCTCTACCGAACCCTCCAGCTGCGGTGTCGCGGCTTTGGGCATGGTGCTGACGATAAGTTCCGAACGACATCGGAGTGTTCGAGTGGCAGCGTGGCTTTTTGAAACGTCAACCATGAGCATTATAAAACCACAGACGGGTTTGGCTTTTTAGCATCTATGGTATTGGATTGTGAGATAGTTGTAGTAAACCAGTCTCATGGGCAAAATTCGCCTCGCGAAAAGAGCCTTGTTGTATCAAGTCTACTGGAAATATGCCTTGAAAGGAGATATGCAGATGGGCGTTTCCTTATCGCTGTACGTCTTTAACATCAGGATTGCTTCCCTTGAAAACGCGATCGAAAGCGTCGTCAAGCCGCCACACAAATTTGGAAATGTCGTTGACGTGATACTTGGTCTTCTCATCGTTGTCGTAGACCAAGTGCTCCCCTTGAGTACCAATGTCGATGCCCAGTCCCTTCCAATTCGGGATATGGACCCCTTCTCGATGAGGCTGGAAATCCGAGCTGGCGCAGCGGGATGAGCAGTACACTATACTCTGCCCAAGTTGTTCGGCGCACTCTTCGCAGATGACGGGTCCCTCGCCGCTACCGCCCATCTCCTCATCCTCCTCCTTGAGTTGGATGCACCCCTTCCCTGCCGCACAGCTATGTGCTGTTTTTACGTGTTTGTCCTGTATTACCTCTTAGCCCACGAAACGATTACCTGAACACAGTGGTAGAATGTAACTTACGTATGCCTCTTCGTAACACTTCTCCGAGTCGAAAACTGTCCTCTTTGTGAGGCTCAGCTCGGCAAAGATCAAACATAAAGGGCACGCGATGACGTCCGATGACACCTTGCCGGAGCATGCGACGCACGGCGGGAGATCGTACAGTTCCTTATTGACTTGCGGTCCCTGAGGCGGGGGCTGCTGCCGCTTCTGAGCTTTCAGGAGCTTATCCTGCTCGTGTGCTGCTTGTGCCCTCTTGAGCTCGTTCAGTGTCCGTTTGTGCCTTTCCATATTCCCGGCAGCCTGGGACCTGGCCGACTTGTCGGCCTGCATGGCTCCCATCACCTCGTCGATGGACGCTCCGGTCCGCAACTTCTCCACGTACTTGCTGCATGATGCCGGGATCTCGCCCGTGTTCGGGTCGCGGAAGAAGACGTCAATGAGGACATCGATTTCCTTCTCCGGTAGGAGGTCATCGAATTTCGGTACCAGCTCCTCGAGACTTGGTGCGTCGTTGACTCCTTTGCTGACAGCTCTTCGAACATCCCCAATGAGAGAAGCGGTGGATTTCTGCTCGTCCTCCAACGCAGCCTGGAACTCGTCCTTGCCAATCAAGGCCTCAGCGATTCGTCCCGCTACCGATTTAGGTAGTGTCTCGCGGTAGTGCCTCTGCTTTTCCTTATCGATCCGAGCCTCGATGGACTTGAGGTCTTCCGTAAAGTCTTTGAGCTTCGCAAACAGATCGTCGAGATCGCTCAGGAAGGCTTTGTTGTTGGAGAACCACTCATCCTTGGAATCGGCATATCTGCTTCTCATCGTCTCCACAACCTCCCCATAACAGTCCTTGCAGTGCGCAACGTGGGTCTTGCTGTGCTCCTCAGCGCACTTGCGCTTCAATTTTTCGACGGATTCGGCCTCATTCTTCTGCTGTTTCCGCTTGGCCTGTAATGCCCTCTGTTGGAGCTGGCTCTTGCTCATCTCAGCGCTGTCTGTTGTCGTGGTTGTCGTGGGCAACCAAAGGTGATGGGGAATAGAACAATAGAGGATTTATAACCCCAAAAAGTGACTCATGAGAAATGGTGTTAAGAAGAAGTGATGAGACGCAACATTGACTATTTGATGAAGCTCCTTTGTTTACGTATTTCTTGAGAAGAAGTCCAAGGGGAATGAGGTGGAAGTCCGTGGTCGAGGTGAAAAGGAGTGGGTCTCGAAGGTGAAGTAGCTCGAGCGTGCACGTCCCTTCCAGCTTTCCTCGGTGACCGTCTGCCGAGTTTCAGCCGGCGCATCCACGAAGTCAGCCCTGTGCATTGAAGCTTTGGGATTTTGTAAACAACCATCTGCATCCTTCGTCAGCAACATAAGACAATATGGTAAGTAGCCCTCCCCGAGGAACCCTGAGAAAGGTCTAATGACGGTCATTCGTAGGCCGACAAACTCCGAAATCAGCAAGAACTCGAGCGCCTTCAAACCAAATACGTTGGCACAGGACACCCCGATACGACGAGTTGGGAGTGGAAGACCAACATCTACCGCGACACGTACTCATCCATCGCCGGCCACCCCCCTATGCTGTCATACATGGCACTGGCCGAGAACGAGCCTACACAGCTCCTCCGCGCGAGGTTAATTAGAGTATGTTTTAGCATACCAAGTTCGTCAGGCGGTCCACGCGTTTGCTAAATGCTTGCAGAAAATGATGCAACCCGCTGGCCCACCACCACAACGCGAAGATTAATGATCAACGACAACCATCGGGGTTTGGATGGACTGAAAGATCTGATGACGAGAGGGTAACGGCGTTGAGAACACTTGTTTTGGAATCTGTAATGGAGGGCTAGACACCCTCAGAAATCCATTTGCCAGTACTGGCTGCTCATAAACGCATGCTCTCAGCATGCTTGCTACTTCTTGGGTATCCCGTTCCACCGAACCTTACTTCCTTTTCCGTGGGCCTCCTCGCTGCTTCTGCGCCGCCTAAAATCACTCAATGCGACGGCCCAGCCTCAGCCTGTGACATATCCACGTCGCCATCCGCATCTTCAGCCGGGCGAATCCCAAAGCTGGCTCCAATCTTCTTCTCCAGTTCCGCATCAGCCTGGTCGGCCCAGACAGAACGCACCATACCGGCCGCCCCTTCCACACCAATCTCCTCGAGCCCGCGCGGCCCAATGAGCCATGTGACATCCTCGCTGCCGTCCTGCGCCTGCGCCGCCGCGTTCTTCTGCACCTTGCGCACGACATAGCCCTGTGCCTGCATGCGCTTCAGCACGTCCTCTGTCTTCTCCACCGCCACGTTGGCCTCGGCGTTGAGGCGATTCAGGTGTCGCCGCAGCTTCTGCTCTGACAGCTCGCCGCCGCTGAGGAAGATGATGGTCACGATCATGGTGTAGAAGCCGACATAAGAGGCCTCGGCATCGCTGCTCGGTGCTTTTGAGGGGGCGAGGATGTTCGGGGCGCGGTATTCGGAAGGCAGTGTCGAGGATAGAACGAAGACGCCCGAGCTGGTCTTTGCTTGGGAGCCGGACTTTAATGCTGCACACTGTTAGCAGTGGTCACCAAATCATCTCGTGTCGTATTTCAAGACTTGCCTTGGCGCTTCTCCGCCATTGTGAACTTTTCCCTCACTGCTAGTTCCCGCAGCTCCATGCCCCAGACGGCGCGGAGCTGCTGTTGCGCCAGATCGAAGACTTTCCTGAAGGCTCTACCCTGATCTCCAAGCACTAAAGGGGTTGTCAGCGATTATTACAGTAATTCGACCCCACTGCAGCTCCGTACCTCGCTCCTTGATACCATCTCGACGGATAGGTGTCCGGGAAAACTCGCAGGCCAGAGCATATCGCACCAGCTTCTTGGCAAGTTGGTCTTCTGCGCTGACTGCCGCATCTACCACACCATTTTCGGAGCCTTCTTCGTCGGCCGATTCGTCGTGATTGCGCCGTTGCCTGGGATGTCTGACTTCCTCCTCTGACTCTTCGTCCTCTACCTATATGCTATTAGTCTCTAGTACGTCCCTTCGGGAATCGGCGCGGGGCCTACGGGTCGTCTTCGTCTTTGTGGGGGAGGCATTTTGGTCCTGTGAGGGTTGAACGGGCTTCAACTGGGATAATATGATTTCAAAGACTCATACGTTTGTAATTGATCACAAATAAAAAGTTGAAGTGAAGTCTGTTTACCCGAACAGGTAGCTAAAGTTCAGTAAAGCAGTCCGGGCTGACGCGACGCGGCTTTCGCGGGGCCACTTTAAGGTACCTTAGGCCCCTCGCGCTTTCTTATCTTATCTCTTATCTTATCGATACAGCTTCTGTCGCAAAAATTTGGGAGCTTTGGACTAATACACTCTTGCCTTACATTTAGACATGGTTGTATGTTCGCGAAGGCATGTGAATGCTCATTCAGCGTGATTCTGCGTTTCTTTCTCCCAAATGATTTCGCGAGCAGCTTTTGCTCGTGGTGTGTGCCTGCGATGTCAATTGCGACTCCTCGACCGACCGAGAGCTCATAGCTCACTCCGAATCGCCCCTTTCCGAACCGAACTCTTCCAGCGACGGACGTATAGTTCCGACACGGCATGGGATCGTCTTACCAGAAGTGCAGAAGATGAAAGTGGAGATTCGCAAAGAAGAAAATTACCTCATAGCGATGGCCTGTCTGCTACAGAGCAGCCTTCCGAGACGTCGTTCACGCCAGTAGAACGAGATGGCGCATCGACTGAACCCGAACCGAAAGCTCCCACCTCGTCCAGTGGTTCAACAAAGCGAAGCGGCGGTCTCCTGACGAGATACTATATCGGAGAAGACCCCCAAGATCGCCCCGAGCGGCGTCGCGTAGGCCGTCGTAGCGTGTACCTCCAGTCTGAGCAATTGGATGTCAACATGCTGGGAGAAAAGGCACGGACGATCGTGATGCGCGACATGGGAGGCAGCCAGAGGAGCATTAGTCAATTGCCTGTCGAAGAGCTTCTCCCTGAGGCATTCGATATTGGCAAAAGCCTTCAATCTGAAGAGAAGGATCTGACGATGGAAGAGGCTCTATCAAATCTTGACGAGGTCCGGCCGTCCGACCCCATTGTCTCGTACAGTGACTTTTATGGGCTGTTGGATGTCCTCATCAATGGCTTTACAGTTGCTCAGCTCAGGACATATCTGAACCATGCGAACGCAAAGTCTGCGATTGCGCCCAAGAAGAAGGGGAAGCAAACTTACGATTGTATAAAAGCGGTGACCCCTTGGACCCCAGTGCAACGCGTCGAGATCGATGGCTCGCCCAAGGAGAAGCTGGGATTGACTCTCATGCTGGACGCCTGGCGTTTGGACGTTAAGGAGATTGTCGACGGTCAGGGTATCTTGAACGGGAGGATTGATGAGCGATTCTTTTCCCTGTTAACGAGTGAGTAATGTAACTGGCTGCGGCGATGCTGTCTAACATTCAAACAGATGACGAACAGCGACTGGACGCCATCAGAGAGGCCTATCTCGATCCGGGCGAAAGCATTGAGATCTCAAATTTGATACTAAAGATCAACGCCACCAAGGCCAAGACGCAGGCAATTCTTCAGAGATTGGACGAAGCTTCTAAAGATATCGTCGTGGAGAACTTCAAGGCAGATTGGCTTGCTGACAGTCATGTCGACGCCAAGTTGCTCAGGAACTTGGGTCAGCTCACCAACACATTCATCAATCATAAAAAGCGTAACGAGGTACGTTTTGTTTGTTTCAATGCGCATTTGGCCATGTCTAACAGCGGAGCAGATCGAGGTGTCGTGGATAAAAGACGGAGCTACAGAAGTCGCCGTCGGCGAACAACTGGACCAAGACGACATGGGTGAACAGCTGGGCCACATCGTCCAACGTCTATTACACTCCGCACTCTTCCCCAGGGAAGCGTCTGTCATCCTCAAGCACGAGTCCGACGTGAAGTCGGCAAGACTTGTTGCCGAGCCTCGTGGTACTGAGAAGCTTTCGTGGAAGGACAGGCTCCCGCAGTGGTCCCGCTGGGTGAAGCAAGCTAGCCGCCAAGACTCCGTCGATGGAGTCTTCACCATTACGGAGGGCGAGATCTTACCCCTACCTCTCCACCTCCAGACCCAGACCCCAGATTCAGATGCTCCGTGGAGCAAGCCGTTCGTCTCAACGACCGCCTCCTTTGGCCATATCCTCCACCAATACGATGAGGCAAAATTCTCAATAGCCAAGGCAGCCAAAGCTAAAGCCCACATCTTTTCACCTTGCTCTCCGCCTCCCGCCGGTCTCGCTCCCGTTGTGGAGCCGGCCGCCTTCGCGGAGCTGTCAACCCCCGTCGTGACTACTCTCGTCCTCGGCTTCCGTCCTCACCCCACCGCGGTCAAGGAAATCGCCCGCAATCTCCCCGATCTCCTCGAACTCCACCTCACCGTCCCGGATGACCTCCCCGAGGGTCCTCTAGCGTGGGACGCCTGTCCCAGACGGCTCGTCGCCACCCTCAGCCAGACCTTCGCCGACGTCGCGTACCCCTCTGAGCCCGTCGACCTGCGCTTCTCACAGCCGCTGCTGTCCACCATGTCACCAACTGCCCTCGACGCCTCTGCCTTCCGCGAGTACATTGAGACCGCGAAGCTGAATCTACTTGAAGGACGTCTTCGCCCGCCCCCCGAGGTCGAGCTCTCGGGTCTTCCTTCCGCCAAGGACGCTGACAGCGTTTCGGGGCCGGCGAAATACATGTTTGCCGGTCTCGAGATGCGTCGCACTCTCGAAGTGGATTTCGAGGGTCACAAGCTTCAGTACACGAGCATCGAGGCCGGTCTGCACGGCGGCCGCCGCTCCCAGATGAGTTTGGAAGCTGTTCCACCGTCTGCCGAAGCGGCCTTGTCAAAGGACGAGCAGAAGGGGTATGTGAAGAGGTACCTTGGCATAGCGGAGGACTTTGTGAGAGGGAGGGTTGTTCAGTGGATCGGAGACAGGGATATTGCGAGAGAGTTTGAGGATGTTGAGGAGACGTCGGCGGTGGCTGACGAGGTTGAGGTTGAGGTTGAGGATGCTGAGGAGGTGCAGGCTTTTGATGAGAGTGAGCTTGATCTTGCTGAGGAGCAGCTGGAAGCGGCAGAAGAAGGAGAGGCTGAGACGTCTGTTGGCGGCGATGTTGAGACGCCGAAGAAGGATGACCTGTAAAATCATGTAGCAAACAATTGTAGACCAAGTGTACTATTACTGATGTATAAAATTCTAATCACTCGACGCTGATTTGACTCAAAATGTGGGATGGTTTAATGAGGACGAGGTGAGATGCCAGTCTTCGGTTCAGAGCATGTGCGAATGCCTTCCTTTCTGAGTAGCTTTGGAGGGTGGATAGTCGTCTTAGGACTGGTGTCTCAGCCACTTCAAATAACTCAATACATCCACTGAAGCATAGGCGTCATTTGACGAGGTGCCATGGGCTAGGCAAGGTCCACAATCAAAGGTGGCTTGTGGGGAAGCTTATGAAAACCTCGGGTCCGAGCTGCCTCGCGTAGACTTCGCACATCGTGAAAGACACGTAACAACCATGATCTCGTGGTAGTGGCGGCCAAAATGGTGTTACGAAGGGCGACCACTTTTCATAGCTATACCATTTTATCCTCAGCACACCTTTAGAGGCAACATTTCACGAGCAACATGTCACAATTGGGGGACGGACAGTGTTTTTTTAACTTGGGAATCACTTCTAGGACTCTATTTTTGTGCTACTAAGCACGTATCATGAGAAGTTTTTTTGACGTAGAATCATCCGGTCCAACCTTCCTCTCGATATTCGTGCTTTCCGCCATATCATAATGTCCTCATGCCACGCAAAGGGAATTCGTAAAGCCGTAGAAGTGAGTGAGCCACAGCCGTGAAGCCATGGGCGAACTCAGCACCCAACCCTGGTGAGTTGAATCGCTTATTTCTTGCCAGCCTTGGCAGCGGACTTGGTGACCTGTGATTAAACATGTTAGATGATGAAGGCATGTGAGAGCGATGTGAGTTATATGAACGTACCTTGCCAGCGGTGCCAGCGGACTTGTCGACGGACTTGATGACACCGACGGCGACGGTCTGGCGCATATCACGGACGGCGAAACGTCCCAGAGGGGGGTAGTCGGTGAAGGCCTCAACGCACATGGGCTTGGAGGGAACCATCTTGACGATGGCGGCGTCACCAGACTTGATGAACTTGGGGTTGTTCTCAACAGACTTGCCGGTACGTCTGTCAATCTTCTCGAGGATCTCGGAGAACTTGCAGGCAATGTGGGCAGTGTGGCAGTCGAGAACAGGGGCGTATCCAGCACCGACCTGACCGGGGTGGTTAAGGACGATGACCTGGGCGTTGAAGGAAGCGGCACCCAGAGGGGGGTCGTTCTTGGAGTCACCGGCGACGTTGCCACGGCGGATATCCTTGACGGAGACGTTCTTCACGTTGAAACCAACGTTGTCACCGGGGAGACCCTCGGTAAGCTGCTCGTGGTGCATCTCAACGGACTTGACTTCAGTGGTGACGTTGGCAGGGGCGAAGGTGACGACCATGCCGGGCTTGAGGACACCAGTCTCGATACGGCCGACGGGCACAGTTCCAATACCACCGATCTTGTAGACATCCTGGAGGGGAAGACGGAGGGGCTTGTCGGTGGGACGCTTGGGGGTCTCGATGGCGTCAATGGCCTCAAGAAGGGTCTTGCCGGTGGACTTGCCAGCCTTGGTCTCCTTCTCCCAGCCCTTGTACCAGGGAGCGTTGGTGGTGGGGGCAAGCATGTTGTCGCCGTGGAAGCCGGAGATGGGGACGAAGGCAACGGTCTTGGGGTTGTAGCCGACCTTCTTGATGAAACCGGAGGTCTCCTTGATGATCTCCTCGAAGCGGGCCTCGGACCACTTGGTGGTGTCCATCTTGTTGATGGCGACGATGAGCTGCTTAACACCCAGGGTGTAGGCGAGAAGGGCGTGCTCACGGGTCTGGCCATCCTTGGAGATACCAGCCTCGAACTCACCAACACCGGCAGCGATAATGAGAATAGCGCAGTCGGCCTGGGAGGTACCGGTAATCATGTTCTTGATGAAGTCACGGTGACCGGGAGCGTCTGTCATGAGGCGTTAGTAAATGAAAATTTTTATGATATATGGCACTCGTCCCAAAAAAAAAAACCACCGGTAGGCGCTGATCTGGATGAGGCCGATGATGAAGTGAATAAACTTACCAATGACGGTGACATAGTACTTGGGAGTCTCGAACTTCCAGAGGGCAATGTCGATGGTGATACCACGCTCACGCTCGGCCTTGAGCTTGTCAAGAACCCACGCGTACTTGAAGGAACCCTTGCCCTGTGAGGTTATTAGCAATAATCATGAAATCGCTAGGCGGGGGCACTTAAGAGTTCAGCGGCCTCCTTCTCGAACTTCTCGATGGTACGCTTGTCGATACCACCGCACTGGTAGATCAAGTGACCAGTGGTGGTCGACTTGCCGGAATCGACGTGGCCGATAACGACGACGTTGATGTGGTTCTTCTCTTCCTTACCCATTTTGGCGGTGGGATGTGATCGAGTTATGTGTTTGAAAGGTAAAAGCTGAGCGCGGATTGTGGATTAGCTTTGATGTTCTCACGAGTTTGTCGTCGATGTCCGAGGCAATAGATGTAGAACAAATACTTACTGCACAGGTGATCCGTAAATTTGGATGCGGTATGTACGACGAAGAGCAGAAGAAGGAGGGAAAAGCTTTGCTTTGGTGGGCGAGCGAGGCTTTTGTATGTTGGTGAGTGAAAAAGTTGGGTAGTGGAGTGGGAGTGTGAGACGGTCAAGGTGGGTTGAGTAGAGGTGGGAGGGGGAGTGGGCTAGTCTCTGAAAATTTGCAGGGATGGAAAGGTAGGGAGGTGGGGTCGATTGGCTCTTGCCTGTCGAATTGCCCTAAGGTAGAATTTTTCACTCACAGGCGCAGTTTTTTTGTGGTTGACGGTTGTTTATTCAGGTGTATTTGGCCTGATGTTCTTAGCAGATCGTGGCCCATGGCCAAGTAGCGCGTTGTACCTTGGTTCAGTCTCGCCACGGCACGAACTAAGCGGGGCCGCCCAAGGCAGGTACGTATCGTATCACCCCTCCTTTAGTCTCTCTCCTGCGGCATGCGACGAGCGGTAAACCCCATACATAGTAGTTGCTATCCATGATTACCTAGTGCCAGCAGGATAAACTAGGTATCTGATGTGTAAATTTTTATATACGACATTATCCTCAACTCTGAAGCCTCCTATTGTGATATTGGCAAAGCATATTGCACATTGTACCAGGCTGCGCTGGGCCAGCAGCAGTCGAGGCAACGGGATGTATGGCATGTTGATGTCACAGGTAAGGGGGATGGAGGGGCACTCTGCATCTTTCACCGCGCTCTTCTCTGTCGCGGGGGCGCTGCAAACGATCCTAGCCTGTCGACCCCACCGTGGAAGCTCCAGGCCTCACTGCTGCAGATCCCGGTGATGTCAATTCGTCGAATCGCCAGCCCAGCTAGAGTAAAGAACAATAACAAACGCATTCATCACGATCAAATTTTCCCTCGGGCACTAGCTAGCCGCCTTCTTTTCTGAGGGAAGGAGGGGCAATATGGGACCTTCCTCCCGCTTGTTGTCGGGCCATTTCCCTTTTTTTTTTTTTTGTCGGCAGTCCACCTCGAGGCATCCCATCGACCACGCCTCCAGTGAGAGGTGCTTCTGTCTTTTCGTCCCATCCATACCATACCCATACCCATACCACACATACAGGCCAGACACAGAGACACACAGCGCCGTTTGGCACACACAAAAATTTTCACTAGAGGAGCGCTTTGTTCCTAGTGACCTCGATCTACTTTGCCAACGATAAGACACCCACAGCTTCGAACTCTGCCCCTCCACCCCGCCCAATCCCTGTCAGACACACAAGGTAGGTTGCCGCGCAGCCCAACCTGGGCTCCTCCTTGCCCCTCGACGACGCCCAGGTCTTTGGCCGTCAGACCGTCAGAGTGTGTGCCCAACCCTTCGTTCGGCATGAGTCACGTATCTGGCATTTTTTCTTGCACGGCTACAGCCTCCTCCTGCATACCTTTCGGTGCTTGGAGCCCCTTGGCCTTCATGGATTGGTTTTAGGGCCGTGGTCGCTGTCGCCGTTCCCATGGTCCATCCCACCTCGAAACCAAGGCTCCTCCGCGGGGCTTGTCCTTGTCTGCGTTGGTTTCCGTGGGAATTATCGACCATTGAGGGTGATTGCGATTCCTTCTTGCGTTGCTTGTATTATTTCTTCGGCGAAGGGAAGGTCTACCCAAACGGGCCCCGCGGTACCATATCTTTCTTACAACTGTCGGTGCATTGACTCCGAAAAGAATTATGGCTGATGCGGCTTCTGACGGGGTGCGGGGTTGGAAAAATCTGATCTCAGAGCAGAAGAGGACAAAAAGAAAAAAAAGTGTACGGACAAGGGTGCGCAACAGATCCTGGATCAAGGGTGACGTGCAGGTAAAGTACCTGCTGTACAACCCGTTCTAAGCGCCTGCGCCGCCATACAGGGCAATTATTACCATCCTCTCGCATTCTCGCTGAGCGAGCTTTCCTAGACAGCGAGGTAGTATCGCGGCTGCATGCATATTTGCCATCGCGTTGGCATCTTTCCCCAATATAAGTGAAATCCATCCGTATCGTGGCCAAATTCAAGCATGAACGTATGGACACGCGGTGCAGTGACACGTAGGAGGGGGCGCCGCCGACCACCCAAAAAAAAAAAAAAAAAAGATACAGAGAGAGAATGAGGGGTACCTACCCCTCCATGCTCTGCCATTGCGATAAGGGGCTGGACTCCGAGACATGAAAAAAATCCAACGTCACGTGATAAAGCTCTTCCTTCCTCCATGAATCTTGTTTAAACCAGCCATATCCCTCGCCAGTTTTCGCACAGGGTCGTCACGGGTGACTGCTCGCCTGTTTCTAATTTTCCTATTGGGACCAAGGACGATGGCAGTGGCGACAGACAACGTCGGAAAGCGCCGGCCACAGACCCAGAAGCAAGTCACATGACCTTGCTCAACGTCACCCCGAGACCCGCGGGGCAATCGACGACATTGGATGGCTCGCCGGCGAGTCGCTGAATGATTGCGAAATACAGCATTTCTATACTATGGACTTTGATCCCTTTCCCTTTCATTGGGCTAATGTAACAAGAAGGAAGTAGGGAGATTTCGGACGATTCGAGACGATTCGAACAACTACAATTTCGAAGCAGTCCACACCCCAGTTATGCAACTCTAGAGACACTATTTGGCTCTTGTCCAGACGACATTTCTTGACAGAACTTGTCTGGATAACAATGAGAGAACTCATTATCGATCCTCAGAAGACGACGTTCTGCACCTGTTGCTTGTGTGCCCGCAGAGTTGAGGGAAGGGCGATCTGCGAAATCCCCACACCCACTTACCGGCCTCGGGAGCTCGCGAGATGGTGTATAAATATGTCGCGTAGTTACTTTGTTGAGCTATCTGCAAGACTCCTGGATAGGGGCGTTCACACCTTGATCTGTGGAAAACTCCCCTCCACGCATCAAGCCATGTCGGGAAAGAGATCATTCTGTCCAACGACGACGTCTAGACCTTGTCTTCACGCGCGGACTGCTGTTTTCTTCGCAGTGTCTTCATCGCCCTTTTGGCAAGCTCAGCTAGAAATGAGGCTACATAATGGGGGGCCGTCGAAGGGGATGCATAACGATGGAGGATCATGAGGACGATGGATGGAAAAGAAGGTAAAATTCATGGTTCACAGAATCCCACTCTAAAGATGGTCGAGGAAGATGTCGTCAATGTCTTTATTTTCTTTTGCTCTTCCTACGATACCGTCAGCCGGAACCCCTGTGCGACTTCACGACGAATTTGAATCCCTCCACTCAGCATACTCTCGCATAGCTTTTAGTCTCCAAACCAGTGTTTGAATTCCTCTTTATCAGACAAGCCGCTCCTGCGGAATAGGATGTGGCATGTCTTCTCCGTCTATAAAAGAACGATTCGTGCGCGAGAGAAACACACTGCAAGCAATGTGGCAAAATACCAGCTTGGTCCAGTAATCATCTAGCATTTCTACTGCGGCCGTCAACCTTCAGCAACCCCCCGCTACGGGCCTGATGAAAGGAGCCATACGATGTCTTACGTAGGCACAAGTTTGCCAGTGAATAGGAGTCCCCATGACTATGTAAGAAATCTACCTAAGGTCTTATCCTTACGCCCGCCAACACTATGACTGTCGGGTTTGTTCTAGCAGTTCACCCCCTTTCGACTCGATCTCCATTGCATGTACCACGTCACCCAGCCATTTAAAGCCTTGGTATCGAGTCCTTTCAATCATCACTCGTACAAAAGCATCAAAATCGATCAAAACGTCCTAACTAGGGTTTGCTTTAGGTACATGACCACACGACAAGTTGTTCATTACAGCTTTACTAGAGAGAAACTTGGAACGAGGAAGCATGAGTTCGGGACCGAATCTCAGGTCAGGTTCGGCACCACCTCTGCCCGGTATTCTGTAAGGGAAGACGATGGCAGCTTGGCCCGGCAGCTGACATTGTGGAAAGAAGAATGCTTTGGTGCCCTTACATAGTAGTCGAGTAGGTGAGTGACCTGGTTCCAGAGCCTCGAACAGCCCTATCAAATCACGAGTCCAGTCTGCGCTGACGTGAACGACAAAAGAACCTTGGTCTGCCATGGTGTAGGTGTGGAACGTGTCCTGATAGACGACATGATGCTGACGTTCTCCCAACGTCGTTGGTAATCAGCGAAGAGGGCAATTAAAGCAAAGGAGCGCTTGCCTACTCCCACTTCTGGTTTGTAGCCACCTCAGTCAGGAACGATGAGGGCGAACTAGTAGCACAGGTGAGGAAACCTTTGCGTCCACCTCCTGCCTCATTCTCCAGCTGGAATACAACAGGCAGTAGCTATTCAAGCGACAGCCTTCTTTCCCAGGCAGTTCTTCGAAAGCCACTTCCAGTGTAGAATTTAGACTGGAAAGAGGTGATGTAAACCCCCCCCCCCCTAGTATACATCTCCACGAAACAACGGCAAATCCAACGACAAGGCATATTCTGCGTGCACCAAGCAATATTTCTGTCTGTCACATCAATCCCACATTTCTCTAAGGCCAAAGGGCATTACATCGAAAACAGCTTACATGTCGTCACTCTATATCAAGGGCCTTGCAACGATTCTCCCGGGAACGTACCAAGTAATGCTTGGCCTCACTCAGCGCAATGGGGTTCCCGTATGCTATCACTGTTTTTCTGAAGCTCGACTGGATTACTATTAATCATTTCCCTATCATGAAGGATACTATGGCATGCCTTCCAAGTCAGCTACCATTTCGAAAAGCTGGGGACGATCGCGAATGGGTCAACATCATCCCCTTTTGCCCGGGGTATCCGAGGCCGAAGACGTCATACGCGAATGGAATTCCCTACATGGATTTCTGGGAGAACGATATACGCGCGTTTGCTTACGAGCCTGTCCAAATCCCTTCCTCTTATCTCAGCGTTAAAATCCTTGTTATTCAAGATTTCGTCCCTGGAGTAGCCGAACACGATGCTCTAATTGCCCAACACCCTCCAGGCGTGGTGGGCATGTTCTTTTGCGGTGATATGGTCACGCACGAGGCATTTTCCGCGCACCCTCCCGAGATTCTCAGAGTCCGTGGTCCTGGCCGGGCTGTTGGGGGACATAATGGGCAAGTGATGGGGCCCCGTCTTATTCCTCTTCATTTCGTGAGGTATGGGATCCCGCCCGGGCAGAGGATCCGAACCATCGGTCCGAAGCTTTGATATCGCCCCTGAAGTGTATCAGACTGGCGATGGCGTTGATGCCTGTTCGTCTTGGTAAGCTACACTCTCGGGCTGATGGATCAGAATAACAAGCTGATAATGGTTGAGGCGGCCACGACTTTAGGGTCTCTAAGATAATCAGGACGCAAGAGAAACAAAGCCAAAGAAACGAAAACCTCGCAAACCAGCCGGGCTACGGTGTTTATCGATCCTGTAGCAGTCAGATGGATACATCAACAGAACACCAGGCTTCACAATTGTTCGGTCCCATAGCATTAGTCAAATCACATCCTGCATTTCCCAAGAACTTGTAAAGTCAGTGGGTCTACACTTCTCTGCATGCCAACTGGGATCATTGTAAACCCGAACAGCATCATATTGCGTATTCCAATACTCCCTTGCCAATTTTATCGTCCTACCAATGCAACTGCGGCGAGTAGTGCCAAGAATAGCAAGACGGCTTCCGACTAGCCCGTGCCACCGCTGGAAAGAGCTAGAGTCCTGTACTCGATATCACAAGCTCTCTGGCTCCTCAGGTTCTGAACGGGCTCGTCACCTTGTGCCATATCGGTAGTGAGCAAGACTCGCCTCCGAATTACTAGTTTCGCTCCTTGGTTTGCCAAAAAGTTGGTGGCAGACATACAAAGTGCCTTATCTTTGGGCTGAATTCGAGATTCATCGATTATCAGCATCGGATGGTTGACTGGGAGGTTCTCTAGTATTCTGATGATGGTCAGTACATGAGGTTGAGGACGCGCATCTGATCCATCTCGGAAGCTACATCCTCAGAATCATTCCATAATATCACTTCAAAATGAAGCCCTCCCTCTGTCTCAGTGGGTTTGCGGAGTTGTAATCGAATTTCCGAGACTTCTCGGGTATAGACAGCACTGGCGTTTGTCGAAAATGGAAGGTCTGCCTAATCCTGTGTTTTTGTTTGATAGGACTTTGTAGCTTTTATCTGAGTTTCTGCAGGTGGCGGCTAAAGGTGACTGCGTGAAGCAACTTTGCCTGCGTTCATGTTGGAATCAATCAACCTTCATTTGAGGTCTTTGATGTCTCAACCGCAGACCTTTATCTCTCCACCAAAAGTCTCTCCCACACACATCGACATAATCATCATTCACAAAAACTGTCTTCCCAGTTTTACCTAACACGTTCATGATGTCGCACTCCTCTGGCCAATCCTCCTTGGGATCACCCCCTACCAAGGAGAACCCCATCATCACCGTGGACATCGCTCCCCGAGTGGCCGTCGAACTCAAGGACGACTGGACCGAGGCCAGGGCCAACTCTGCCTTCCTGCTCCATCCCACCACGAAGCCCTTCCGCCCCCTCAGCAAGGGTGCCGCGGCCCTGGCGACCTTGAACCAGAAGCCCAAGGGCCCCGCCGGCAACCCCCTCATCACCATCAAGCCCGTCCAGATGACCGAGGACGGCCTCGCGTACATGCTTCACGGCATCGACGAGGAGCTCGACATCCCGGCCCAGTTCCTCCGCATCGGTATCCGCATCGTCAAGGACTTTGGCCCTGGCGTCCCCGAGTTCGACAACATGACCCCCAAGACCAGCACCCACGCCGCTCGGTCCAAGAACCACTCCTTCAAGGCCGGCGACATGGCTGTTTGCGACCACTTTGCCATCAACATTCCCGAAATCATCAAGATCAAGAAGCTCAAATCCAACATAAACTCGGGCTATGATGTTTCCAATGTCGAGCACTCCATTCCTTGCGACTTTGTTCAGTACGGCTTGCAAATGGGGGGCCCCATTACTGTTAAGAGCAACTTCAGTACCTGGTAATGTGTTTGCGATCGCGTGTTCAGTGAGTGATGTTGTTTATTTGACACAGACACGGCTATTCTCTAACTTGTGCCTGCTAGATGTATACCCTCACTGGACCTGCGATCCGAGATTCGACCAGAGCCACGATCAGGCTAAGAAATTGGATTTTAGCATCTTTTTTCCCAGAAGGTTGTCGGAAGGATACATGCAGTCAAGCAAATCCAGGGGCGATACGGGTTCTGAATTCAGATGGATGTGATTCACTTGGGAATACACTGCTGAATACTACTCGTCTCTGAAGTATACTTTGTGAGCTGATTCATGTGTGCCCTGTTTTCCATCTGTATTCATCATCACAACTCACTGGCAACCCTTCGGTACTGCCAGTTCTTCATAAGCAATTCGAGAATTTTCCTCCGCATCCATCCTTCCGAACGGCAGAAAGGGATACATTCATCAACAGCCTACACGCTCATTCTATTACCTACCTCGCTCGATACGCAGAAGGCCCCTGCCAAAATCAAAGCTTGGAAGGAACGATCGAGCCTTTCAAAAGAACTTATTCTCCGAGCAACTTCATTTCCAGCTTCTAGATTCCGCCACTACAATCCGGCCAACTTGCAGCCACGGCCAATCAAAGCACAACACCCACTCCCATCATGGCGACCGAGAAGCTTGTTGCCGTCCAGCTGAAGGAGGACTGGACACGGGAGAAAGCATCGCTCGCATTTACCTTCCATCCCAGCACTCAAATGTTTCGAGAAGTCAAGAAGAACACCATGGCGTGGCTCCATATTGGCCAGAAGACCGACGGGCACCATGGGAAAGAGTGGGTTACCATCACACCCCTCAGGATGACACCTGATGGGCTCATCGATATGTTCCCTGGCGATCATCCCGGCGTCAATGTTCCATTTCAGATTCTTTGTATCGCACTCCGCGTCAACAAGTTTTGGGGGAACGGCGATCCCGCATTTTCTAGGGCCAATCGCATCTACCGCACGTCGGTCTTCCTCGAGAACACAATGCTGATGTGCGAGAACCTGAGCACCCCTTTACCAGATCTGATCGTGGTAAAGAGAGTTACTTTCAATATCCGGGAAGGCTTTACAATATCACCCACCTCCCACATGATTCACCGCAACTATGTGGACTTTGGCTATCAAAAGGCCGATAACTACCTCAACAATCGCACCAGCGTGAAGCGGAGCGCAAGTCAGATGAACTAGGTTCTCGTTCATGCTGTACAAGGAATATGGTTTTCCCTGTGGAGATCCGTACAGCCGATGGAATCATAGCTCTGGTAAGTCTGATTCGACTGCGCACCGGAGGCTTCCGATCTAACGCCTGAAATTTACAGCGGTGACTGGAGATTTGAGGGGCTACTGAGACTTGACCCACGGTAGCTACGGATGAGGCGAAGCGGGTCGGTGCAGAGGGTTAACAGGACGGGACGAGTGATCAAGGAGAATCAACAACCTTTGGGAGGGTTTCAGTCTATAGAAAATACAGAGAATCGCCGGGAGTATCAAACGAAACCACAATATGCCTCCCACCTGTGAACGCCAAATCCTGCATCCGATTCTACACAGGAAATCATTCCGATCCCTCCTTGTCTCCCGATTCCTTGTCCCCCTTTGATCCCTTAATCTTGTCCCAAACCTTTCCAAACTTGTCCTTGAGCCAGTCCCAAACTCCAATCATGGCTTCCTTGCCCTTCTCTATGGCATCTTCATCGGCTTCGTCGCTCTCTTCATCATCATCTCCTTTCTCGTCATCGTTCGACGCCGGCGCAGTGGCCGTCGGCTGGGGAACGGGGTCCACCTGGATGGCCTTGTCGGTGTTTGTCGGCTGTTCCGCCGGTGGTGCGCTGGGAGAAGCCGGGACTTGGGTTGTGTTGTACGGAGGCACAGGGTCCTCGGGTTCTGGGGGCGTGTCCTCGGACTTGTGAGTACCCAGAGTAGTGAGTGGCAGACGCAAAGTGCCGTTGTTGGGCTCAGGAATGAGACCGACGGAATCGCACAAAATGTTGTACACATTGATGTTTTCTACTGACGTTAGTCGGAATTCATGGCATCATATAAGATGTAGGGGGGGGTTCAATTACGGAAGTTGTCGATCTGGCTGTTTGGCGGATGAGGGAAAGCGGGCCCGCGGGCAATGAAGATGGCACGCATGAGAGGATGCTCATGATCATATCCATGCAAACCCCGAGGGTTATAGACCGTACCGTCCTTTAGCGCCTTTTCCACATCCATCTCGTCCCTCGTAACGATGGCCCATCCAGTCTTGGGCACGATCCACAGGGGCGCGATGCGCCTGTTCTTTGAAAAGTGGTAGCGCTCGGGCATGTTGACATCGCGGAGATAGACCTCAAAGTTGGGGTTTGTCTTGGACTTTTCGACCAAGACATCGTATAGCCCTTGGAGATCGTCGGGGTTCTTCGGCCGGAGACCATATAGCGGCCAGCCGTCGGTGTGCTCAATCTTTGAGGTGTCGACGAGATCCTCGAGCTGCAACAGCCGTGTCGTATCCGTCGTGGCCATGCCATGGTCGGATACAACGATGACGTTGACAATGTGGGTCAGGTTGCGCTGCTCGAGAGCCAGGAAGAGCTGATCCATCATGGCGTCGGCTGACTCGATAGAGACGCGGATCTCCGTGCTATTCGGCCCATATCTATGGCCGTCCGCGTCGACGTTGGGGACATACGCAGCAATGAGCTGAGGCCGCATGTCTTCAACCTTGGCAGTCTTGTCCTCCATGCCCGGCTTGTCGAGAAACTCGAGGATCCTGCTGACCTTATTGTCGAGGACCTCCTTCCCGTTGAACTTGTCCAAAAAGGTCGGCTCAACGCCGAGGATGTGCGCCTCACTACCCGGCCACATGTGGATCGCGGAACGGATACCCTGCCTCTCGGCCGTCACCCAGAAAGGCTCTCCGCTCCACCACTTCGCATCGAGACTTCGCACCGGATCGGTATAGTAGAACTCGGCCTGCATGTCCGGGTCCCAGAACGTGTTTCCGACAATACCGTGGCTCTCGGGATGAAGACCGGTCGCCAGCGTGTAGTGATTCGGGAACGTGACAGACGGGAAGGCCGGGAGCATGTACTTTGGCGAAACGCCCTCCTTGATAAAAGCGTTCAACCTCGGTGTAATTCCGCGCTGCAAAAAGTCGGCGCGGAAGCCGTCCAGACTGATGATGATGGTCGTCGGCGCGAACAGTGCGGTGCCGTTGCTGACGAACTCGGCCTTGTGCGCCGACTTCCTGCCCAATGATAGCTTCCACGCCACCAGAACGAGGATCGCGAAGCCGACGGCTATCATACTGTGTATGACCAGCCATCGGCGCCAGCTCCTCCGCTTATCGCTCTTCGCGTTGGTCACCATCTTCAGCCTTTGCCGGTCGAGTTCGTCGCTGTCGTCTCTTTCGCTGCTGTCGCCGGTCGAGCTTCCCTCCTTCATGGCCCCTTCTTCCATCTCGTACATGAGCTCGCCATCCTCGCCGTACGTTGCCTTCTCCAGCAGACGGTCCTTTTTCTGTTTCCTTCTCGTGCGGCGCTGTTGGCGTCTGTCCTTTTCGTTGAGGAGATTCTCGGACGAGCCATCCTTGGACCCGGGTCGCTGTCCATCGGGGCCTCGGCCGAAAAGCTTCAGGGGGTTCGTGACAGCGAGACCAGATCCTCGGCGCTGCAGCTCCTTCTTTTTGCGCGTCTCTTCAACCAGCGTTTCGATCTCCTCTTCTTCCATGAAGACTAGACTGTCGGCGGCGCGCAGCTCGCGGCTGTTCCGCGCGCGCAGTTGCAATTGGTCATCGTCGCTGTCGCTGTCCTGGTCGCTTCGGCTGTGGAGGGATGAGGCGTCGTCGTCGTACGTATCGGGGGCGAGGAGGCTTGCGTTATCGCGGCCCGCCCGGGACTTTGCGCTGGGACGGCGTATCGACATGGTTTGACGGGATGCCGGAGGGCAAAGACAGGTCGTTCTAGGTCATGGACCGTGAGTCTTGTGAGACGTAGCCTCTTTGTTGACTAATGCCGAGCCGAACAATTCTTCCCCTAATTTCTTTGGATCTCAAAGTCGCAACTAGGCTCGAACCCCTGTGACTGACCACCTCACCTTGATGGCACCCTATCTTATCGCAGCGATAGAGTCACGTGGCACCCCGCTTGGCTGCATCCCCCGTACCTTATTCAGGGTCCATTTCTCGGCCTGTCACTGGCCCGTCAGTCTGGAAACGGGACTGAGCACGGCGTGGCTCCGGTCCGCATGATCCACTTAGCGCACAGGCTAAAAAGAGCTCTAATTATTCGAATCTCGGGCCCGTCTTCTTCGGGCCAAATCATTGAGACAACGTTGACAATATGCTTCCGCCAGCTCATTCTATGGATTCTGTCCGTTAGCCTCATTCGTCTCTGCATGCTTCGGAACGAAAAGAGTATCAATCATTAGGCTTGACTTACAAGTGTACATATTGGCGTGAGTGTGATACGTTGAATGCCGATGGATCCCGCGGTCCGGTTTGCACTCAGGATGCTATCGACTCTGTCCCTCTCCAGGCCCCTCATAGAGTGAGACTCCCTGTCAGACGGAGAATACCGCTACTTTATTAGAAATGATCGAGCTGAGATACGCGCTAGTCATTTCGTGCATTCAACAAATGTCCTACTGTCTCCAATTACAGCGACGAAGTAGGGTAGGAGAGCTGAACAAGCCCCTGCTCGGCAGTATCGGCATCCTTGCGTGCCGTGGTGATAATGGCGCTCTGCATCGCATTCCTCATACAAGGCTTGTCTCGAAAGGAGGAATATGGCCACAAACGCGTCCCAGTAAAGACAGAGGGCTTGACTCCGAGATTATTGCCCGGAAAGCCTACTAATGCTTGAAAGTTGCAGGGTAACACTGAGGTACGAGTCCTGAGTTGGGAATGCGACCTCCAGTTGAGGCGGCCTGTCGCATCTAGACCGCTGAATGTATACGGTGAGAGGCCTTAACAGTCGACAAGAATCAGTCGTTCGTGCCACAAGCCGACGCCGCCCAGGAAGACGCGGAAGCTGTGCTCATGCTGATTGGCAGCCTTGGCTGAAGAAGCAATTTTGTACACGCTCACTCTCCTCCTTCTGTCTCACATCCCTCGTCTTGTGATTCCGTAGGTCCTGAAAATCTGAACCATAGGTAAACTGGTGCGGCTGGAAGGTCCTCTCAGGGTCTCCGAGGTACTGTCCCCCCGAACGGTTGTGGTGGCATCCTGCTCTCGACTTTAATGTAATGGATGTCGACGTTCCGTCGCTTCGATATTCTTCTCGGTAAGCTTGTGAGCGATCATAATTGGAAAGGATCTTTATCTGGAGCATCTCGAATAGTCACATACTTCAATTACAGATTGCAATTCTGCAAGACGCCACTAGGTCGTCGCCGTCTTTCAAGCTTTTTGCTACTTCAAGACACCAACCTTGATGCCAAGCCTCGCCGGCATGCCGCGGCGCCATGCACCGATTCCCCTCCTTGAACACCAGCATCGTATTTCGGACGCCCTCTTGGAGTCGCGACGACGGGAGCCCGACGAGTGCGTCCAGTCCAATCATTCGCTGCAATCCCCGCAATGAGGTCTTTCGGCGCTTCTCCGATGACGCGGCAGAAGACGAGGGCGGAGTCGACCGGACGACGTTTGAGTGAGTTTGATCAAAACGGTGGCCATCTACTGAAGATGCGGGCCCTTCCGGCGGAAGACCCGCATCGGCCTCGGCGATCTCGCGGTGAGCGCTTGTTGACGTGTCTTGCAGAAAAGCCGAGACAGCGTACAAGAACGCCGTGAAGTCTCTTCAGTCACATCTTGACAAGGAGGAGGTCGCGACAGTCTTACCGAAAGGCACCGCCGGCAAGCACAGTGACCCCAAATCAGAACTTCACCGGATTGCTTGGGACATACAAAGGACCAAGGAGGCGAGGCTAGGGGAGGGAAAGACTAAGAAACTGATTGAGTGTTTGGATCACTACCACGGAGTCTTTGATATTCTGTCGCAGGCAGAGTTCTCAGGTCTACCGTTGATCTGGGGCGGTCTGAAGTTTGTACTCCTGGTAGGCGCTTCCCGCTCCCACCGAGACGACAGTCTTACTTACAAGGGCCAGGTAACGAAGAACAATTCCAACGTCCTCTCCAAAGTAGTCGATGTGATGATCGACATTGGGCGGGATCTGGAAAGGATACGAGGGTATACTGCATTGTATCCGACTCCACGGATGCTTGAGTTCTCGGCCGAATTGTACGCGGCGATTGTTGAGTTTCTGGAAAAGGTTATTAAAGATGTGAAGAATGCAGAAAAGAATATTTTCAGTATGTTGTCCTACGAGCTAGCCGAGCTTTCCAGTCACTAAACAAACCACAGAGCGCGCGATGACGACCTTCCTACAGCCCTTTGAGATCCGCTACGGAGAACTTGTGGCGAAGATGAAGAAAACACAAAGGCATATCCGCGAGGACGCAGAGCTATGTTTCCACGTTAGACAGGCAATGACGAACCACGCAATAGACAGATACCGGACGGTACTGCCGCTTCAAAGGCAGGCGATGCACCAAGCCTTTAAATGTAAGCAAGGAACTTTTAGGAGAGAAGAAAGGTCCGCTGACATGAGTAGCCGTCGCCGAAAGCCCGACAGCAGATCTGTTTCAAGCGATACGGAAGAATTTGTTCAAGAATTTCGAAGTCCAAGCCGGATTCCACCAGGAATTGCAGGCCACTTACGAGGTCACGACATCAAAGGCGTGGATCGAGTGGTTCAGGATGGAGCAGAAATACGTCCCCTCGGGATACTCCCAGGAGACAAAAGTGATACAGGCAGAGTGCGACGCCCCCGATCCGCAGCATGCTTTGGTCTGGAAGAAACAGCAACGCAAATTCGCGTCGCATGTCCCGTCGGCGTACTTGATCTGGACGCGCGGCATGACTGCACAGTCGGCGATAGCATCGCTCGTGGACCAGATACTAGTGCAGAAGACGGAGGTCATGATAGACGCCGGGATTGACTTGGATCAATTCAAGGAGGCCAACAACAACGTGGCATCTCTGTGGAAATTCTTCCTCTACCTTACAAGGGTTCTCGGAGGTTGCATGGTTTACATCACCATCGGATCTGTCGGCGAACAGGAGTTTGCCATCGTTGGTAAGTTCGTTCGAATGGCGAAGAGCTGGAAGGGACCGCCTATCAACGTGACGCTCATTCATCCGTTCAACGATAACTTTGCAAGGACGGATGACGTCGTAAACCTTGACGACAAGTACGATGTACACCCGCGACTCACGACGACGGACGCGATGCACCACGTGCTGCTTTTGGAAACCAATCCCCAGCGGAAGATCTCGGACACGATCCGGAGCCTTTTGTGGGAGACCGTCTGGCGAGAGGTGCGGTACGCCGTCATTGGCATCGCACTCACACAGGTCATAGAGAAGGTACATCTCGCAGCTGAGAAGGTCACCCGGGAAGCGCCGGTCAGAGGCACATCGTCTCTATCAGATGCGGATATCAATCGATGGGTCGCTGTGGTCGGAAGGTGGACGGCAGCCACCTGGTCCATGAACAGCATGCGAGAGCAGATCCAGCGGCACATTGACATTGTCGACATTCATCTCCCGCCTGAAAGGAAGAAGAGGCTGGAGAGCAAATTAAGTTTGCTGGTTTTTGAGCAAGACGCGGAACTCGGCTCGCAACTTACGTTTGCGCAACGGGAGGCAATATGGGTCGACGTCCAGGAAGCCATCAAGCCTGGGACAGCTGAAATGTTTTGCACCAAGATAGAGGAGCTTGTGGCCGCGTTACTTGAAGACTACCGTAACGAAGGTTCAGGGGGAGAGGGAGAAGTGAAGGGCCTCCCTTTCCCTGTCGTTGATGCATTGTTTGGGAAGTGCGGGCGTTGGAAAGATTCATTCTCTGAGGATCCGGACTTGGTTGCTGATGGGATGACGAAGGCCATTGAAATCGGGTTTGTGGGTCTAATTCAAGCACTAGCATTGCAAGAGATAGAAGAAGAAGAATAGAAGGATGTCTACATCCAGATCAGACACGTATGAGGACATCTGTCATATTGAACCTAATGAGACGATCATCATTCATCTATCAATATTTCCCCTGAGCTATTTAGCACCACGCATAGTACTCATTATCCTCCCACACAACCTCTCCTTCGCCCTTCCACCGCAGACTGGGAATGCTGCCATCGAGTCTCTCGTCAAAGACGACCCTCACGGCACCCTCCGTCCGATCACTCACCCTCTTCGCCGAAGCCGAGACGCCCTCGTCGGGGTTCCAGACCAGCACCTTTGCAAGTCCCCATTGGGCGGCCTCAATCACCGCGGTCTGCAGCAGCGCAGTGACATCCGCCTCGGGGTCGCCGGCCACGCGGAGGACCTTGAGCTTCTTCTCGCGGAAGTCGTGGTCCCAATACACCCACGCCTTGCCGTCGACGGTGGCCGCCCCGCGATGCGCCACCTCGCGGCCGGCGAGCTCCTTGGCCATGAAGCCGTCCCGCGTAAAGTGCCAGAGCATCTGCTCGCCCGAAGGCGCAAAGGCAACGTGCGTCTTTCCGTCCTCGGGCAGGCTGGCGAGCTTCTTCTTCAGGAGGTCGACGTCCTTGTCGCAGTAGGCGGTGACCTCGGTCTCCTCGAGGTACCGTACACCCTCGGGCTTGCGCAGGACTGAAGGGTCGTCGGGGATGAGCGAGACTTGCAGCGACGGGTAGACGGCCCAACCGAGGCGAGCATAGTACGTGGTGCCGATGTCGCTGTAGAGCGCGCTGACCTTGGAATCGGTGTCCATGGCCTCCTTCAGGCGGTTCATCAGCAGCGTGGCCATGCCGTGGCTGCGGTGGGTCGGGTTGGTGTACACGGAGGCGATGGCGTAGGCCTTTTCCTCGTGGAGCGTTGGAGAGGAGGGGTCGCGGACAAGCAGGGTCTTGGCGGTTGCTTCGCAGGATGAGATGATGTGCTCTGGGTTGGCCGGGTCGAAGAGGACGTAGTAGTTGCAGTGAGATGAGAGGGCCGTCTTTGAGAGCGCGAGCTCGCGGGCCATGTAGTTCTCGAGGGGCATCGGAGGGGCCCATGAGACGCCGTTTAGGCGCCATGCAGCCTCACGCTGGGCAGGCGTTGCGGAGGCGAACTTGACGTCCTTTTCCGACTCATGTTGGGTCACGATGAGATCAGACATGTTAGGCTGCGCGGGTGAAAGTGAACGAGTTCAGGTGAAGGATGAATCTAAAGATGAAGAGTTGAGGTTGCTTTCAGGCGGGTAAGATGAGGTTGTCGCAATGGCTCGGTGACCTGTGTTTCAGCTAGGACACCAACACTCAGACTTTCAGAAGATGACCGAGGGCCCGACTTTTGAACCGCCTTATGAGGAGTAAGGCAAATGCCTATCTGAGGTAGTGGATGCAGGTGAAGCTGAAAAATACTTGACTTGACGTGGGGGGCCGCACGGCAGATTCGCGGGTTCTCTGGATGGCAATGGGCTGTGTGGGACATCCCACAGCGGGGTTAGCGAGTGGCCCCCCCTTCCCCAGGTCTGGCTAGAGCCACGCCCTTGCCTGGATTGGTGATCCCACCACCACTGCGAATGCGGGAAATCATCGTTACAACGGTCACAAATGACAACTCACTTCCATCCTCCAGGCACAGCAATGTGGCTTGTTTGCGCCTCGCCAAGTTGAACAATGGCCTCGCTAAATCTCAACAATGACCATACCATGTGAGAATCCGGCCACAGAGGCTCATAGCGTATCTATGGTACGTAAGCAAGTACTTCAGGTATGTCGATGCTGGCTCTGTAATAAGGTAGAGAAAAGCTGACCGCTGTTCGAAGCTGGCTTCCTAGGTGAGCCTGTCGACTTGAGGTCAAAGACCGGGCCCGGAGCCGGAGTGGGGCCGTGTGCCACAGCCGACTATGGCAGGGCTTACCTTAACAAAAAATGCCCGTGGTCTAGAGGCAAGAGAAGACAGAGATCAAGGCATACTGGAGGACCGGAGTAATTATGGCTGGTTTTTTTTTTTTTTTTTCCTTGACAAGCGGGCTATTCTCTAGCCATCACCTGGATCTAAATACTGCTTGGATCTGTGTGCCTCCCAGCCACATTTATTCCTTGCAGAAACTTCAAAGCCGTTGATTTCGCTTAACTGTTTTCCCATACAAATTCTTCGAAAGATCTTACGTTGATACCCTAGGCTGTAACTGTGCTAAGCTGTGAGACTCGGAAAGACTAACAGAATTTAGTGACAATCATGGTGGAATTGGGTGTCGTTCGGATAGGCTCGCTCGTGAGATAAGTAAGCTTTCTGGTTTGGGGGTCGCGCCACTTGTACCAAGCCTCTCGCATCCTGGATCTACAGGACAAACTGTTAGTACAAGATCGGGTGTGGAGACGCACATGGACAGACTTACACTTGACCAGGCGTGAAGGAGAGGTCCTCGGAACTGGAACTTTCGTCAGCATTGCTGCTCACACTATATAAACTCTGACGATCACTTTCAACATACCATGCCGAGTACATCATATAATTCTTTATCAGATCATGACCGGGGAGCTGGGGGCACGTATCCTTGGGCTCGCAGTGCTGGCTGACGTATGTTGCCTGCGGCGTGTCGGGTATACTGTCCCCGTCGAGGGATTTGCAGCCTCCCTGGAACGGGTGAAGAAGCCCCAAGAAGTGTCCCACCTCGTGGACTATGGCCTTTCTGGACAGGAAGTGTTTCAGGCCCCAGTACCCGAGGACAACGCCGTCCATGGCCAACGCGCGCTCATCAGTGTAGGTTGACAGGATCCAAGGAAAGACGGCGTACCCGAGGGTACCGCGGTCCAACTTTGGCACGACGTACACGTTCAGTGTCTCGGCTCCGCCGATGCGGAGACCTTCCTTCATGTCCAGGGTCTGCCTAAATTTGCGTTCAGAGTGGTTGACGTTGACATATTCGTCGCCGGCGACCTGGTATGTCTCGATAGGGCCGAAGAAGATGCCGTGCTGCGAGTATCCCTCGGCGAGGGCGTCTTCGATTTGTAAGAGGGCAGAATTCTAAGGGGATAACCCAAGTCAGTCAATGTGTGTGAAAGAAGACTTTGAAATCCTGTAACATTTGGTCCATAAGATAGTGAGTGATGGGATAGTTACTTCTTTGAGCTCCCCTCGCTGTTCTTCCGTTCCGACCAAGAAGATATTGACGGGAATCTTTATGGGGTTCTTGCGGCCAATCGGATTCTCTGTATCCAAAGAGCGTTTAGAGAGTGCCTCGAGAGCGACCAAGTCGTCTTCTCCCCCGAGATGATCGTTGCCCTCGTCCGTGCCGCACCAATGGTACTGGCTCGATCTGGTAGTTCCAACGCTGATAGTAGGACGTTGAGATGGCTGGGCAAGTGCGACGCTGGCTAGGGACGCGATGCCCAAAAGGTGCAATGTCCAATTCTGGCAAATCATGATGTGCGTGAACCGATGGGATGTCGCTGGCAACTTGTCCACCTGTTGCGGGCGTTGTTGAAGAAAATGAGCTTCGGTACGCTATTAGAAGCAAGCCTGGCTGGCACAAGGAAATGTTGCAAGATTTCGGTACTGCGGGATCCTCATGATCGTAGATAAATATATTGGAAATTTTCTCCGCTACCTTGTTAAGCAAGAGTCTAAATGATGGAAAGCAACGAGCAATACGCAGAGGTTACCAGCCGTTGCGGAAAAGAATCCATAGCCCTGGAAACTCAACCCGAACCATAGCAACCAACCCTTGTGGTCTATCGTTCTTGAGAACCTTGTTGCAAGCTGTATTTCAACCCTCAGGGTCTCGTCATGTTATCCCCCAAGAGCCACAGTGTTCAGTTACTCTCGGCTCGTGCTTAAGTCCTCTCAGTCTCTGAACAGTGTACAGCAGAAGCCAGGACTATCCCAAGCCGACCAACGTTCAGGCCAGGGTGCCTCTCCTGGAGTTCCAAGGGGCTGAGATCTATTTTGAACTATAGTTCAAAGAGTGTATGCAGCTGCCTGAGGATTAAGGCTTAGCGTATAGTTGTTTCGGTGTCATACTCTGGGTGGCTGCCACTGGTCCGGATAACCGACCGAAGACGGACGGTGATCACATGGTATATAAGCATGACCAGGCAATGTAAGCATCTAGGCCAATATGAGACCGCTGGAAAATCCGTGCAATTGGTGATGGGCAGAAGCGCTAAAATGATTCGCAATAGTCGTCGTAATAGGGTAGAGGGGGATCAGCAAAATGCTGACGCCAGCCCGAAAGTCGAAAATCCTTCCGTGTGCTGATGTGACGAGCGTGTTTTGAATGACGAGTTGATTCGTGTGTATCCGCAGAAACAAAATCAAGCCTTCTTCAAAAGACGCTTGAGAAGATTCTTGCTTGATGATGACGAACCTGTATCAACCCGTATGAGCAATCTTTGTCTAATAGGGCCTTCTCGAGGTACAAGCCAGAGGCCCGACGAAGCATGAACTGCAAGACAAGAAACGAGACGACTTACCAGCGATGTCACCATTGGCCTCATTCTTCTCCTTGGACATGACTGGAACGCCATCCTTGTCGACGAGAGTTGACTCTGAGGACATGGCACCAACGGTGGCCCGCGGTGCCGGAGCAGGCTGGCGGGGCCGGCGAGGCATGGCAGACGCCTGCATGTGGGGAATGACAAAAGCTGATTCGTAGAAGGAGCCGGACATTGTGTTGTTCGTTGTTTTGTTGTTGCTTGTCTCGCTGCTGTCTGTCTTGTCTCTGAGGATGGCCTTGAGGTACTCTTGAGATTCGATGGAACTCATATGGAATTCTAGAATGGAGCTGTAGTTGGATTGACGGCTCTTTGAAGTATTGCCAGAGAATTTGTAATCACTTGTAGTAAATAAATGTCTTGCTCGATTCTATACGGTCTATATCTCAGGTTCGAGGAAGGAGGTCATGGGCCGGCTTATATATATATCAAGAGCCTGATGTTGATTTCCAATGCAAACGCGGCTTCGGCAGGGCCAGTCTCATGTTGACTCACGAAGGGCACAAATACATGACCAAAGTACATGGCATCATGTCAAAGGGCGCGGCTATGAGTCCTAGGGAAAAAATAGGACCATTTGGTACAAGTCTTGTCAATGCTAGTGTCTGTTTTCGACGAGGGTAAGACGGGGGGATCGCTGCCGAAGTGGAGGTCCTGTCGGCTGTCCGACCCGGGAGGTTGATTCCTAAAACCAATCACGCCTCGTTCCCAATCCTCGGGCTGAATGTTGCATGGGCTGGTTGGTGAGCCCCATGGCGGGGAGGCTTGAACGGCCAATCGTTTCGGGTTAGACCTGCGCGACCAGTCACTTTGAAGTTTTGAAGTTCGAGTATGTTCGGTCAGTCGAGTCGGGCTAGAGGGCGGAGGATTCAATGTGAGAATTTAGTAAGCCGACCGCTCCAAAGGGTACCAGCGGCCAAGGAGTGCCCACTTCCGAAGCCGACCCCACTGTCTCCGAAGCCGAAGCCGAGTTCTTCAGTCACCAACTTCATGCGGTCAACAGCCTACAGCTGAGCTGACGATGTGTTGATGGGATTTCCAATCTACTTACCGAAGTTTCGCTTACGAATCGAAAGCTCTATTGTCCAACCTTGTAAAAAGGGGACCATAGTGGACTTTTGATTACTTGAGGAAAAGTAAGAATTCTTGTCCCCCACCCTCCATATGGATTCAACGCAAACACCACCCCGGCTCTTATTCCGAAAGAACGGACGGCCGCAGGCATGTGAGCCGTGCCGGAAACGCAAAGTCGCCTGCGATCACGCACAACCCATATGCAATAGATGCAGAAAGTCGAAGCGTCCCGGTGAGGTGTGCGAGTACATCCTCGGCGACGGTCCAGCGGCCTCAAGAGAAGCTCCGAGACAGACTCGGCTCGGGGAGCAACGGCGTGCTTCAAGGGCGCCGTCCTTTCCCCTGACTTCGACATATCAGTCTACAGCAACAACCGCATCTCAACCCGGTCCGGCGCCCGCGGCGATTTCGCGGACGGCGTCAACGGCTACGGCCACAACATCGCCCGCGACATCCACGACCAGGCACCGCCCCTCCATCCCCGCAAGCCTCCCTACCAGCCCGGACTCGGTCAGCACGGGAGCCACCCCGGCAGTCACACCAGCAGTCCTCGGCATCGGCTACCTCGGCTTTACCTCCTTCTGCGGTATCTACGAAGAGACCCGGTCCAGCTTGAAGCAGCTCCAGCCGTGCGGCGCGGCCCCCATCGGCGAGATCGGGAGCGCCGCCTACTATGGGCTCGAATGCTCCCCGCCCCTGACGAGCCAGGCGCTGGAGACGTGCCTGACTATTTTCCGCCACATCCCGGATCGCGAGACGGGGCTTAAGCTGTTTGAGAGCCATAAGAACCCGAGCGACGGGTGGATCCGCGTGGCTGCAAAACGCATGATTGTATCGCTGTACGACACGTTTCCGCAGTACTTTGAGGCCTCCTCCTCCTCCTCCTCCTCCGAACATGGACGCCCAGATGATGCTCAGCTCACCGCGCTCGCCCGCACCGTCTGCGGAAATACTGCAAAGCGCGTGTCTGAGGAGGAGTCTGACCCGGCCAAGTGGCTGGCGCAGTTCACCGGCACCAACTTGCGGTGGGAGTCACTGGGAGTGATGTTTGCATACTGGGAGCTGGCGGCTCGTTATCTCGGGCCGTACCGGCCGGACGTCGGTTCCCGGTTCCAGTGTGTGGAAGAGGGAACAAAGTTGGTAATGCAGTATAGATACTGCCTCGGCGCTTGTATAGAGTTGACCAAGGCTGCTGGTAGCGGAGGGAACACGCTGCTCCTTTTCATGTGTTCGAAGCGAACCATTATCGAGTCGCTCTTCTCGGGCGATGCTAGTAAGTGATGATCCATGCCTGAGTTTGGAAGGCCGATTTCATTTCCGTACACCGACGAGACATTAGCGTGAAACTCGAGGGGAAACACCGATTGATCTCTTTATATCTCTAGGCTTCGCCTGTTGGCAGCTCCACGCAGAAACAGTAGCCCTTTCCACGTTCCTAGGCTTCCATGACGAGGTCGCGGCGGCGCCGGGAGCAGCCTACAAGCCGACCATCTGCTCCGAGATCAAGCGCAAGCTCTTCTGCTACATCTTTTACGTGGACAAGGTCCTAGCCTCGTTCGCCGGCCGACCGCCCCTCATCAGCCGCCGATACGCGCGCACGCCGCCGCCCCTGGACCTGAAGGACGACCACCTCCTCTCCGACGAGGCCTCGCTGGCGCGCCACGTGGCTGCGCTCGACGCGAACGGGTGGAACACCGAAGGTGGGCTCTACTCGACCACCATCGTCCGGGCCCGGGTGATGCTGGCCCATATCCGAGACGAATTATTCGAGATTGCGCTCGGCCAGGGTTCCGTGACGCTGGTGGAAACGTTGTTGTAAGTTGGCGCATGTGTCAGCTGCTACACAACCGATTTGAGAGTAAGGATCAGTTACTGACTTTTTGGGGGGGCTTGCTTTAGAGAAATCAAAGAACGACAACTCCGGACCGTTGCTGGGTTCCCTGAGATTATGACTTTCAAAGAAGAGGACATCCAAAACAGGAACCTCGAGGTTTCGTTGCTGTACACTCGACTTATCATAAAGCTGGAGCACCTCCAAAACATGTTCTTCATCGAACGGCTGCTTGCAAAAAGAGGCCACGACGACGGCGCCTTACTTTCCGTGAGCTTTGAGATGGTTTCCAAAACCCTCATGTTCTGGACCAATATGGACCGCCTGTCTTGCATGAACGGAGACTTTGAATGGCTTGTACGCATCCCTCCCCCTCCCCCCCTTTTCAATTCTCTCACACAACCTGCCATACCCGAGGGATTCTGGGCATGAAAGCTGACACAACACCAAGGTGATGGCCTACGCGGCCCCGGGAGGCGGCATCCTCTGCCTCGAGCTCCTGAAGCCCACGCTCCACGGCGGCCACCACCCGCAGAACCCAAAAGTGTCGCGGTCGAGCATCATCCAGAAGCTGAGCCTACTCGTCGGGTTCCTGGACTGGGTAAGCCCCACGGCGCCCAACGGCGACCTCTGCGCAGACTGCAAGGTCATCATCCAGCGCGTCCTCGACCAGGCGCTCAACAGCCCCCCGGCGTCGGCCTCCTCCGCCGAAGACGGCGCGATGCCCGGGATGTTGGATATCCCAATGGACTGGGATTTCTCCACGCAGCTTGATTTCAACTTTGATTTGCTTGATACGTTTGATTGGTTGCGTCCGGAGATATCTTCAAGTCAGCAGTCGTCGTAGTGGGCTCATCGAAGGGGCAGATCTGATGAGTTGTCGATGGGGCCGGGATCATGGCATCGAGAACCCCTTTGCGCGAGACGACACTCCTCACCATATTTGATTGGTTTGAGATGAGAGAAGCAAGGCCACATCATGGTGTGCGTAGAACACTGCATGTGTCCGAGATGTGAGCATTGTCACCGGACTTTTGGCAACACCATCGGGAAACGAATGCTGAAGGAAAGGCAGAACGCCATGGAATGAAATACCCTGAAGAATAAACGAATAACCAGTTTTGAAGTGGTGCGTCCATCATATTAACCAAACAAATGCTCCCATGCCCGCCCGATTCATTCAATTCATACACAATAAACCTAGCAAACCCACGGTTGCACAGCTGGCCAGAAAATAAAGTAAATCAAAGCCAAGACAAGCCCAAAAGACAAGACGGCAACCTCCTCTGAGCCAAAGTGGAACCCGTACCGCACATTATCCAACGACTTGTTCCCCGGCGACTGGCTCTGCGGCTTCAAGATGCCGTCGAAGCCCCTGGCCCAGGGGACCTCCAGACCGCGGTCGTCGAGGATCTGCTCGGCCGTGATCTTGGCGCCGGCCATGACGATGGGCACGCCGGTGCCGGGGTGCGTGCTGGCGCCGACAAAGTACGCATTCTCCAGGCCCTCGGCGCGCGTGCGTGGGCGGAAGGCGAGGACGTTGAAGATGCCGTGCGTGAGGCCCAGGATGGCGCCCTTGTCGAGGTTGAACTTGTCCTCCCACGTCAGGGGCGTGTTGACAATCTCGTGCGTGATGGAGTCGGTCAGCGGCGCGCAGCCCGTCCTGGCGCTGACAATCTCCACGACGGCGGCGCGGGCGCGGGCGACGATGTCGTCCCAGTGCTTCGGGTCCTTTGTCAGACCTCCCTGCCCGTCGCCCTTGGACTCGGTCAGGTGGCCGACGGGGATGAGGACGATGACGGTGTCCTTTCCTTCGGGGGCTGCCGAGGGATCGATCCTGCTGGGGACGTTGACGTAAAAGCTGGGTTGTTCGGGGAGTGAGTGGCGCTTGAAGATTGCGTCAAAGGACTCCTGGTACTCCTCGGCGAGGAAAATGTTGTGGACGGACAGCTCGGGGATCTTGCGGTCCATGCACCAGTAAAAGGAGATGGAGCTGCAGCTGGCCTCCCTCTTGCGCAGGGATTTTGTGTAATCCGTGATGGTCGGCGTCTTTGGGAGGAGGTTGCCGTAGGCGTAGACGAGGTCGGCGTTGACAATGACGACGTCCGCCGTGAGGGACTCACCCGTTTCGAGCTCCACCCCCGTCGCCTTCTTGCCGTCCGTCAGGACGCGCGATACCGGCGTGTTGAGGCGGTAGTTGACGCCCAGGCGCTCGCCAATGCGCACCAGCGCCGCGACGACCTGGTGGAAGCCGCCGCGGGGGTACCAAATGCCCTCGGCATACTCGGTGTACTGGAGCAGGGAATACGTCGCCGGGGCGTCAAAGGGCGACATACCCATGTACATGACGGCGAACGTGAACACCCGCCGCAGCCTCTCGGTCCAGAAGTACCTACTCGCGCGGCTCCAGATGCTCTCCAGCGGGTGCAGGTTCACGACGTGCCTCACGAATCCGGGCCTCGCCAGGTCCAGAAACTTGCCAAAATTCCGGTGCAGCACGTCCTTGACGGAGATCTCGTAGTGCGTATGGGCCTCCCTGAGCCACTTGAGGTATCTCTCAAAGCCGTCTTTGCCCTCCCAGCGCTCGATCTGAGTCTTCATGGCGGCGAGGTCGGACGAGTGCTGGAAGAGCTCGCCGTCGTGGAACCAGATGTTGTAGTTTGTCTCGCAGCGCAGCAGGTCGACGCCGGCGTCGGCGAGGGTGGTGTCCAGGTCCCGGAAGGTCTCGTGGAAGAGCTGGGGGAGGAGGAAGAGGGACGGCCCTTGGTCGAAGCGGTGGCCGTCGTGGTGCATGAGGGAGCAGCGGCCGCCCGTGAAGGAGTTCTTCTCGAGGACGGTGACAGAGAAGCCTGCCTTTGCGAGGCGGGCGGCGAGGGCTACGCCGCCGGCGCCTGCGCCAACGACGATGGCCGTCTTGGGCTTCTCGCCGAGTTGAGGCATTGCTTATGAAGTGAGTGGAATTATACGAAAAGTATCTACTACAAAAAATGAGATAGATGGCTGGGTGACGGGTAGTAAGTGATGGTCGTAAGATTGTACAGATAAGGTTGAGTACCCAATGAGTCTATCACCAACTCACAGCACAATGGGAGATTTTGAGAGGCAGGCAGAAAGCTGGTGAAAGAGAACTTGATTAACATTCATACCAGAATAATTGTCCCGTCATTCCAACAAGCATGTGAAGAGAGGCGCGGCGGCCAGTCGTCCCTCGCATGCCATGGGATCCACAAAAGCAACGGGTGCAGGGGGTGGAAGGAAATCGCACGAGAATGGGCTCCGCACCGGCCGGTTCGGGGCAGAGTCCAGAGAGTGATGACACCTCGACTTCGGAGGAGGCTCCTGGCTGGCGAACGTTGCAGAGACAAGACGGGCGGACGGCGCACAAACTTCACCCCAATTTTTATTCTTTTGGACTATGATTACCTTGTACCTTGGGTACCTAGTCTGTGGCGGGCAAAGCAAGGGACAATGCTGCATGGAGCTCACGCGGCACGTACAAGCTAGGTAGCTAGCTCTACCCAAACAAAAACGGTCCTTGAGATATCGATATCGTATTCGCGGATCGCGATCGTTTTATCCGCTTCTTCGGCTATTGCTTTAGATTGAGCAGGCAACCAAATGGGAAACTTCGCGGACTCGGACATTTGTAACGTTTTAGTTTTCTAATTTTTCCATTCGCCGTGCCGTTTGCTGTGCATAGTGCCTAGTCCGTGAGTACGGATAAGTGGGCATTGCAACAAGGAGTTGAGGTTTTGGGTGATGAATCACGTTGAATCCCAATCACCAAGCTGTCCCCCAAACAGCTCTAGGTGCTCTATGGAATTCTTGTCTCCAATTGGCAAACCGGCACCTGGCATTCATCCCGCCCTGTCTCACTCGCCCCTTTCTCACCACGTTTGACACATGGCTGTATCTTTCGAGCTCTCATCCCAAGAAAACGTTTAGTGCTTTTCCTCTCTCCTCCCACCTGGCTAGGAAGCACTAGACCCGCGCCCGCTCACTATCCGACCAGTAATCCCTGATTCGATCAGAACCTGAAAGTGGGCTGGTTGTATGCAAAATCCCATGTTGGGACGCGCATATGGCCGTCATAGACTTGCAATTCCCCTCGGACTCGGCCAACCAACCAGGCCGGCCCGGGCCAACCACCATGAAAGTCGGAGCTTTCTAATTACTGCGTAGCTTACACCAGACTCAAGCAGAGGGAGCTGCTGCACCTTACCTTGGATCCTCAACAATCCCATCCCTCCGTACCTTTCTTTCCAGACGTAGCCCCCCACCCCACACCCAGCCCATCGCATTGTCTTGCCGGATCTGGAAAGAAGCTCTGCTCGTAAGCGCCACCTCCTCCATCTCACACCATACACCGTCGCACCCTTGACATCTTCGTTACCTTCGTCTGGAATTTATGAACTTCGGGAAAGTCCGAGCTCCGAGTTGGAAACAGCGCCTGAAAACATGACCGGAGCAACTTTCCCGCAAGACAACGATCAACCCGAGTTTCGTTCCACTAAACTCGGGACAATTGTCCATTCCTCCTAACGGGAACCAGCCGAGCGGCCAAACTTGCCCCTGGCCTCCATTAATACGCTGCATTACGCTGCAGGAGTCACAGTACAGTAACAGTGATTACCTAGTCCAGTTGCCAACAGAACATACAGAAAAAGGACGCAGGAGAGCAGAAGGGCACACCTTTTTGCAACGCTCCAACGCCGACGTGGGGCCCGGTTCATTCGCGTCTGTTCACCTCAACTCAACTCACCTCACATACCTGGCGCTAGCCTCTCTGTCTTTATTGCGTTGACACCCGCGAGCCCCGATTTAATTACACCTCACCTCTCACCTCTCCCACACGCCCCAAGGTGCTGCTGTCTTTCTTTTGTGCAACCTTGCCGCAGGAACACCTTGCATTTTGGCCTGCTTCGGAGTCGGACGGACTGCAGATGGGGCGAGTGCCGCTGCAGCCGCAGGAAGACAAGCTTCATTCTTATCAACACTCGCCGTCGCCAAATCCCGCGTCTGTTTCCTGAAGCACCCCATGAGAATCTGCTCATTTTTCTGATTCTTCACGGTCTTCACAAACTGCAGCCCTCCCAAGATGGGCTACGATTACGCATTGGTGTAAGTAATTCTGCCGCTCAGCTCTTCCTCAGCTCAGGAACACTCATTCACCCCTTGCTAGGCATGTCAAGTACACCATCCCTCTGGCGGGACTGCTCACTTTTATCTCATACCCTCTCTTTACGCGCATCGATGTCGTGAGGACTCTCTTCATCGTCACAATCGCCTTCACGGCCACGATTCCTTGGGACTCGTACCTGATCAGAACCGGCATCTGGACGTATCCCCCAAATGCAGTCTTGGGACCGACACTGTTTGATATCCCAATCGAGGAGCTGTTCTTCTTCGTCATACAAACCTACATCACCGCTCAGCTCTACATCATCCTCAACAAACCCGTGCTTCATGCTCAGTACCTGAACTCCCCCACCACTCTCCCCAGATGGATAAAGACCGCCAAGCCCCTTGGCCAGCTGGCGCTCTTCAGCAGCGTCCTCTTGGGCGCATGGCTGATCGCGAAAGAGGGTGAAGGTACCTACCTTGGCTTGATTCTGGTGTGGGCATGCTCTTTTGCCCTCTTCACCTGGACTATTACGGCGCAGTTCCTCCTGGCCCTGCCATTGGCATGCACCGCTCTCCCCATCCTCCTGCCCACAATCTACCTATGGGTTGTTGACGAGATGGCTCTGGGTCGCGGCACCTGGGCCATTGAGAGCGGCACGAAACTGGAGTTCAAGCTCTTTGGCAGCCTCGAAATTGAAGAAGCAACCTTCTTCCTGGTCACCAATATGCTCATTATCTTTGGCGTGGCAGCTTTTGACAAGGCGGTCGCCGTCTGCGATGCCTTCCCAGACAAATTCGATAAGCCGGCCGACGCCTTGTCCATGTCACTGCTGCGAGCCCGCGTTTACCCGTCCTCCCAATATGAAATGGAACGCATCTTGGGCATCCGCCAGGCCGTCACCAGACTGGCCAGGAAGAGTCGCAGTTTTCACCTTGCCAGCTCCGTCTTCCCAGGCCGCCTGCGCATCGACCTGACGCTGCTGTAAGCAAAATTTCCGCGCCCCAAACCTAAGTGTAACCCTGTTTGCTGACCTACTACTCCCCTCTGCAGCTACTCCTACTGCCGTCTAGCCGACGATCTCGTCGATGATGCCGAGACCCCTGACGAAGCCGCCTCCTGGATCTCCAAACTCGACCGTCATCTCAGCCTGCTCTACAAAGACCCCGACGCGACCTCGGCGCCTCTTGCCTCGAAATACGCTGCGGAAAACTTTCCCGGGTCAGCCCTCTCGGCACTGGACCTACTCCCCTCGTCGCTCATCCCCCGCGAACCCCTCGCCGAGCTACTCAAGGGCTTTGAGATGGACCTCTCCTTCAGCAAGGAAACGTTCCCGATCACGGACCCCGAGGATCTCGAGCTCTACGCCGCCCGCGTCGCCAGCACCGTCGGCCAGGCGTGCCTTGAGCTGGTCTTCCGTCACTGCCAGCACAACCTGCCGGACTACATGCAAGCCTACCTCCGCAACACGGCACGCCAGATGGGCCTCGCGTTGCAGTTCGTCAACATTGCCCGTGACATCGCCGTCGATGCCAAGATTGGGCGCGTCTACCTCCCCACGTCCTGGCTCAAGGAGGAGGGCTTGACGCCCAAGGACGTCCTCGCGAACCCAAACAGTGAAGGGGCCGGTAAGGTCCGCCGCCGTATCCTCGCAAAGGCCTTTGACCACTACGGCGAGGCCAGGGACTCGATGAAGTGGATTCCCTCCGAGGCGCGCGGTCCCATGGTTGTCGCCGTCGAGAGCTACATGGAGATCGGCCGGGTCCTCATGCGCAATGGCGGGGCTGCAGCGGACGGGAGCGGTCGGGCTACAGTACCCAAGTCGCGTCGCGTCTGGGTTGCCTGGAGCACGTTGATGGCCGCGTAGCTGGGCACTGGGATCTATGTTTGGCACTGGGAGCTTGCATTATCGTCTTAAATGTCTTTTCGTCTTTTCTTTTCCCTTCCCCCTCTCCCCCTCTCTTCAGCCCCCTCCCTTTGGCATTGATAGAGGCATTTCGTATAGACAGCATGGCGTCCATAGGAATGGTTGCAGTATGACATAGACGTGACCCTACACAAAAGCCGCTATGCCTGTGGTTTTTCTCCGATCATTGCTTCACGATGAGATGCCTTGCTGTCGTGATCCCCACTGAGATCGGTCTTTCCGATCGAATCGTCGCAGCAGTGACATCAGGTCAAGGTCTGTGTCCATTATAGGTTGCCCCGGGAGCTATGTAAGCAAAGTCCGTGCGGGGCATGCAAGGGGCGTGATATTCTAAGCTCATTCACCTTACCGCCCAACCATCTTACCGACTCGCTGTGAGGATCCACCGAGCACCGGGACCCAAACGAGGATAGGTCTCCACCGCCAAAAGTAGAGCCTCCATCGACAACTGCCACAAACCGCCAAGTTTTCTTTTCGCCCATCTCGGCCCATCACGGGGAGAAGAACCACCACACCTCCGATCCAATTGAGCCGATCTTGCGCGAAGCTCAATTCAACTGACAGAACGAATGCGCCGATAGTAGACAACAAAAAACAACCTCAAAGATGATACCCAGAGCCTCCAGTCGCCGTATCCTCCGGGACCTGGTCCCCTCGCATCGCTTCGCCCCGCGACCCTTCCTCCAACCCTTCACATCCACGCCCTCCTCCCGCCTCCAAGCGAAGCGCCCGCCGCCGCCGCCGCCGTCTGCGCAATCTCCTCTACAAACCCAGCAACAACAAGCCGCCGCCAACGCGGCCCTCTCGAACCTATCCCATCTCACCCCGGCACAAATAACAGCCCTCCTGTCGTCAACACCACCACCGACAACACTACCAGGAGCAGCAGGACGAGGCATCCCCGGCGCCCCTCCCCCTCCAAACGCCGCCCGACACCAACAACCACCCGCCGGCGCGACCCCCGGCCCATCCCGCCGCTCCACCCTCCTCCGCCGCAGCCTCTGGGCCCTCTTCTTCTTCGCCCTCGGCTTCAAGCTCACAGCAGACCAGCTCGCCACCCTCCGCTTCACAACCCCCTTCCTCCACCCACCCGTCGTGATAAACGACCCGCAAGAGATCCCCCTCTACCGCGCCCACGCAACCTACCAAGCCATCGAAGACTACCCGGTCCTCCAGTCCATGGTCCCGGCGGCCCTCAACGAGCCCGTGCCGGACAGGGCCGATAACGGCGTCATGATCGGCGATATCCCGCTCTCGCACCTGCGGCTGACGGACTGGGAAAACTGGGAACCCTACCGCGACTTCTCGCCCGAGAGAACAAAACACCACCTCTGCGCGGGGCCGGCCCTGAATAGCCCCAACGGCCTCGGCCTCGTCAACATTGTCTTCCGGCACAGGTACACGGGCGAGCTCATCCTCGCCATCATGTTTGGGCAGGGCACGTCGGGCTGGCCTTCGGTAGTCCACGGCGGCATGCTGTCTACCGTCATGGACGAGGCCATGGGTCGCCTCGCGGCGATGAATTTCACCGCCAACACGGCCGTGACGGCGAAGCTCGTGATGGACTTCAAGGTCCCCGTCACGCCGGGCATGCTCTACCTCGTTCGCGTGCACAAGGCGCTTCCCGACTTCCAGAAGGAGAGGCCTGACGAGGAGGACAAGACGGATCGCAAGTTGTGGATCGTCGGAAGGATGGAGGATCCGGATGGGGCTACTGTTGTCGAGGCCAAGGGGGTTTTTGTGGTTCCCAAGGGGATCAAGGTGGAGTCTATGGGTAGGAGGTTCTGAAGGGGTGGTGGGGTGTAGCTTGCTCGGTGTGTGAGCTGGGTTCGAAGAGGTGGGGATGGAGAGGGAAGGGGGAGATGAATGGTTCTTGCATTCCATGACGTATGTTGCAAAGGAGACATACAGGTGACCTCGAAGGCCTCTGGTTTTGAAGCTGAGGCAGGGGAGAGGGGGCGAAGAGCACTTGAAGGTGGCGTGTACCGATAGATGTGGACTCAAAAAGGGAGCAATAGACAGAAGTCGTGATACCTTGGAATCAGGAAATGCAATAAACACATTACGATATACACCAGAACAAGAGTTGACCTCCATCACCAAGATCCGGTGAGCGACGAAGTAGGCCGGCCTCTAATTCGGGCCGCGTGCCCCCGAATTGTGAGATTGCTTACTTTATGGGTCGCGGGTAAGTTTGCTGCAACTTTCAGAAGATAGGCGAGTTGCGGTCTCAACTCTGAAAGAGGCTTACACCGATCCCAGGACGTTGGTCGTCGGACATGTGTTCCTCGTGAGTTTCGCAAGGTACTACCAATAGTGCTCACGATTCCGCTCCCTGCCCGTCCTTCTTAATCGTGTGCGACACTGGTAATGCATAATGGGTACACAATCACCAAATATTCGAAACTTTACTGTACTAGTGATTGATAACTTGAGGTATATGGTTTGTTGACCACCATGCTTGGCTACCTTCAGTTTTAGTTACGGCCAAAAAAGAGTGTTATTCTCCATCAGAAATGTGTTGGATACCTCCAGTTTTATGATCAATGATGAGTTTTCTTTGAGGGCCTGGGTGGTCAAGTGACGGCTCAAAAATAGTAAATCTGTATTAGCAAACAAAGCGCTAGGCATATTTTACACGCGCAAATCATACACTGCCTGTAGAGGCACGCCGGTAGGTTCTGTCCCAATGACGACCAAATACCTCCATTCGCAACAACATTTCTGCCCATATCATAGCTAGTACACCTTCAGAAATCTCACTATTCCTTAAATCCGTCACAGGATAGGCCACAGGATGCGCCGTCGCTGAGTCGCCATAAGCTGTCCCATATCCACGTCAAATTGAAGTATACCAAAGCGCGGCGGTTCCACCAATCATTGTCCGTGTTATTCGTCGAGGACATATCGACAAGATTAGCTCCTCAATGCGTGGCCGAGTCTATGGGTCTCTCGCATAGTCATATTAAAGGCAAGTGCCTCATGCCCAGGGCAACCGAACTGAACAGGACCAGCAGTCCCATCAGCGTGGATCGCAATGAGCGGGAATCGTACCGCGTTGCAGCCTGCAACTCGAAGTCGTCCATGCATCCAGACACCAAGAATTCCCATGATTGACCGGTCCGGACTTGCCATGTATGACGCTAAACACGTCTAGCAACCCCTTGGCTCTGGAGTACAGCGGTGAGGCGGGTGTCACCGATGAGCTCGACCATTGCTGTCCAGAACCCTCGTTCTATACCCATAGAGCGCCTATGACTGAGGGCCAGATGTTGCGGCTGTCCATTGCGGCCGCGGCTGGTTATTAGGGTGGGTGTTGGGCACGTAGTATGAATTGAAACCCCCACCCCTACCGCCGAATGCTCCTCGTCCCCCGCGGTACCCTCCTCCACCGCCGCTGCTACCGCCGCCTCCACCTCGACCACCACGTCCGCCACGATAGCCGCCGCGGAAGTCACCGCGGAAGTCACCGCGGTACCCACCACTCGTGCGATACCCCTGGGGACCATTAGGAGGGGACCTTGATGAAGAGTTGCCTGTTGAACCATGATCCGAAGCAGCGCCGTTAGACGGACCATAGCCGCCGTTGGAGCTTCCTGGCCCGGGAGGCGGTCCTCGTGACGGACCGCCATTAGAGCCGTTACTTTGGTTGGAATTGCCTCGCCCCCGTCGGCGATTGTTATACTGCCTTCTGCCAGTCTTAGGCTTCCCTTCAACGGAGAAGTCGATCTTCTTGATTGGGTCTGTAATCATGATGTTGTTGCTCAGGCCAAGATGGTCCAACTCATCCGCAGGCGTGGTCCAAAGCTGGAACACGTTTTCCAATTTTCCCACGTTGCGAGTTTCGACAACCCAAGCTTTAACATACTCTCCGTCCTTATCATAGTCGAAAGCTTGCTTGACGGGGTTGAAAATTCTGTTGTCGCCACGGGGATCATTACCCACGCCAGCAACGTACTGCCAGTTTGACCAGTTTGAGCTCACGTCGTAGTCGACAAGAAGGTACTCATACCACTCCGCTCCATACCGCCAGTCGATGCCGAGATGCTTGGTCAAGAAGGACGCAACATTTTGGCGAGCCCTGTTAGAAGTGTACCCAGTGTGGTAAAGTTCGCGCTGCGAGGCGTCGATCAGACCCATGCCGGTCGTTCCCTCTAGGAATCTGTCCAAAGTCTTCTGAATGTCGCTAGGCGATGCGCCGAGGTTGTCATCAGAGACCACATGCTCAGGGTCTGCCGACTTCCACTTAGGAGTCTTATCAGACTTGAAACCTGTGACACGGAACAGCTGCGCTCTAAATTTCTTTGTGCACAGGCGCATGTAGTCGCGCCAGAGGAGTTCGAATCGAACAGCTTTGGTTCCGTCGTTTTCCCCTTTGCCGTACCCGGGCGTTTCTTTGAAATTCGCATCCTGTCCGTCCTCAAACTTGACTAAAGCCTCATGAATCTGGCGAGACGTTAAGCAGCCCAGGGAAAGATAAGCCGAAAGCTTGGTGCTAAAGTCGACACCGAGGAGCCCGTTGCGAGTGTCCTTGTAGCTTGACATGGAACCGTTCTTGACGAGATGGTCAAGACGCTCGATGCCGACGTCCTCTCCACCACGGAATGGATGAACAGAAGTGGCCTTCTCAGGGAAGTTTGGCTCTTGACGGAATGGACATGTTAAGGGCTTTAGAAGTCCAGATTCTAGGACATCGTAGGTGGTTGGGATTTGGAATGGGGCTTGCTGAGGAGGAATGGCGGATCGCTCGGGGTAGGGCGGGAGGGAGCCCTTGGCAGGGCGAGCCAGCGTAGGCCTTGGCTTCTCGCGTAGCGGCTCCTGTGTTTTCCTGAAGGCTGTGAAGACATCTGCAAGTTCGCTTGGGGATTTGAAGCCCAGGTCGCGACTGGCGAAGAGCGGACTGTTAGATTTAGGCAAGACATCAGAGGGAGTAAGGCTTACTCGTCAATAAAGTACTTCTCATCCAGCCAAGTTTTGAACTGGACTCCGTACTTCTCACAGACCTTGGCAATGGTCTTTTCGTCCTTCTTCTCTTCTGTTGCCTCCTCTTCGACCATCCAAACGGCGCCGACCTGCTGGCGCTTATCCGCAAAGCCTTGGAGGAGGTCGCCAACGACATCACCAAACATGCCAGCGCGCAAAGCCAAGCCGCTGCCTACCCCTTCCAAAGATTCTTTGAGATTCCACACAGACTGGGCTATGAACCTGGTTCGATGAGGTCCACACCGCCAAAACTTTCCAATCTCGCTGCGAGATTCAGGGTAAGGGGATTTTCCACCTTCTCGTAGTAGACCAGAGATTTCGATCTGGTGTGCTGGAAATACGTAGACGGGGAGAACATGTGTGAAGCCGTGATCAGAGGCGGTTGCGAGGTGATGGAGGATGGGATTGTCCGCGACGCGTAGATCGTGCCGAAGCAGATAGATGAGAATATTGGATGCCGCCATTGTGGGCAAAGATTCTTCGTGTCTGATTTGCAAATATTGGCCAGACGTAAAGCTATTGCAATTGTTTATGACACTAGGTATTCGATGGAATATTTGGTGTTGGTCAAGTGTCGAATGTTCTGAGCCTATATCTTGGCGGCACTTTGAAGGAGAACTCGTCGGTTCGTGAATTTGGGAGCGAGGGAAGAGGGTTAATACGAGCCCTTATTGGTAGGAATCTAGACCAAAGTCATGGCGTAAGAGAAGCCGTTAGATCTGCTTTAGCTCCTGAAAAGAGACTAGTGTCGTAGTCGCCACAGAAGATGCAGAGGTTGTTTTGTGAGCGGGATGCAAGTGGTAGAAGGGGAGTTTTTCCACAAAGGCAGGGTAGGCGAGGAGCGGCAGACAGGGTTCCCCTTGGGGCAAGGAACAAGCTGGGAGGAACCTTGGACTCTGGGACTTTGAAGGAGAAGGGGGTGTCCTGGGGCGGAAGAAGAGGTGAGGTTAGGTTGGGGCCAAAGAATATGACGCAGGAGACGCTAGCCCAGGGGTCCTGCCGCGATGTGATGGGTTGGGTGGTCGGATGATGAGGCTGCAAGACACCTGCGGCATCGACTTTTAGGTTAGACGATCGGGAGTGAGATGGGAAAGTATGGAGAAACGCGAGAGGGGGAGGACGACCCGTCTCTTTGTAATAGAACCACAACGGGGCCGTCTTCGGGTAAGAAGGGCAGAGTTTTTGTCAAGAGGAGCAAACCAACCCCGGGGCGTCTTGCCTGGGAGTCTGCTGGCTGGAGCACCACAGATTTGTCTGCGCAGTTCCTGATGGACACGGGGACATTTGCAGGATCAAGCCGCCGGCCCAACTGAGCTGAACCCGGAAGGTTCACAACGCAGGCTCGCTAAGGAGGTGGGGTACTATGCAGTGAGATAGATACAGTAGGCACTGCACAGCGAGTTGGGAACGTGTGGATAGTAGACTTGGCCGATGGGTATTGATATTCCGATAGTTGGCCCAACGGTATGGAGCAACGGACTGAAAGTTGAGAGGTTGTTAGGCAGGGAGAGGTTGTAAAAGCAGAAAATGACAGAGATCCAATCAGTTTGCACGGACATTTCGCCGGTGGCTTAGAGTAATCATGACGCCTCCTCCCGATTGTGACCTACTCGAATGGCAAGCAGACACACCAAGTAACATTGGACCCTGAAATTTGAAGATCTTGTCGGGTCTGGACCCCCCGGTCACCCCCCTTCCCGGTCTGTTCAGGTGGCCGCCTGATTTGGATTTGCCATGCAACCCAGGAGAGCTTCGGCAGGAATACACAGGTTCTAGCAGGCAGGCACCTTTCCCTTGCCTGTCGGCCGACTCCGAATGAGGCAAAGGAAAACGGCCGTGGCAGGTGACGGGGCCAGTTCTGTGACCATAGACAGGATTCGGCGCCTTGGCCCAAGACCGATAGAGACCTAAGAGGGAGGGTAATTTCCATGTTGAAAAAGGCCGAGACGTGGCACGGGGAATGCGTCTGGCAGCAGGAGAGGGAGAAAGGGCCGTAGATTGCCTGGCGATGGCGAGGGCATGGGAAAGATGGGTAGCGGTGCGCCGAGATCGAAAGGTACTTCTGATGCAGAGATAAAGTCCGGGGTTCCAGAGATCGAGTCCACCCGGACGGATCCATAGGACTAGTTTAGTGGAGATCATAAGTCGGTACGTACAGTACGGAGTACCTGCTGCCCTACCTGACCAGGGACGACACTCGAACCCTCAGGCCGTTGGCAAGCACCTGCTTACCTCACCCTACCTTACTGCTCGCCTTTTGTCACATCTCTGAATCATCGGGTTCTGCTTTCCTTGGGTGGTTACGGATACGGCTGAATGTCGCTCTGGCATGGGAAAGAGCCGCCCAGGCTGTCGAAAGAAAAGAGCGTACCGAATTCCACCCCCCTGGACCACCTGGCCAACGCAGATTCCCATCCATGGACATCCCATCCCCTGGCTCCGGAGCCATCGTACTACATCCGCCCAAAACCACCCGATCGATCCCATCCTCGTGTGTCCAACTGCTGCAACCGAGCATCGCGGGCAGTCTGCAGAGCGCAAACCCATTTCCAAACCCACCTCCCTGCCAGTCAATGCAGGTCGCAATGAAGTTGGAGCTTGCGGCGGGTTGCGGCTTCCACCGGGGGACATGATGAATCATCGAATACCACCAAATGTTCCCGCTTTGTTCCCAGACTCCCAGACTCTCTCCCAGACTCTCTCTCCGTCTTTGGCTTTGGTGCCGCCGCCCCTACCACATACGCCACATCCACTCGGCCGATCGATGGATGGATTGGGTGCGACACCTTGGTGCGAGAGCAGAGCCTCCAGTCCACGCAAGCTTGAGCGCCTTCATAATGTTATCAAGTCGAGTCTCAGATTTAACTCGCCGTATCAACGCTACACGGCGCTTATTTCGCGCACAACTTATTTGGAAGCTTTGGCAATCGTCTTTCGTTACCCGCCCCCGGCCCCCCTTCTTCTCCTCTCAGAAAAGCCAACTTAAGAAGAGACGGTTTGTTGATGGCTGCGGCATGTGAGGTAGTTGAGCTGAATGAAAGTTGCAGCTAGGCACCCTGTTTCGACTTGCTTCAACGGCTCCGAGACGGACTGTTATTCGCCAGCAACACATCAACCTCCAGCTGAGCAAGGGTTCTAGCTCCAGTGTTTGATGAGCTAAAATTCGCTGGCGTGTCATCCTTTCTGAGGAGACACTCGTTCTGCTAGGTGTACGTCAATCCCAACCCCATCACCGACCATTGTGAGCTTTAATTGAGATGATGGAGAGGCGTTGCGGTTTACTAGGCACAGCTATGCCGTTCGGCCGAGCTGTGAGAAAAGACCAGCAACTTATTCGACAGCAATCTCAAAACCATCCGCCATTACGCTGCACTTCGCTGCGGCGCTGCGGAAACCGGCGTCATCATTCCCGCGTGCGGCGCATGCGGCGCATGCGACAAAGGCTAATGTTGCCTTGCTTTAATACTTCCACTCCATTTCCGATCATGAGGCCCGGGGCTGATGCACACTTTGGCATTGGAGGTTTGAAACTCGAACCCCTGGCCAGGGCGACTTCAACTCGATCTGCGTTCAGGGTTTGGTCGTCCAGCATCACAGCCCCGGTGAGTTGCTGGCTTGATGAAGCTACGGCTAGTCTGACGGAAATTAATTGTGATGTATTCAGTAGGCAGAATTAACCACGCTCCTTCGGCGTGACCAACAATGCGGCGCCGAAACCCCGAATCAGCCAATGAAGCCCGCGCCAACACTTGATCTGCACACCAAATGCTGAGAGAGCAGAATTGATGGATCAGACCAGGCGGCTGCGTTAGCCCTGTTGTGGACATGCCACGCTTTGCTTGGCTACGACTTTTCCGACGGCACCGATTTGTGCACCCGTTCTGGGCCCTTGATCCTGAACCGCCCATCGTGTCGGGGAATCCACCCCTACAAAACGTGCGTTGGCCTAGTGCTTGGCTCTTGAGCAAACGGCGCCCCGCCGTCAGACCTGCGAACACCTGTTGTTGCACTGCAGTCGCGGGTTTCATCTTGGACAACGTGGCTGTTGTTTCTTCTTCTAGAATTCTGAATGTGACAAGGAACGCGCTACAGCACGTCGTGATCCAAGATGAGTGGCGACGAGGCTGTTATCGGAAGCGCACATTCGACCGCCAACGCTGCTACACGAGGCCTAGACTCTGAGGATGGAAGCGCCTGTGCGGAGGACGCTCTTCTGAAATCGGCTCCGTGCATCGTACCTTGCTCATAGGACACACACGGCTAGGCACATGCCGTCGATCGAGGCGCTCTTTGGCATCCTTGACCATCGAATTGATCCGACCGGTATTGCTCCGCCGGGCCGCAGCGCGTCGAACCAGGTTTCACTCCGCCCCGACATTCTAGGCCCGCCCAAAGCCGGTCACACCCGGGTAGGGGTACCGGACTCGGACGCCCCGTCCCATATTTCATCGACATCCGGATCGGTGTTCCACGGCCGACCTGCGAATTATCATTGTCTCATTATCTCCAACGACGCCAACTATTCTATTCTACAAATTCTCCATGCCATGCACGTCACTGCGTGCTCGCCACGCTGTTTTGTTTTTACTGGCCTCAGTGTGCATGCATCCCTGCTCACAGGTCTCGGGTTTTAACGCCTGCCGCAAGGACTCGCGCGTGTCTGGCATGCGAACAGGGCGGATTAGGAAGTCTCGACCGTGACCGACTCTCCCACACGTCATTGGCGTAGTCTCTAGTCTTCAGCCACCCGCACATGGCCTGTTCATGACTCTTCCTTTATCAACTTTGTACTTGCTTTCACGACGCCTCGCCAGCTCGATGAATCTGCTGGGGAATTTGAGTCAGTGCCAGTATGATAAGTTCGAGGAAACGAAGCCGGAAGTGTGAGAACTTTGGTCTAACTGTCTTTCTCGTCTCCTAATGGACAACCTCTTCGCATCAGCTGTAGGCTGTGTATCGGAGAGACCGCAACCTGGCGTTTGCCCTTCCAAAGTGACAAACTAGCTCGGCACAGCTGGAGAGGTCGATAATGAATCTAGACCCCAGGTGGAATTGTCCGAAGAAGGAAAAAAGAAAAAAGAAGAAGAAATCGCCCCTGACGATCATCACCCAACCGTCCTATGGCATCATCGGTCTCAGTTGACCTACTAACCACGTCTCTGGGCAATGCAGCCACAATCCTGTAGCCGATGCCAATCAAGGACGACATTAGGAATACCCATGGCATTCTACTGCAATTTCCGAATCGCCATGTGGATGGTCTGCTTCTCAACAATCTAGGCAATCTCGATGGGCGACGATTCAGCGAGCGCATTCATTCAGCCGTCCATTCTCATACGTGTTCGCCGCCGTTGATGTTCGAGCCATCATTTCTCTGCGTGGCTATTGGTATCATAGTGTCGTGGGTGTCAGCCCAGTGAGTCTGATGTTGGAGAATGACATCGATTCTTGCAAAGAACGCGTTATGGGTACAGCCGGGCCACCGCTGCAATGTGGAAATTCTCCGCGTCCTGGTCAGATGACGTCTTGGAGAAAGTGGCTATTGTGTCGTCGCGGCTGCAAATCACGCTAAAAAGCTACTACTTTTGGGACCAGTTCCCTCTGGCGGCCATCAACGGCGGGCCCCCGGAACCAAGGGGCCAGTTGGGAACTCTTTGCTCGAGTGACGACATGCGAGAGGACTAGAACCAAGGGGAAATGTCGACTTTGTGAGCGGCAGCAAGGGCCGACCTGGCGCTTTCGATAGCTTTAAAATCTCGACATCTTGTCAAGAAGGAGTGGAGTTTGGATCGGCCGGCTCCTATGAGCTTCCAGCAACGGCAGTTGGTGTTGCTGAACATACAATATCCCTGCGTTGGTAGAACCCTGAGATGCCATTTCGTATCCGCAGATTGGGGACAGACGCAACTCGCCACTGGTACTGGATTCCCGTTGCGCGTTGCAATTTCCGTTGACAGTTGCTCGAACCGCGATCCCGGGGCCTAGGTTCTACCTCCGGCCATGGTATGTCACGGCATAGGAGGTGATGGGACTGCAATTTGGCAGGTACCAAGCTTATTTGCGCTAATGTTGCGCTTGCCGACGCTCAAGTGTCCGCGCGAGGTCCATTTACACCCACAGAAAATGTCGTCTTGCCGACGAACACCGTCAAACTGGCTTGTCCGTGGTTGATGGTCAGGCTCCAAGTAGAATCTTGTCCCAGCAATGTGCCTCGATGAGGAGCAAGTCTGGTACCAGCTCATATTATCTTCATACCTTTGAGTACACGTATATACTAGACGCCCGTGTCAGAACTATCTTGCTAGGTGATGACCTCGTAGCCAAATATCATGGCCAAATTCGAGATACTTGCGAAGACGAAGATAAGAACAGTGAATCGGCTCGCGTTGCATTCTCCAAGTGACCACCAAACACCAAGGGCAGCGACGGTGGTTTCTGGCAGGTAGAAGATCAACGCATGATATCCCGCGTGACGGATGAAGCGGAAACGAACCGGACAGCGTTTTGGACCCCACCTCGACAGCTCACAGGGCAGACTTGAAGGCCTCCGTGGTGTTTCTCAGCGAAAAAGGCCGGTCATTTTTGCAGGGGATTTCTTGAGGAAAAAGAGCAAGTAAGCAGGGCAGTGGCGAGAGGAAGCTGGCCCACCGTGAGGGAACATGAGTGCGGCCTCTACTGTTCCGTGATGTACCTGATTTAATAATTTCGCTTGAGGAATGAGTAACAGGTGTTTTCCCGGAGCTACAGGCGTTGACCCAATGGTTTCTTGAACTTTGGAAGTCACCGTTGGTGCATGGCCGAGGCTACTGGCAGAGCTGATATCCTTCTTGTTACTGAGAGTAGGCTTCTTTCAACTCTTCTTATTTATTTCAACTCTTCTTATTTATTTCGCGACGTTTCCTAGCATCCATAGGCGAGGCTCAAGGGGTCAGTATGGTGGTGGTTTGCACGGAACACCAAAAGGCTTCTAGACGTGGGAGCCGCGAACAAAAGCAATGAAGATATCTCGCCGCGTCAGCTCACAGCATCGGGATCACGGCGGTACGCTTCGCATTTTAGAGCTCAAGGCTAGACTCAGAGTTGGTATCTTGGACGTACTTGCGACAGTGACTTCCCAAACCTGCCAAAGGGGTTCTCTTAGGTTTGTCAAGATGCCGTAGGGGTTAAACGAGGAGACACCTCGTGATACTGCGATATATCGCAAAGATTCTATCGGTAGAGAACTTATGGGAAACGCGAGTCGTCTCATTGGTCGATATAGAGCTCATCCGTCACCTGTTTGTATCTACAGGCGGAAGACCTGTGCTGATGTGAAAACAGGCCGTCCTGGTTGTTGGTTCCAAGAAAGATGATGATTCTGCGAAGCTTGGGCTCGCAAAGCTTCTGAAGGCGTCTCCGGAAGACGAACCTGTGCTACGTAAAATCTGGTATATACTACTCACTGGACGCTGCAGACTCTACAGCATAGGCAGAAGCAGGCATGAGTTTGCACAGCAGTGGACGGAAATCGTCGGGAAGCATTTCCGCAAAACTACCGGGATTTGGTACAGGCATGAACATCTTTGGATCCGATCACGGCTCTTTCGTTTGCTCGAATCGCAAGAGTCCCCAAGATGGCTCGGCTTCTGCTTCGCAATATTCTCACCCTGCTCCACGTCATACCGCACATCGAGGAGGTTGACAACGACCAAGAAAGAAACTTGTTTGGCCATAAACCTCTGTACACCTTCTATTGACAGTGGAAAGAATATGGCGTTGCGTCAGTTATGACAGACGAATGTGTCGGAGACCAGTGACGGAGACTTGGTGGCAGTCAGACAATGGCAGACTTCCCGCGACCCCTGAGATAGCTATCAAGCTACTATCCGTAGTCTTTACGTCGGATGAATTGCGCTTCGATGGACAAGTCAAATCATATTTTACACCGTCAAGATGCCCGTCTCCGGATCTCTGAGCAACGTGGACTGGTGAGGAGCCCGATCGGCGTTTGCCTCGACAGAAACTGCCACATGAGCTGACAACATTGGTCAACTAGGGAACCAAGCTTCTCCACGATTGCTGTTCACGGCGGCCCAGAGCCCGACCCAGTATTACCCTTTGGATGGTCATTACGACACTTGGCTCGCTCTTATTATTCGTTCATAGACATGACCTTTCAAGGTAGAGATGGAAGGCGAGGAGATGAGGCAGAAGAAGGCAACGATACTAACGGTGATTACATCTAGAACCTTTCAGGACATTATCGTGGGGTCTAGAATCGTTTCCACATGGCCGTCTGAGTCTAAATACATCACCTGAAAACGTAGCCCGAGAGATATGCCCCGGGATCATCAGGGAAGTAGTTCGCGTTCGTCGCATGCTGTTATTCTCTGGGAGACCGAGCGGCAGATTCCCAACGTCCGGCATGGGGTGTCGAACAGCTACGCCCCGGGTCGTCGAGGGTACACGCCCTTCAAGAGCCCCAATAGTCTCTGCCTTCTTCTGTCACAGCCCGCGGCGTATCTGTGGTCGGCATTCCCACGGCATGCAGCTTCGGACAGGATACCAGCACTGTGGCATGTTGGTGGAAAAGGGGCAGCCCCTCACGCCGGAGCTCCAGATGTTGCCATTCAACGCCATAGCTGACTTGGACTCGTACAAATGACCACTGAGGAAGGTCATGGTGAAGATGCGGGGGGAGGTCGGTCCTATTGAGCCACCCGTACATCCCGACGAGCATCGAAATAAGTATATTAGCAAGTATTGTCGCAGTCATCGCAGCAGTCCATCCGATCGAAGGCGACTCGTTCGTCACGATCGACGTTCACAACGTAAGCGACATCTTCTCCACTCTATCAAATGCTCAAGCCGGTTGGACTGAAGGCAGCCATCGAAGCATAGGCAAATGGAGAGAACATTCTGGGGCTTCCTAAACAGTAGTCTTCTGTGGAGAACCCTCCCACCAAGATCGCGGAAAGAGCCGGGCTCGTAACGTGTGGAGCGGTGCGGAAGTGAGTGAAACAAGTGTAGAGGTCTCTGTAGGAGTTCAATGCCGAGTGAGTTGAAGCCTGGGATCAGGAGGTGCTGCCACGCCACAACAGCATACAGCTTCCCTTTCTTCCGTAAGCAGACATTATCTTGCCAACGAAGAGCAGAGGGGTACATCGTCTGGCAAGCTCGGAACGTAAGCTGGCATTCACGCCGAAAGCGTCCACGGGAGAATCTTCTACAAAAGGCGCCGCCGACGCAACGCTCTTGAAACTGCGCCAAGGTCTATTTGACTCTCACAGCGTGACTCTCACAGCGTCCAGCTTCAAGCTGGTGATAAATACCGCAGTCCCGAGCGTAATTCAGATTGTAGAACCTACAGGCCTGATGCTTTATAGAAGACCGCATTTGATATCGAGGCAACGCACGTCAAGTACATTTCCCCGTCGTCTTACAATACAGCTCGCAGCGTATCCGTGTCTGAGTATCCCTGGGGTACTGAGGAGAAATCACTATCGTACAAGTATTCCGGCATCCCCTTCAAGTTAACGACGTACCTAGAGTCCCTTCCGGCTATCTTGCTGGACCATCAAAATTTTCGCCACCGACTCCTCAAATAACCATCTTGCGTTCCTCTCCGTGAGGCCTGACCCCTTGACGCCTAACCTCCCGGTTTCTACGGGCGCCACCACTACCATAAATACTACGTTAATCAACTTCAGCCTCGCTCGTCCGCGCGGATGGTGCCCCCCCCCCCCCCCCCCCCCCCCCCCCCCCCCCCCCCCCCCCCCCCCCCCCCCCCCCCCCCCCCCCCCCCCCCCCCCCCCCCCCCCCCCCCCCCCCCCCCCCCCCCCCCCCCCCCCCCCCCCCCCCCCCCCCCCCACCACCCCCCCCCCCCCCCCCCCCCCCCCCCCCCCTCAACAACCAACCTTTCTCCCCGTGATGCCTCTCCCGAGAAAGGAGCACACAGCACCAACCAAAAGCTTCCAAAGCAAGTCCAAGACCAACACAAACTAAACAATCAAAAATACAAAAAACAGTCACGCCCGCTCCACCCTCGAAAAAGTAAACACCTTTGGCCTAGTCTACACCCTCCACGGCTCCGACCCCTCCCTCAAACCCATCCTTCTCGCAGCCCACCAAGACGTCGTCCCCGTCGCCGACGCCGCAACCTGGACCTACCCGCCCTTCTCCGCCCACTACGACGGCGAATGGATGTGGGGCCGCGGCGTATCCGACGACAAGAACTCCTTCACCGCCCTCCTCTCCGCCCTCGAGACCCTGCTATCAATCCCCGGCGGAGGACTCAGCGGCGGCAGCGGCGGCGGTGACGACAACAGCTACGCCTGGACCCCAACCCGCACCATCATCCTCGCCTCGGGCTTCGACGAAGAGTGCTCCGGCGCAAAGGGCGCCGGCCACATCGCGACGCACCTCCAGCACACATGGGGCAACGACAGCATGGCCCTCGTCCTCGACGAAGGCGGCATGGGCCTCCAACAACTCGACGACGCGACCCTCTACGCCCTCCCCGCCGTCATGGAAAAGGGCCACGTCGACATCTGGCTCAACCTCCACCTCACAGGCGGCCACTCCTCCGTGCCCTTCCCCCACACCGGCATCGGCATCGTCTCCGAAATGGTCGTCGCCCTCGAAGCAAACCCCTACACCCCTCTACTCACCACCGCGTCGCCCCTGTACGAGCACATTGTCTGCCAAGCGCGCTACTCCCCCCGCGCGCAACCCAAAATCACCCAGCTCCTCGAGGAGGGCGACCTCGACGCCCTCGCCGCCGAACTCGTCTCCCTCGACAGGCCCACGCACTACCGCCTCCAGACCTCGCAGAGCGTGGACTACTTCCAGGCCGGACAAAAGATCAACGCCATGCCCGAGAAGATCAAAGTCGGCGTAAACTACCGCGTCGCGCCGCAGAACAGCATCCCCGAGATCCAGCACAACGTCGTAAAGTACATTAGCGGCATCGCCGGCAAGTACGGCATCAAGATCAAGGCGTTTGAGGGCGACGACGAGTACGAAAAGTACGCCGCGCTACAAGAAAAGAAATTTGCGTCGGTGGAGGAGACGCTCGAGGATGCCGTGAAGCCTCTGTATGACGTCGACTACAACGGCACGCTCTTCCTCAGCCGCACCCAAGCGACGCTGCCTGCTCCCATCTCGCCTACAAAGGGCCCGGTCTGGGATCTCTTCTCGGGAACGTTGCAATCCAGTTTCCAGTTTGACGGTGGCAAAGTCGTTCCCGTGGGCGAGCTGATGACGGGAAACACCGACACGAGGCACTACCTGAGTATGTCTCCATCAGGCCCATTGGCCTTCTCTCCCCCAAACTGTAGGCGACAAAACTAACCATGGAACAGGTCTTACACGTAACGTCTACCGTTTCGTGCCCATCCGCAACGGTTACACAATCAACGCCCACACCATCGATGAGAGGATCAAGTTCAGCGCGCACATGGAGATTTTGAGATTCTACTACGACTTGATCCGCAACTTTGACGCCGCAGACCTCTAAGTAGCTCATGATCATGAGCGTCCTTGTTGAACGTTGTCTAGACGGGTGAGACTGAGGGTTGAGGCGAATAAGCAAGTCCCGTGCACATAAATTGACGATGTAAATGGAACAAGATGGTATGAATTTGAAGCGAAGTCTAGATATGCAAGTGATTGTGCGGCATCCAATGTAGGGGTGTGCCTGGGTATGTACGAAATAACATGCTGAAAAGATCTGTGGCTTTTCTACAATAGGCCACTATTATGCAATAAAGTTTCCAAACATTATACGGTCACGACGTGTCAGTTGACAGTCTGCGTGACCAGAGGCCCGCCAGTGGTAGGCCAGGCTACTGCCGTTGACAAAGCGTACAAGTCGAACATGCGAGGTCCGCCACAATAGTTGGCGGTCGCAGTGGTAGTCGTGAGCACGCCGTTCGTTGAGAATGTGCTGACGCTGCCGTAGCAGTAATCCTTGCAGGCACCGCGTCCGACCAGTGACGTGACGGCAGCGCCGTTGAATTCGAAATTACTACCGCCGTAGCACTCGTGGTGGTATTCCATAAAGACATACGGCAACTTGGTCGTCGAGGTTGGCGAATTGCTGAAGAGCGAGTTGGCGTAGCCAATACAAAGCTCGGGTGTACCGCTGTTGTTGGCGAATAGTCCAGGCAGTGCGTGTCCCGCATTGGTGTCCTGGAAACAACCAATGTAGTAGTAGCCGTTTGTGGGCGTGGCAGTGGGACCCGCAGTCGTGCTTGCGCTGATGAGGGACGAAATGCTTGCCGTGGTTGAAGCCGGGACAGTTGGTACGGGAATGGTCGAGGAGGAGGACGTCGGCGGCGCTGCGGAAGAGCTGCTGACTATCGAGGTGGTCGTCAACGCCACGACGGAGCTAGATGAAGGTACGGCCGAGCTGCTCAACGGAGAGCTTGACGAAACACTGGCTGACGGGCCGGTGAATGAAGCCGAGGTGGAAGTAGATACCAAGCTACTATATTGAAGAACGGAGGAAGAAGTTGACGGAAGATCGGAAGCCGATGATGGCACCGGCGACGCAGGAGAGCTTGAGGCCACGATTGAGGAAATTGTCTGAACAGACGAGGTTGACAACACCAGGGTGGAGGACGAGCTGAATATTGTCGACGTGGGCGACGATGCCGTACTTGAAGCCGAGCTGGGACTGACTGGAGAGAACTGGTAGAGGTCAAGACGCCCACCGGCACCACAGTATTGAAGCGCATTGCCCTTGCAGAGCATGTTGCAGTCTGTCAGCGCAGCCGGCAAGGATCCTGCGTTTGGGGTATTGCCGCAGAAGCATTCGCGGCCATATTCTACACCCATGTATTGCCAGTTGCCGGCAGAGCAGAAGGTGGCACAAGTTTCGACAGTCATTGTGTCCGCGGCAGTGAAGGCGCCCGTCAAGGCGCGGCCGTTGCTACCTTCCGTCTGGCAGCCCAAGAACTTGTAGTTGCCGGCTTGTGGAACATGTTGGGGAGCGGAGGGAACCTTGTTCGGGACCGTGTTGCTGTAGACTGACAACCTAGCACCAGCACCGCACAAGCCGACTTTCGAGCCACTGCATGGTGAAGAACAATCCGACTCCGCGGTAGAAGTTTGAGCCGCCTTGACATCCCAGCCGCAGTAGCACTCACGGCTATATTCGACACCAAAGTAATTAAACGCTCCGCCGTTGTAGGCCCCGGCGCTACAGAATGCGGCGCATTTTTCCAAAGTCATGTCATCTGCAGCTATGGAGGCTTCGCCTAGCAGGCGCGTATTGTTGACGAGATCCTTGAAGCAGCCAGAGTATTGCCACTGACCACTAACTACGGCTGGCATGAGGGAGTTTATGGGCGACATGACCGTTGTAGACGAAGGGCTGGAAGAGGAGGTGCTTGATGACGATGTAGACGTGAACGAAGCAACTGTACTTGTGGCCGGCGTGCTGCTGAAAGATGACAAGGCGATGGAACTCGAGCTGCTGGAAAGTCCTGGGGCCGAGGAGCTGATGCTGGAAACTGCGCTGCTGGCGCCGATGGAAGAAGATCCGCTGACAGAGGTTGTCGAAATTGTGACGGCACTGCTAGAGGACGCAATGCTGCTGCTGGAACTTGTTGCAACTGGCACCGAGGAGCCGGAGCTGGAGCTTGGGGCGGTGAGCGAGAGGTAGAAACTGGCGATATCGAATGAGGTGATGTCGGCGTACAAGCTCATGTGGCCATTATCACCTCCGCAAGCCTGAGTATCGTCACCCGTGCAGTCAAAGGTGCACAGATTGAGAGAGTCATCTGTGTACGTCGACGGATTCTTGATGCTTCCGCCACACCAGCACTCTTGGTGATATTGTACTCCAGACAGAATATAGCCCTTGGCAAGGCATAGAGTCTGGCATTGTTGAAGAGTGTTCGTCGTTTGTTGAGCAGCTGTGTTGACCGAAACCTGCAAGTTGCGGCCCGCACTGCTTGTGTCTAGGAAACAACCAACCCATTGGTACCGCGCGGTGCCGTTCGTGAGGAGAGGTCCGACTTGTTTTGAGACAACAGTGCCGGAGAATGCGATGTTGTGCAGTCCAGAGGCTTGGCCGGTGGCGGGGTCGTTGCCGTCGGTGCTGATGGTCCACAGAGCTTTGAGAGCTTGAGACGGATGGTTGGGTTGAACAGGAGCAGCATGGATGCCAACGCTGCCGATGGCGCATGTACCAGCTGCAACCTGCGTCCCTTCGGTAAGCTCGACAGTGGGGTTCAAAGCAAACAGCTGAGGCGTCGCAGGAGGCTTGGAGATGGTAATCGTCAACGGAGCGCCCCCCTTGTTGCAGACTCGGATTTGCTTGTCAACCGAGGTGCCAGCAAGAACATTGCCAAAGGCGATGTTATAGTCCGAGAGTGCGTTCCAGTTACCCGAGCCGTCGGCAAGTTCAAACGTCACAGCTGGAGCATCGTTGACGGAAGCGCTCAGCGTCAGGACAGCGGAGCCACCGTTTGACCAGATGGCAACCTTTGTGGCGTAGGAGCCCGCAATGGATTGGAAGAAACGGAGGGGAACAGAAAGACTCTTTCCAGAGTCCAAAGTGGAGCCGACAGGAGGAAATCCAGACGACGTAAATCCAGCACCCAGAGTGCCGTCACTGGTGAAGTTGGTGTAGGCGCCAGCAGTGTTCTGCCAAGCAAATCCGGTGAAGGTGAGGGTGCCATTGCCGATATTCTGGAGCAGAGCAGTACCGGTCAGACCGTCGGGAGAATCCCGCAGCACAAGTCTTCCGAACGTGATATCCGACGGAGTCGCCTTGAGGAAAGCACCTTGCTTAACTACGGTGCCCTGAACTGTCACGAAAGTGCTCGGGGCGTAGTCGGTCGTGGCGTTGATAGCCAGTGTCAAGGCACTAGTGAGGAAGCCGGGTATGACCTTTGAGGCAGTGTTTGAGAGGTCCCAAGTCACGTTCAAGTTGAAGGATGTACCCGCAGCCACGGCGCCTTGAGGGAGAGTCGAGTTTGAGCACGACCAGGACGCGTCGGCAACAGAACATCCTACCACACCAGCCAAGGCGACGTTGGCCTTGCAGCTGACAGTGGCGCTCGCGGTAGATCCAAGTTCCAAGGATCCAAAGTCGAGCGGAGAGGTGCAGTTGACGGCAGAGTTGACCGGCGCACCGAAACAGACGAGCTTGTTGCCGTTGACGTGGAAGAACACTCGGCCATCGCCGAAAACGGGACGCTGGTACTTGTTCGTGCCTTGGGACGATGGAAGGGCGATAGGGACCATGACGCCGTCCTGGGGAATGGCCTTGAAGGCCATGAGCCCGGTGTTGACATCAGTAATCCAGACCTATTGCTTGTTAGCTGGCAATTTATCATGTGTGGGAGCTAATGATGAACCTACAATTCCAGAACCAGCCTTGCCATTGTCCGATGTGATTGTCATCTGGCCAACGCCAACACGGCCGGCAGAAATCCATGTAGACTGTCCAGCGAGACTGAATTGCGGTGTGCCCTTGGAGTCAAAGCCGAGCTTGTAGGCAACAAGAGCGCCGCCAACGGTGGTTGCATAGATGTAGCCGCCCTCAGCAGGGTAGCTGCCGAAACCACCATACAGAGAGCCACCGAGCTCGATAGTTTGCAAGATACCGTCACCACCGTCCGCAGCTTGACGGAATCCACCGAGATTGTCGGCGTTGACCACATAAGTTCTGCCCTTCTTTCCTGCAGTCACGCCTATGCGGTTGACACCAGCGCCCTTGAAAACGGTAGGATCCAGGACGGCGAGTCCGGAAGATCCAACGTCGCGGTCACCAGAATCAAGTGCAATGTAGTCGAAGGGCTGGAAGTAGTCGATAAGAGACCATTTGCCGGCAGCCGACAGCTCCATCTTGACAATGCACTCATCTAGCGTCGACATGGCGATTCTACCGCTAGCTGGAACATTGCCATTGGCGTGTCCCTGGCCGTTACCAGCCACGAAAAAAACGTTGCTGCCGATGGTGGGCAGACCCATGCCACTCTGCCAGATACCTGCCTTGCCGCTTCTTTCGTTGGCAAGGTCAATAGCTTGGGGGCTAGGCGCACCAGGAGCTGCTTCGGTCGCCCACATGCTCACGGGGCCAACTCCTGGGGTCTTGCTGACAGAAACGATGTAGCCGGTGTAGTTCCAGCGGCCGCAGTGCGATCCGAAAGCAGCAACAATGTGGCCGTTGAGCTCCGTCAGGGCTGGACGCTGCAGTGCCACACCGCCGACCAGATACCGGCCAGCATCATTGTCGGCATTGATACCGTCAATGAGAACTGGAAAGCCCGCGACATCTTCGAGACTAGGAATTCGGAGAGCGTACATCTTGTAGACTCCGTTGGCGGTGCCAGAAGTGGTTCCATCCCGGTACCCTTTCGAGAAGACGTACATGATGTCGGTGTTGGGGTCAATAATGGGGGTTCCCGTAACGCCGATGAAGTCGGGAATATCACCGCAGTTACTGTCAGCTGCTGAGAATGGCGCTTGAATGGTCCTCTCTGTCAGGCTCTTGCCGGTCTTGCCGTCAAAGACACGGATAATGTTCATCTCGGAGGCGGTGATGACAAGCTCGGATCCGCCATTGGGGGTGTAAACCAGAGGCTTGGCAAGCCAGTTTTCCTTGGCATTGGGGGATTGGAACGTCCATAGACTCTTGAAGCCTGAAGAGCCTGCGATATTGGGGTTCAGGTTGTGATTCGGAAGATAGCCGGATTGCGGAGCGTCCTATCGGCGGAGGAGCAGTCAGTACTCGATGAATGACTTTTGCTGGCATGCAGAGGTCCCGCCAGTTGCTGAGGTGCAAGCCAGTGCAAGTGGGAAAAAGAGAAGAGGAACTTACAGCATCGCGGTATGAATCGGTGGAGGCAAGTGAAGCAACAAGCACCGGCAGTGAAGCCAGCACTCCCAAAGAAAGTCTCATGCTGGGCTGGTGGGGAATGAAAGCAGTTAACAAACGAATGCCTGCTTCGAGTAAAACAGTCCCAGAAGTGCTGCAAAAAGTGAATGAAGATGAGCACTTGGTGATGGTGGCCTGGTTGAAAGTCTGGGGTACAGGGAGGATAATAAACAAAAGTCAGTTCCTGCCAAGTCTGCAAGTCGAGGTCAAGGCCTCAAGTTCAAGATCTCAAGGTCACAGGGCGACAATAGACGACGAGCAGGGGAGCCATCGTCTCGTCGAGACCGTTGTTAGTCGAACACATGGCGCAAGCTAGGGCCGGTCGAAGGCAGTTCGCTGGCGATGCAGAAGCACCCCCTCCCAGGGCATCCGGACGGCAAGAGGTGAGGTGAATCGGCGCATCCATGCTTGAGGCGGGCTGGGTTTGGTTGTTTCGACTGTCGATGTCGGGTTCCGTAGGGATGGTGCGGACAGCCAAGCCTAGTTTGATTAGGGCGAGATATTGAAGGCGCCAGAGACATTTCAGGACAAGCGGAAAAAGCACAGCTGGGTAAGCAGGGAAGTCTTGTCTTGGCAGGGGGTAGTTCCGGCAAGCACCGTCTAAAACAGCATCAAGCGAGCGCACGCTCATGTTTTGAGCGTATTCGTGGACAAGGCTGGATTCGGAGAGGCCAAGACAGATGCAAGGTCAGAGACCGACTTGGGGACCAAGGGAGCGGAACGGGTCCGGGCGCGGCGGCGACTGTGCTCGACTCGCCATGAGGGCATCAAGCATAAGTTGGTCGAAGCCATGGGAGGGGCCATGATGCGTCCAGACAGTCGGATGGATCCGTGGAGAAGGCCATGTGACGGTCCAGGATTATTCGGATGGCAGACCCTCGTCCTGGAGCGAAAGGATCTGGCCAACAATATGGGCATTGATGGCTCTCTCCATCCCAGCACAATAATCCACCTGGGCCTGGAGCTCTTGAAGGCTTAAGGCTGGTGAGGTTGGGTTCAGTTCAGTTCAGCGCATTACAGCCGCAGCCCCAACGTTATGCGCGCCTCTTGGATCCAGCTGGTCAGACGAAGCTTTGTGGCGTTGGTCTCGGGTTCGTCGTTGGCCTCGCTGACTGCACCTTGAGTTGTTCCCTTTGCCATCTGGTTGAGCTGAACCGGCCAAGGGGTCTGAGGGAAACAAACTCCGGGTGGTTCAACCGTGTCTAGACTCTAGACTTCCAAGGGGGGGAAACGACCAACGCGCGGCGGCAGCTAATTAGTTTGCCACGAGTAGATTGGCTTGACGTTGGTTTGCCGTTTCTTTTTTTGCATATCGGCAGAATGAGATCTTCGCAGGTGCATCCGGGTTGAAGACATGAAGAAGCAAACACGGCATGGCGGACACAGGCGCACAGGGGCCGAGGTTCTAGTCTGAAAGGCTGCCCAAAAAAAGAATCAAACGGACGGAAGAGCGGAGCAAATACTCGGAGCTGGACAGGGAATGCGGCCTGGGGAAGATTTGGTGGCTTTCTGGCTATGCCCAATAAGGAGCCATGGGGTCCCGAAGGGAAGGGCGGGGAGCACCCTCGAGTTACGCACCTGCCGTTCTGCGACACTGAACATTGGATGAGGTAAGGTGCCTCAATGAGAGCAGCTGCAATTCACCTGCACTTTGCACTTGCACTCTGGTGTCCGGCGCGGCTGCATCTCAAGTGACCATGTCGCATTTTCTGGCAGAACAACACGAGTATCCTGGAATCAGGCGGTCCGGAGACAATTGTACTTTGGTTGCTCGGTTGCCTAAAGTAGGTACCTTAGCTTAATCATGTTAAGGTGCTTAAGGTTGTTCGCGCTAGCCATGCACGCGGCTGCAAGCCAGCACTCTGCAAGGGCGACAGCACGCGGCGGGAGTTCAGCCGGAGAGAAGCTACCGCGGAACACCTGAAAAGTAGCGTCTACGCCTTCTCCCCTGCCCATGAAAAGCCATACGTGCCATGCACCCATCATGAGGGCAGACGAGGTGATGACGTCCACTAAGCTTAGGGACGCAGGGTGGTCCCTCGTAGGCTTCCTCAACTTACAATGTAGGGTCGGTTGACACGAAATCGCGACTATCGAATCTTATTTCTCGAGGTTATCGTACAAACCAGGAGAGGGGGAGACCGACCATGCACGCCTGAAGCAAGCCACGGTGCAACTTGGTGTCCTCGTCGTCCTCGTCGTCCTCGTCGTTCTCGTCGTCCTCGTCATTCTTTCCGGTCCTTCTCAACGTGGACGGACGATGACAAGGGTGGAAGGAAAGGAAGGAAAGGAAAGGAAAGGAAGGACCATCCGATGCCTCGCCACACGTGCTTGCCAGCCGGACGCCGGGGCGCACCTTGCGCTGGCCCTTCCATGAGTGGGGGTGGCAGGCACGCAGGGTGGCGGCCCAAATCGTCGGTTCCAACATGTTTTTGGGGCAGTTGCGGTCGCTCGTTTGTGCCTCCCATCCATGCCATGCTGTAGGTATAGATGTGGTGCCTGCTTGCCTGCCTCTACTGCACTTATCCTGCCATTGCACGCAAACAAGGTAGGTAGGGCGCAACGAGGCTTCGTCCCGGCATCTGCGGCGGGAGAGCAATCTTTTCAGCTTTTTACCGACCTGTGTCCTTCCCGTTGTTCTCCCTCTCGTCACCGCTTGTTTGCCTCGAGTTTGTCGCCATGTGTGTTGCCGTCTCATTGCGTCCCTCACAAGTCCCTAAGCCAGACATCAACAACCGACGCCACGGCCAGCTGAAATGGACCTTCTTTCTTTTCTACGCAGCTTGTTCCACCAAACCAGCAGACACAAATGGAGCATTGATAGATCTCAAACATTGGCTTCACATTGGCACTCGGCTGCATCGTGACAGACGCCCCCCTCGTACGACGCGCTGCCCATCGCCTGCGGCGTGCCGACTGCAGCCTACTCGCGTCCGCGACACCCTCGTGGCTCTGCACCGACTCATCGAGTCTTTCTTGTCTTCATCCCGCGGCACGCCAACTTCCGAGTCCTCCTTGCAACCACTGCGTCCCGTCTGAGACTCTGCCACTCCATGTAGGGCGCATGGATAGCAATCTCGCGCGAAAACAATCAATCGCCATTCGTCGGATGTTTTCTTCGTCCAAAGGCCTGTTTCTCACATTGCGGCTGCTCCCTTCTGCGTCGTCCCGTCTCGCGTGGCCATCCCTTGGGCTGCAGTCACTTCAGTAGTCTCCCGTCACAAACTCTACCTTTCTCTTCTTCTTCTCCTTTTTTCTCACACATTTGTATTTGTGTAAGTCGCATAAGCGCGGCGCCAATGCCAGGTACCAACGGTGCTCCTTACCCCTTGAAACTAACAAAATTCCCATCGACCTCCTATCATTGTCTCAACGTTCTCAATCGGCCGTTTCCCTCAGAGGGAGACTACTTTCATCGGCACTTGAACGAATGGCCTGATTAGGCTGTTCACTCGGGCATACTGACAGATTGGAGATGCGGCTACCCAGCTTTGGTGGACTACGAAATGCCCAGGCTCGTTTCGGTTATTGTTCCGAAGCCACGCCGATTCAGCGTCCGGTGAAGCTTCCAAAATACCGGCATTCTTGCCATTTCTGCTGTCTTTACCACCCTGACGGATAGGCTCATACTACGACTTCTGTTTCTGTTTTCCATCATCAATGAAAGACTCTTTCAGCGGCTCCTCGCAGCGCCTGTGCGATCCAGCAACCCATGGCAACAGCCACATCCAAGTCACGATGCTTTGCCCCCTTTCCTTTCTCCACGGTCTCCGTCTCATCTGAAGGTCTCGCCGTCTCCCATCTAGACCTAGGTGGTCTTGCGAGCTCGGCAAGTCGCCGTTGCCATGAGTATTATCAGAATGCCCAGTTTCTTCAGCTCCTTATCACAGGCCTTTACAAAGCCGTGCTATCGCAAAATCTGGGGGTTTCGTTCGCTGGCCATGATGGCGCCCAACCTGGCAGCATTTCGAGTGGTTCAGCTCAGGGCTCACCATCAATTATCGCCCAAGTGACAAGCTTATCTGCCCCGTTCCCAAATGTTCGGAACTGGCTCTGATCACCATGTCAAGAGCTGTCGCACGTCGAATCCCACATGGCAAGGAGCGGCTCACGACCGGTATCCAGTGGGACGCAGGCTACAACCCTTCACAAGACGTGGACGGAACAGCAGCGGCGGTGAGGCGTTCGTCTTCCAGAATTAAGTCAAAAGCCATTCCAGCTGGATGTGTTTCAGATCTAAACAGCGGCTTGCCAAGCCATCTCTGGGTCATAGCCACGCATTGCAGGTGCCAAAAGTCGGGGCCAAGGATGATGTCGTCGCCGCCACCACATCCGTGTGTTTTCTCTTTCTGTTTTTGCCTTAATCTTCCGCGAGCCGGTCCCCGAGCGCCCATTGTTTACACCGTCGATCATGGCGCCATCTTCGCTCGCGGCGTAGCCCTTGTTCGCATCAGATCTAAGAAGCCTTGAACCAGCCGCCTAGATTCGGTCGTCTTTCCCGTGCGGCTCTCAACGCTTCCCTCCTTCGTCTCAAGTTCCAAACAAGAACTCAATGTTAGTCCCTCTCGATATATCTGTACCACGTTGTTGCCCCGCAGAACACCCCTGATTTCTCAGCTCGTCGCTACGACGATCCAGCTCTGATTCGCTCCCCTCAATGGAAAGAGGCATGTTGAAATACGCTATTCGATCAGCTCCATTACTTTATTCTTATTTATCCTACGACCAACCAGTCACCCAGTCAAGCACGGTTCTAGGTGGTGTCAGGCCACTTGAGGGCCGAGGGTGAGTTACATCCTTAGGCCCCCGCAAAAAGAGTCGCAGTGGATTCGCGAGTCAGGAAAGATCCGCGACATGGGCGAACCCTTTTTGCAGGACACCCAAAAATACGAGGAGCTGAGCATTAGCGGCGTCGGCACTGCGTGGCCATGGCTCCACCACGAGGACGAAAGAAGATTTAGGCGTCGAAGTTTGCTTCTGTTCACTGTACCCAATTTCCCCTCTCCCGTTTTCGACACCGCGACGCTCAGACGACCAATCATCTCAGGCCTTCCCAATTACAGATTGCGATATCGATGGGCTGCGCTCTGTCTTCATTGAGACCAATCGTCACGACTGAGACCGGGAATGCTCGCACGCCTTGGTCTGGTAGGGCTTGTGGCCACTTGTGCCTCAGGGGCCTATGTGCAATGGCAGGACTGTGACGGACCTTCAAGCAAGACAGATGTCTTCGTTCCCCAGAGTCTGAGCGCCACTTTGGTGCCATCAGACGACGGTCGCCATAACCAGTTGACTCTCCGAGTCGGGAGATGGCTGGAAGAAGCGGAATGCCATGACCTAGCCCGAATGATGCCCTCTGCGACAATAGAGTTCGAGATGCTAGGCCGGTCTGCCGCGTATCGTACCACGACCAAGGCAATATGTCAGAAGCTCAACTTCTCCAAGAATTGGCGCTCACCGCTGGTCCATCCAGCCAGCCTATATCTGTCTGTCTCGGAAGATATCGGCTATCTGCCACCGTTGTCAACGTTCCACACGACTCTGCACCTAGAGGGAAACGACTCGGAAGAGATCAGCTGTCGGAAAGCAAATATCACTCCGGCCCTCAGTTCAACCGTCACCTCAATCGTCACTTACTCGACGTGGGCCGTCTTTGTCTTCATACTTTTTGTCGGCATCCTACGCTCTGCTCATAGCACTCCGATTATATTGCATGATGTGGATGACGAAGAACGACGCTCCATCGGCATGGTTCTACCAAATGTGGGGGACTGTCTCCAGTATCTTCAATTCATCTTCTTGACTGGCGGGCTCAGTTTGCGGTATCCTGGCTTCTACCAACCTGTGGTTAGCCACCTCAATTTGTTCTCTCTCTTTGTCAACGGCCCAATCACCCATGGAGTGGTGTACGATAGGGTTGAGGACGGTATCTACGTAATGAATGGCACGTACGGCGGTACATTTGGCCTGGAACTGATGACACAGATCGCTGGCGCGCCGATGACAATGGACACATGGTTGAACATGGTCGTCCTCATGTTCATCATAGCCGCAGGTGTCGCCTTGGTCCTCGAGGTCTTCTGGTTCATTAAACGGGCCTGTGACTCCGACAGCGAGTTTCCACGGTCGGCCGGTGGCATGAGAGACACATGTAGTCGCGTCTTGCATGGTATGTTGTCATATTTCATGTTTCCACTTGCAGCATTGTCTTTTTACCAGCTTGATAATGCCTCTACCCTACCCGCGTACCATACATCAATGGCTGTCGCCCTCATTGTCGCCATGATGGCCGCTTTTATCTGGCTCATCCGGCAGATTCCTACTCGCAGCCTAGGCATTCTAGTTTTCGATAGCACCAAGCGTTATCAACAACTCCCCGCTCCGGATGATTTTCGCCGTCGGGATGGAACCTTCATCTTCGTGTTATTTGCCCTCGCCTTTGTCAGAGGCGTAGCTGTCGGTGGCTTGCAGATCTCCGGGCCTGCTCAACTGGCCGTCCTCGGCGCATGCGAGCTTGTGCTCTTGGCTAGCATTGCCGGGTTCCAAGCATACTCGACATTCTCCATCGGCAGCATTGCAGCGGCCACCAGGCTTTGCAGCTTGATTTTCCTGATCGCATTCCTACCCGGACTTGCCACAACGAACGGGGTCAAGAGTGTCATCGGATATCTACTTCTAGCTGTTCATGGTGGTATGCTCTTACTCGGCTTTTTTATCCCTTCCGTGTGTAAGCTGTCGCGACTTGTCAGGAGCTGGTGGACAGCACCGCAACCTGAGGTAAGCTTGAAAGTCGACGTGTCTTGCGGAATATCCTAACATGCGTTGTGTAGATCTATGGTCTTCGCCAGCTCCGTCGACGCGAAGTGTCGAGAACAAACCTTGCCTCAATGCACACTGCTCGCACGCCAGACACACCATATCCAGAGCCGAGCGCCGTCGAGGAACCCAACGCGGGCTACCTCCGACCGACGTATCGGGCGGACAGTCCCAGTACTACTCGTCTAGATTCCTCAACTACCTCGAGTCGATACTTCCGTCCGCCGCGATCCAGCGCGTCTGTCTCGTCTGTCGAGAACCCGCGCAGTCTAGGCTCCTCCTTGTACAGTTCTTCTACGCCTTCAAAAACGGCGTCGACATCAACGACGTTTTTGGACCAGCGTTCTGCTCAGCAATCCGGGTCAATCATTTCGCCCAGTCGATTGTCCGAGCCGACCGAGGAGGAGTCCAATTCGTTGTCCCAGAGGTCGCCCGCCAGGCCCAGTGATGAACCTCTCGGCCCACGGTGGAACGACTATTCCTTCCGGGAAGCGGATCTCTATTACAACGTACCTCCCCCGCCGCCAGCAGAGAGGGCATCAGAGGAATTGCCCATAACGCCAGCTGCCCGGTCCTCTTTCCGATCTTCGTCTGGGCTATGGGCAAGAGTCACTGGCCAATCCGGGACGGGTGAACAGGGTTTCCAAGTTTCTCGACCTCGACCGGCCTCGGAGCAGGGTTTCGTGGTTGTTCGACCCGTTAGACCGAGTAATCTTGGCAACGGTGCTCCTGGCAGTGTGCCCAGAGCATCACAATAATGTCACCCGTCGTGTGTCGCGTCGACCACGACGGTTTGGTGATTGTTTCGGCCATTGAACGTCACGATTTGTGTCATATCTTTGTACATATCTAATTGCACGGCGTATGGTGGCGTTGGGGTATATTGATTTTCGGGTTATTTTAGAACGGCAGTCGAACCATTGCCTCACTTTATCATTTCGTCTTACAAACTCACGATAGAGAGAAAGAGTAGTGCGGGCATTCGCATGCCCTGCCTCACAAACTGGGTGGGGGTCAGCCCTTGCAGAGCACTTGGGAATCGAGACACAAGGAAACCCCCTGTCTGGACTTGTTCTCAAAGCTGTCAATTGGTTCTCAATCCGTCTTGAACGCAAGAGCGAAAAGTAAAGAAAGAGCATATTCCAATTTAGGATTCGATCCATGCCAGTCGCAAACTTTCGATACTTCCCCCACCAGCCCCCATGGTACTCTATTGCACGGTGGGCAATTGCCTATTCCGATGCAGCGGGTCCATATGACGGCCCATGATTGGTCTAGACCACCCTAGCAATTGGAGCTGTAAGCCATGAACCACGACGACAAGCCCAGTCTCGCGAGTTGATATTCGGCTCAGATCAGTAGAAGATCAGAGTTTTACCGGCTGTTATTTTGTTACAACTGTTCGATTACTATGAGAAGCTATGGAGAGGATTATCAATGTCACGTGAGCTGGCTCTGACTGCTGCCTGGAAACCGAACGCGCGCGCACCGGAAATGGGATCCCGACTTTCTAACCCCAATTCAATAGCTTTTCTCTTTCCTGATCTTTGGTAGCCTTTTTCCCACGTTCGAGGTAGCTTAAAGACAAATCTTGAGACGCGGAGCTTCACCAGTTTGAACTACGACTGGCGACTTCACATATCGTCAACCAACTTGACAGCCTTTCGGCATCGTACTTTATCACCTCCCTCAAGGTCAACACCTCGCCCACGGCTAGAAGAACCCCCCTTAAAAAAATTTCATCGCCAGCGCAACCCATCCCCGTGGTCCCCAACACTGCATCATTCATCAACGAAGCCCGCGCAGGATTCGATGCAGACTTGAAGTCGACTTCTTCGTCGTCTAACGCCAAAGACAGACAGGAACTCCTCACCTCGATCCAGAGCTTTGCGTTTCAATTTCTCAAAGCCGCAGCCGACTCCCACTCCCACTCCTACTCTCCCGGGGGAAAAGGGGAGGAAGACCGACCAAGCATAGAAGAGACTGATAGTACAGATGTCCTCTCGCGGCAAGGGCTCGACGTGCTCTGGTACATGTTCACAGAGACGGCACAGGTCGTCGACGCGGACGACGCCTTTCAGGACTCGGTTGTGGGGTTGTTGGCGTGGACGAGGGAGTTTGATGGGATGTATAGGCGGCTTCATGGACTCGTATAGGTTCGGGCAGAGTTTGCGGCTCACGTGGAGGCAGTTGATCGCGATGAATTTGCCGAGCGCCGCCGCCGCCTCGCAGCAGCAGCAGCAGCAGCGACAACGTAATCTCGCGGCTTTTTCTGCTAGGGTCTTGGCGGTTGGGTTGTGTAGAGATTTGATTGCTGGGACAGCATTCTGGATTCTTTGCAAGACTTTGGAAGATGACGACGACGAAGACGACGAAGACGACGACGACGACGGGATCACGGATGATCCTCCGCCGCTTCTACTACTCCCCGACGTCGTCGTCTGGCTGGAACACGCCTCGCATGAACTTCTCGCGCGCTGTTGCTCTTCGTCTTCCGCCCACCGGCGCGATCCCACCGCGACGTACTCAATCTCACCAGTTGACGACCCCTCCACGGATCAGGCTACTACCGCGGAAGCCGCCCAGAGGTTTTTCAGCGACAGCAGCAGCAACTTTTAGTATGGAGCGCTGGCTGCGCTGGAGACGACGTCTCCAGGAGCTGAGTCACGACGCCGATGCGGATGTGGCAAGGCTGGCGAAGAAGGGGTTCATGAGCATGGTTTTCTGCGGGAGGGACTTAGGGGTTGACGTGGATGGCGAGGCGAGGTTTTCTGGGAGGCTTCAGGAGGCCATGTATCGGGAGCTTGTGCGGTGTGGGAAGGGGAGCGTGGAGGGGGATGAGGTTGATATTGAGGTGGATTGGGTTGATTAACTTGAAAGGGGGGGCGGGTTGGGAAAGTGATGATGTTTAGGCGCAGATTGGGATGAATCATGATTATGAGAATCATCTTCATGTCTTTAGCATATCTTGAGCATATCTCCAAGTAGGTTTTGACGCTTGACCGCGTTCTCTCTATAAATTGATGCTGATGGATAGGTGGCAACTGTCGCGGTGAGCTAGTGGGATTCGACCATGGTCCGATATGCGCGCATTAGTAAATCTCGTATTTGAGGCGGTTATGGAAGGTTGTACTAAATTTACAGAAGTGTGTGAGCTTTGGTGGTTCTATCAGTGGATGAAAAGAATTCCCACAGAACCTGTAATCTTTCCTTTTGAAATTATCAGGGTTTCAAGGCGCATTCTCTGCAGTATGTTTGAGGCGCGCAACTTCTACGGACTGTGGAATCAAGAGTAGATTATTACTTTCAGGCATCTGAGCAGCTTGGTGTTTTTGAGTCCAATTAATTATGTCTACCTATCAAGTAAAAGAATCGGCTCTGTTTCGCCTCCTTTGATCTCGCATAATCATCATCTTTCCGCATATTGTTTTTATGCTGGGAAATCCTAGATTGCCATAGAATACAAGTTTCCTGACTCCGCTCCGGGTGCTTGAAGTCTTAGGAAGACTAAAAAACTAGCCTAGATGTGCCATTCTCTCTATACTACAAGCTAGGCCATTAAACAACCTTTTTTTTTTTTTTTCGAATGCCATGAAATTTTACATGTAGGTAGCGTAAGGAAACCTTCAGCCTAATCGAAAGTCTCGGCTGTGCTCATATACATCTACCATGACAAAGGTACTCTAGCAAGCACTTGACACTTCCCTTTTCGGTCTCTCGCCCAAAACTTGAGATGTAGTTGAGAGCGAGAGACATGGGAGAGACATAGTGGGCTCAGCATGCAAGACCGAAAGATAGTGTAACCAAGCTCTGCCAGTTGCGGATCATTCCTTGCCGTCTTACTTCGGAGAGTCATGGCACTTTGTAACTCTTTGAAAGGCTTGTCGGGGGTGGGCTTGTCCTGATTAGCAAACAGTCTCAGAACATTCTCGAGGAGCACGAATTCTGCATGATGATCCGAAGTAGTCATGCCCAATATAACTAACAACCTCTGCCATGGTATTGCTGTATTATTGTTATGAATTAACATTTCAAAATGGTTTTTATCACTTTCTTTTTCACTAAAATTCCTTCGATCGCACTTTTCTAGAAGAGCTTTTTATCAAAGTCACCAAGTAGTGGTGACAAAGTTGACAATGATGTCGACAATAATGAACTCCAACCAGAAGCAGGAGAATCACCAATGTGTAGAATTAAAAATTGCACACTAGATCGGCACTATACAATCAAGAGATCAGTGGCGCTTGACCGACCTTGCGCGAGGCACACGAGGCACCCTCGGCGAGTCAGCTCTGCACATGCGCCCGTTGTTGTCCACGATCCAAGCCTCGCTACCGACCGCGGCGACATTGTACAGCAGACCCTTGGGGTCATACTTGTGCTTGATCCCCAGCAGCGTGGGGTAGTTGACGCCGTAAAACGTCTCTTGCCAGTCCTTTTGCTGGAAATCGGCCTCGTTTATGTACGCGCCCGCGCCCGGGGTCGCCGCCTCGATGACGGGCTGCACGACCTCGGTCATGCGCGTCTGCTCGGCAACCATGTCGGCAAAGGGCACCTCGAAGCTCCAGGGGAGGGTCAGGGAGACCTGGACGATGGAGTCGCGCCACTGGGGCAGGACGGCGTTGAACTTGGCCCTGTCGGCGCCATCCTGGCCAAAGTGCGAGACGTTGAGGCCGACACCAATGTAGGTGACGCCGAGGGCGACGAGCTGCCGCGCGGTGGGGCCAAAGTCGGGGAGGACGGCCCGGGGCAGGAGACGGCCGCCAAAGAGCTGGGTGCCGACTTGGATGTTGCCGGAGGGGAGGGGGCCCCAGTAGTGGTTGTAGTGGTCCCGGTAGCTGTCGTAGGAGGTGAAGTTGGGCTGCAGGGTGATGTTGAGCAGCGCGAGGGAGTCGGTCAGGGGCTGCAGGATCTGCTCGACCTCGGCCTGGGTCTTGTTGTAGGCCGTCATGGCCGAAGACTGGAGGAAGCCCGGGCCGAAGAAGTAGATGATCATGACGCCCGAGTCGATGATGTCCGGGAGGGCGGCGTGGAATGTGTCAATGACCTGGTACAGGGTCTCATTGTCGGAGACGGAGACGAGGAACTTTGCACCGCTGACGGGGGCGTCGGGGTGGGCTCTGGTGGTGATGGACGTGACGACGCCGTAGTTGCCGCCGCCGCCGCCGCTCAATGCCCAGTACAGGTCTTCATTTTCCGCCCTCGAGGCAGTGAGGAGCTCTCCCGTGGGAGTGACGACCTCAAAGGAGAGGGTGTTGTCGGCGGCCAAGCCGTAGATGGTGCTCAGGGCGGAATGGCCACCAGCTTGAACGTAACCTCCGGCAAAGCCAACGGTAGGGCACTCTCCCGTGACGACGGCGAGCCCAGCATCGTTGGCGGCGGCAATGGCCTCGAACCCTTGCACGCCCGCCCCGGCCTTGAGGGCCTTGCCGGTATAATGTTCATCCTCCCAATCCAAGATCTCGGTTCCCTTGAGGTAGTGGGTCCAGATGGCCAGGGCACCGGCGCCGGTCGACCGGCCGTTGTAGTCGTGGCCCGTATTGCGAATGATGAAGCGCACGTTCTTCTCGTCGGCAAACTTGAGCGCGGCCTGGACATCCGCGGGCCCAGTCGCGTTCACGGCGTAGCTGACATAGTTGCCCAAGGTGCAAGGGGTGTCTTTGGCCGTGAAGGGGTCGCAGCTGGCGTTGGCGAACAGGGGGGCCATGACCGAGGAGGACGACTCCATGCTGTAAGTTGGCGCGAGTCATTAGTCCTGTCACGGTATCCCTCGCACACCGGTGGCCCGGTGGGCTGATCACGCAACTCCCCAAAGAAGGAGGTGTGACTGCGAACTGATTTTTGGGGGAGAGAGAGAGAGAGAGAAAGAGAGAAAGAGAGAAAGAGAGAAAGAGAGAAAGAGAGGGGGGAAACTTACTGAACTTCCGAGTAAAGCCAAGCCTCCTGAAGGCGAGCGCATTCAGTTGCATTGTAAGCATCTCCGTGGCATGGGCTTCCCAGTGGCACGGTAGCGACGAGACGGCCTCCGACGGTCTCATTGAGCTGCGCCCAGATGTTTGCAGAGGGCCACCCAGCGTCTCCGGGGAGAAACTTGCAAGAAGCAGTCGAGTTTGTCGAGTTGCCCAGGGCTGAGCACCTGGAGGCGGACACGCTCCCGCCGGCCAACACCAAGGCAGCGAGGATCGAGGCGCGCATCTTGGCAATGGAGTAAGGTTATTTGAGGGAACGTGCTTCCCAGCTTCTTCGCAGATCGCTGCACAGTCCGAGCAGCAAAAAAGCAAAGAGGAGGAGGAGGATGAAGACGATGTCGTGAGAGCGAAAGGCGGAGGGGGGTGGGTTGGGAGAGGGGGGGGGCCAAAAGGGAACAAACCGCGCTGGAAAAGTTTCACACCAGCAGATGTGCCTCTGATATTGTATATACGAGGCTGCCCAAAGTGGCTCCCCTTTCTAAATTGCCTCAATTCTGTTCCTGCCCATTTGCCAAAGAGTGGCAACCGCTGGATAAGACGCCAGAGACGCAATATTTCCACTTAGTGACCGGTACTTTCTGCGCGCTTTTGCACAATTCTGGACATGATCTCCGGGGTCGTCGGGGTGAGCACTGCCTGTAACCCCGCAAGCCGATGCCTTCTGCCGTCGGTCGGCTCACTTGCTGACCGCCGTACCTTGCATTCTCCATATGCGTTCTCCATATGCGGGCTGGCAGTTCGTTGGGACCAACAACAAGATGCGGCGGGCATATCTTCATACTAGGCAAGCAGCTAGTATCAATCTTTTTTCCAGACCTTTTTTTTTCTCTGTCGGCCCACCTAATATTCGACAAACTCTCCAAGGAAGAAATTTAAAAGCCGGATATCCGCAGCGAACCCTGGAACCAACGGTTCAACACCGCACGTCTTCATCTTGGCGGTGGGAACCGCGCGGGGGTGTCATCAACTAATTTGTAGTCTTGTACAAGGGTCGCGGCGCGGGAGACCCACATTCGGGATTGTTCCGGCCTCCCGATTTGCCTTGCTGGGCTCGCCGCATCTCCAGCTCCCCCTGCCTGCGCTTGACTCGTGAACCCCTTGACGGGACGGACCTGGACATCCGCGAAACTTTAATCCTTGAGCAACCGGGAGGGTTTCTACAGGCAAGGTCGGAAGCCCTCAGATATCACAAAAAAAAAGTTCTGCGGCTCATTTTATTTCATGCTTGCGACGCAGCTCTGGGGTGATTTGTTACGTGTCGTATCAAATGGTACGGGATAGCGCGGGAATACGGGCGTCTTGGAGGAGGTGGGGGAAACCGATTGATTGATGATCGATCAGAGGTTCGCCCCAGGCCTTGCTCGGGGCAAGGAAAAGCGAGGAGAAACTTTGAGAATAGATGAACATGTGGAATACGAGCAGTGACTTTAATGTGTGTCTTGCATATGGGGGTAGTTTTGCAAAGTTGCGAGGGTCTCACAGACGCAAGATCTTGAAAGTTGAGGGAGTGTCGGCCAGGGGAAGGGGGAGGGGGCCATGAGACAGATCACGACCAAGTTTGGTTTGCCTCTGGTTCTGTCTCTGACTGAGACACAGGTACCATACAAATGTACACAACGCTCCGTTCGGCGAAGCTTTGCTTCGGAGCCGGATCTCCAGGGGAACAAAGCCATATTCCAAAAAGCCATCGCCGACACCAAACTATGTCATACCTTGCCATAACGTCAAGACTCCCTTTCCCCCCACGCGCATGGTGGCCACGAGCTTGAGCTTCACATCGAGCCGACTAGTGAGCATGCATGCGGCAAAGTGCGACAAAGTCTCCGTCAAACGACGCTGCAAAGCCTTCCCGCCCGGCTGGGCTTTCCTTTGATCCCCTAGGCGTCGCGCCGAGTAGCCTAGTGTATTTTGTACAGACTACTACGGATCCAGTAGGTAGGGAAGGGGGCATTGTTGGAGGGAGAAATCGCCAAATTATGCCCCGGGTACATGTGGAGACGTGGCAACCGAATCTTTTTCCAGCAAGCCACTCGCGCAATTTCGACGCCTCGCTCATGCAGTGCCGACAACAGAACGGAAAAGTGATGCAGCAAGGGTCTGCCACATCGCTACCTAGGTTCGGAGACGGGGTTTTGTAACGTGGAGAAAAGGGTGAGCCAAAATCGACTCTACCTTTCTGTATCTAGTGTGGTATAAACTGGTGTGGCTGTCCTGACCTTGACTTTAAGGGAGGTCGGCGGTCCCAAATTTTGATATCACTCCCCCCCGTTCTCTTTCTGCTGGGCTACTTGCTTGTCGACGTCAAACGTCCCTGGCCCATCATGACCGGCTGGACGTACAACGCTCCCGACGATGTACCGACTGATGGACCACGAATAGCGGCAGTGTGCCTGACTTTCACCAGCCTTGCGCTCTTGTTGGTCTGTTTGCGTTGGTATGTTCGGACAACGCTGGTCAAGGCGGTTGGTTATGGTACGTTGATCGGACCGCTTTGAGCTCCTTCCACCCCCCTCGTGTAGGCCAGGGGTCTATCGCACAGGGCAAGACTGATAATAAACCTCTAGATGACTGGGCAATCATTGTTGCTTGGGTGAGTTTTTGCCCAAAGTCTGCTTTTGCTCTTGCGCACCCATAGTATATTGACCAGCTCTTTTTTAGCTCGGAGCTTGCGGCTACACAGTTTGCAGTGTAATTCGTATGGATCCCTTTCCAACCCAGGTCCTTCAACACTGGGACCTAACAGAGAAACAGAGACGAAATGGGGCTTGGGAATCACCAAACTTGAGAACATGCCTGCACAGAATGTGCTTCCTTTCGGCAAAGTAAGAACAGAGCAAAACTATCCTCTGGTAGGCCATTACTGACAATCAATCCACAGCTTCAGTTCATTGGCGGCCCATTGTAAGTACTTTGAAGCATGGAAAAAAGTAAAACAACAAGATAATACGGACTCGGCTAACGACGCACGTTAGCTACGTCCTTGGCATCTGGGGCTTCAAGATGAGCCTACTGTTCTCCTACTTGCGATTTTTCCCTGCTGGCGGCTACAAGATTGGCACCGTCATAGTCGCGGTGGCGTGTTCGATGGGACACATTGCCTTCATCTGCGTCTTTTTGTTTCTGTGCACGCCGGTAGGTCCTTTCGACGCCCCGTCTGCTAAGGCTAGCATGTCGACTAATACGTGCATGTGGCCAGATCGAGAAGCAGTACGATCCGTCAATCCCAGCAGACGTGGGCTACTGCGTGGACTCGATTACATTCTACCTAACATTCTCGTCATTGACTATTGTCTTTGACGTAATCATGTAAGTTCCGATTCCAATGTTCCGCAAAGATAAAAGAGCCCCGTTGCTGATTGCAAATTCTAAACCCCCCCTCCAGAATGTTCCTCCCATTCCCCGTCATCCTCAGATCACAAATCCAAAAACGCAAAAAGATTGTCCTTCTCACCCTCTTCATCCTCGGCATCTTTGTCACAATCATCCAAGCGATCCGAATCCAGACGATCAAAAACCTCGTAAACTACCTAGACTCGGCCAAGTCGATCCAGTGGTCCGTCATCGAGACCTGCTTCGGCATCATCATATCGTGCATCCCGACGCTGGCACCCATGGTCAAGTACTTTGCCGAGAGGAGCCGGAACGCCGGCAGTACCGGCGGCGGCGCCGGCGGCACCTCGCGGCCAAAGAGCTCACGATACGTGCTGCAGACCTGGGGCACGAAGCGCAGCGGGATGCAGCCTCTGGGGACCGGGATCGATCGGGACGCCGCGTCCGTCAGCGGGGGCAGCTTGACGATGAAGCCGGAGGATAGTACCGAGAATATACTCGATCCGAGCAGTATCACCAAGAGGCCGGCGCTCCATGCTGCGACGCCGAGCGAGCCGGAGTCGTGGTCAGATAAGACGGATAAGGAAAGGAATCAGGATGTTTGAGGAGAGAGAGAGGGAAAAGGGGGGAGGGAAAAAGGGGGGGGAGGAATGCCGCCAAGGCTTCATATGATACCATTTGAACTATTCACAGCAACTAGCAAGCGTATTCTCTAGCATTCAAGGCTTCGAAGGAGCTCTTCTTCAAAACAACGTTTCTCTAATGACCGCGTCTTCTTCGACACTTGGAAGCCCTTACCGCGTTCCATTAGAGATTGCTGTGGCAAGGCATGCACTTGAAATCATGCCATCGAAAGGGAGAAGCTTGCGGGTCCCACTTGGACCCCTGATATGGGTACGGGAACGATCCATGGCCTCTGCCGTTGCAACCATATCGCGATGCTCCATGGTGACAGGTGGAGACCGGAAGATCACAAGGGCAATGCAAAATTCAATACACGTAGATATTCCCCAGCCTCCAAATGATTGCCAACGTTTATGAAGTATCTGCCAGATTTCTATTCTTTTCAAGGCTGTATTCTCTCAAACGCGTACCCCATCGCGTTCTACTACGGTCTTGGGGGTTTGATTAACTCCTCTTGCTGAGACGTCCGCTCTTGAGTTGTTATCGTAGTAATGCAAGATCTCAAATTAGGGGAATCAGGAAAAGTGCCCTACACCTTATAATGGAACTCCTCGTCTTTAATTCTTCTACGAACAAGGTTTTTCTTGTACGCAAGGCCTCTATGCAAATTCCGAAAGTTGACCCGAATCAGTCATTTCAAGTGTGTATTACAGCCATTTTCCTCCTCCCAGTTGCGTCTGAGGTACTTGCTGCACAAAAACTTGAGCTGATCAAATGGGCAGAATATCTATATCCCTCGAACAAGATATCTAACGTCGAAACTTGAAATATCAAGTCCAGAGAAATGCTACAACATGGTAGAAGCATCTAAAATTTGCCATCATATCGTCCAACTGGCGGGTGATGGCTGGCAAGGAGAAGCATGCCTTGGCTCGATCTAGACGATATCGTAGCCTCCACTTCACTGGCTAAACTGCAAGAGCATTCCAAAAAGTAGGTGCCGCTCAAATCGTCTCGTTCAAAGAGCATTGAGGGTTTTCAACAGCAGATTCATCAAAGTTATCAAGTACGTGAAGTGATTCAAAAATATAGAAAAAGCACAAACTAGGGCTATACAGTATGATAATTCACACCATGCATAACAGGCCACAGCCCTAAAATTGAACCCGTTGACTAGTCCAGCTTGAATTACATGCTTTTCGAGAACCTAGTTTGACTCAAGTTTCCTAGGTAATCGAATCATCTAGAGCTTCTTCAATCATGATTTAATTCACTAGGTCTGATTTGTAAAATCTTGATGTCATTAATAAGGTGTTGTGGTACTGCATTCTCTGGTTGCTTTCACTCATATACCTCCTAGCGAAAGCCCACTTCCTACCATTGTTCAAACTGAAGCGCCTTGTGTCCTCGTTTCTGTCTTTTACTCGTTTGAAAGATCTCATATTGACCGTCTGGATCATTAGGAATAAGCAAACACCAAAGACTCGCATTCGTTCTTTCCAGATCACTGGCTCGGCTGATCAACTAGAAATGTGCCTTCGAAGTACCATGTCACTTGTTCACTAACAAAATCAAGATGCATCTTGATTCCAGTGTGCTAAGCAATGCAGTAGGCCACCTCAATAGAGCCGTCATAATTCTCAAACGATGGGGACTACAAGTTGAGTCTTTCTTGGTTAATTCGAGACTAGACTCTCACAAGTCTCCCGCGGCTAAGTAAAACAACAAACAATGAGTCTGCTAGCCTTGGCCAGGGCTAGCTCCTACCTTGTCGCAAAGCTACGACCTGCGTGGTTAGTAGTTGGCGCGTTCTGATCGACTGTATACGTCATAAAATCTGCCCACGTTCCATTGTTGTTCAGATGACCACCCGATGCAGGGAGGGTCGTGCCATCGTCTGTTCTCAGCAGGCTGCTTTGGGGAGAATTAGGGACCTGAGTAGATAAGATGGAATAAAGTCAATTCGTATGCGCGGCTAACTCCTGCGACAAATCATCCGTAAACGTTATAGAAAAAAGGATTCGTGTATATAGAACGCCCGCATTCCATTCTGGGAGAAAATCATCAGACCATGGGCGCGTATGTCAACACCAGAAAGATCAAATAATATCAAACACCCCCATGTTAGACCGTTGCCAAAACAACAACTCATTAATTGAAAATGTTCGCGCACAGCTTCGCACAAATGCCAATGCTATATGACGCAACAAGGTATGAGAAAGATCGAAGGTCGAGAATCCAAAAATTTCAAAAAAAAAACCGCCCGCTCCCCGGTGGCGGAATGCGATGCGTTACTTTGAGCAATTGTTCCCCATCCCCGATACCTAAACAACACCGTTCGAGCGGCGGCCACGGGATGATTCGATGCTTTGGTGGGATTCTCTCCTCGCGGACGTGACCGAGAAACGTCTCGAAATCGCATTGTCAATCTCGACGTGATCCACATCGATGTGCTTCTTGGGTACCCAGATGACCTGGATCAATCCCACAACCGCGAAGAGGGCGCAGCTGAACCAGGCCGCGGCAGAGCCGGCGAAACTGTAAATAACTCCCACGAGGGGCGGGGAGACGGTTCTTGCCAGGCAGGCACCGGACATAGCCAAACCGTTGACCCTTCCGAGGGCTTGCGACGTGGGCGTCGCGTTCTTGATCAGGATGAGCGTGACGGGGCCGATGATGATACCGTAAAAGCTCTGCATGATGAGGGAGAACCAGATGCCAGCCTCCGTGAGGCCTTCCGGGAGGGCAGACAGGAATGGCAGAAATAAGTACGCCGTCGGGTATACGACAATCATGGAAATGAAGGAACCCCAAACACCGACGCGTTCTACAAAAATGGGAAAAATGAGGCCCTGGATGAGCAGTCCCAGGATGCCATTGATGGCCAGATAGACACCCACGTCAGGGAGAGAGTAACCCAGACCGCCGCGTAGATCGAGGTGTCCGCGCGGGTGCTTCTTGTCCGAAGGGTCGTCGAGCAGATACGTAGGCAAAAGCGTGCCGGCGGCCATCTGATGGTACGAAAAGATGATGAAGGCGATGATTAGCATGACAACGGTCTTGTTGAACGTCTTGACCTTCTTCTGTCCCGTCGCTTGGGCGCGAGAGTTTAAGAGGTGTTGCCGCAGGTCTTCGGGTACGACCTTGATCGAGTGTACCGTTCCAAAGGAAGACCTCCTGAGGTCAAAGTCGTGCTCGAATGGTAAGGGCAAGCTCGATTCGGCGAAGCGCGGTCGCGAATGGCTAGTCGAGATCGAGCGACGCGGGTTGAAGGTCCGGATGGGTGCGCGGCGCAGGGGTGTGGTCTCGTCGACGGCGTCATCATCATCAACGGCGACGCTGTTGCGGCCGTGGTGGTGTTGGTCTTCCTCCTCGAATTCGAGAGTCTCTTCCAAGAAGAAAATGCCTTGGAGTACGGCAAGGGAGATTGCTACCATGGAGACGAGATTAGGAAGTAAATACGGATTCCGGCCGAAAAGGCCGTCCTGAGAGAAAACCGAAGGGTAGTAGACGGCGGGTTGGGCGAGGAAACCACCCATGGCAGAGCCAATAATGCCGCCCAGTGTCCACACGAAGGGTTGTACGGCGTAGGCCTTGGCTGTTCCCCAACAAAAAAAGTAAAATTGTCAGTACGCTATCGTTCGCCGCGACTTGCGCCGATAATAACATGGGCAGAGAGAGACTCACGCTCATGGTCTGGATTCTTGACCATTTCGGCGACCATGGTCTGCATGACGGAAACGTTGCCATTGAGGGCGCCACCGACGAAGCGTGCCAGCAGAGCGACCCAATATGTCTTTGCGAAACCAAAAATCAAACTCGAGATGGCGACACCGACCAAGCCAAACAGGACGACGGGCTTGCGACCGATGCGATCGGACAGCGTGCCCCACCCCATCGAGGTGATGGCTTCGGCCACGGCGTAGGCGGAGATCAAGAGACCAGCGTAAAAAGCGGCATCTTGTTCATCGATGCCGAGATCCTTGACCATGAAAAAAGTGTAGGCCAGAATGGAATTGAAGGCAATGGGCTCGGAGAATCGACATATCGCTGTGGTTTATGACGCGCGTTAGCCCACACTGAACGGCAATGATAAGAAGCTTATCTGACTTTCTTCTGGGGTTGCGATGGAGGGTTGGGCGTACCAAGAACGGCCAGTTGACGGGTGGGAAAGGCTTTGGGGTCTTTTCTTTTTGATTGAGGCATGGTATCGTGAGTGGCTCCTCTCTCTGAGTCTTGGTGTTTCTCGGGTTTCTCCTACACTATCAGCCTGGAATGTAGGAGCGAGTCGGTTGTATGGGTTGTATGGGAGAAGCAGAAGGAGGATGACGATTTTGGGACCTTGTAAATTAATGCGGGGTCGTGGAGAGAGGTTGGGGCCTTTGGGGCCTTTGGGGCCCTTTGGGGCAGTTGGTAATGGGCATTTGGGGGGAAGGGCTTGGGACTTGGGAGGCAAGCATGCTGTTTAGTGCCTAGGTGAAATAACGGCATTGGCGGCCCGCGACACCGACCCACCCAAATGCATGCACCTCACCGCCTGACCGGTTCATGATCGGCGCTTGACCGTTGGCCACACAAGTGCAGGGCGTCCCTCCTTGTCTAGGTTTTTCGCTTCCCATGCCTCCCCACGTTCATCGTGACATGTCGTCATATCGAGTGCCGTGAAGCCCTCGCGGGGGGGGGGCTGGAGGGGGGGAGGGTCCATCCGAACGGAACGGATGAATTATCTCATCGGACGCTTGCAGTCCACAAAAGACAAGCCCGTTGTTTGAACCAAATGTATTCGTAGTGTAGTCTATGTGGTTAAAGTCCGGGTTCCTTTGAGGCTGCGGCAAGACATGGCGGATTCGGAGCTTAATCTGGGGAACTTGACTCAGGTTGGTGTTACCGTCGCACTTGGCGCTTATTGAAATACCTGCCGCTGCCCGCTCGAGGTGAGGTCATGCACTGTGATAGAGACACCTACACCACCACAGTTGATGATCTCACCCTCGCCTGCAACCCATATCAAACTGATTTGCGGCTTTGCGGCTTTGCGTCTTTGCGGCTTTGCGTCTTTGCAGCTTGCCCAACTCAACCTTAGCTCAGACTCTCCTTTTCTTAGTTAACAAAGACTAGCGATGAGGCTCGTCTCACGAGCTAGTAGTGCGACGGTCAGGAATGTCCTTGTCTTGCTCGCATTCGGTATAGACACGGCAGACTGGTCAAAATTGGAGTCTGCGTTGGTGTCTCATCGGCTGACGGGGTGCCTTTTTGTGTAGTTTCCGGAGCCGAATCTCCTGCCCTTTCGAGTCTACTGCCCACCTACCCTTTAAAGCCTCCTTCCATTTTGGAGTCGTTGGAGACCTCAGACTGGCGGTGTGCTCACAATCTCAATCTAACTCACCTCCAAATTTAGCTACCGAGCAATTGAGCGCTAAATCCCATCGACCTACATTAGGTCAGACGTCGTCATCTTCTCAGACACCCTCCCCTGAATCAACGCCATCAGCGATGAACACATTCAAAGCGTGGTATTTGTTGATGTTCCTCGCAGCTCTTTTCCCGCAACGAGACTCCTCGCCCTCCCCAAACTGAGTAGCGACTGTTCCTCCACTCGTTCATCGGCGAGTACGGGGACTTCGCCGACTATGGTGAAGCCGAGCACTTTTGGATATGAACATTTCCACTCAAACACTAGAGTAATTCAGATGCACAGCTCGACGCGGGCAGTCAGCCAACAGCTTCCAACAATGTCTGTGAATGCGGTCACGCTGTCGTAAGACCGAGAGACGCGGGACTCAGCTCGCCGGTTCCATTTCCATCACGTGTGATGCGGCCTGCGTCTTCAGAGTCCAAAATCCCTGCTGGCCGCACCGCACCAACTGAAGAGTTTCTCTCATGCGAGTGGCCTCGGCGAGAAAGTGATCGCGAATGATAGGCACGCAGTTTCCAGGTCCTCTAGCTCGTCGACGTTTTTGTGACTTGAGTTTCATTAAAGTTGGGTGCAGTCGTGACGGAGAATTTGGGTTCTTGGTAATGGCCCGAGTGCAACCACACACTGGGGTACGCTGCAAGGACCTTGAACCTAGCGGTTAATGACCAGTACGCCTCTGTCAATCTTAATCCATTCGTATAAGAAACACTTTAACTTCTGCACGTAGCTGCAATCCAGATACAAGGTTCCAAACCAATTTGGCTCACTGTGGTCCGAGTCCAGGATGATGAAAACTAGCTTCAGACTGGCCATGATTTGCAACTTAATCTCACAGCAACATACATCTTGCGATCAAATCTCAACAGCAGAGGATTGGCTTGTGAAATGAGTTCAAATCTCAACAGCAGAGGATTGGCTTGTGAAATGAGTTCAAAAGCACACTTTTTTGTATGCCATAAGAACGCTGTGCGGCTTCACGTTGCCAAGCGCGAACCAGCCCCTTGCCTTCAGTCTCGCATCGCCATTGTCTGATGGAGGGATACTACGACGGCAAGAAACAAACAAGGAGAAAGATACAATGGCGGAATAATCCAAATGGATGTTCAATTCTCAACAGCTTTCTTCAAGTACTCTGGGCTCTCTCTGCTCTCTTTATCACCGTTGTTTATCCCACAAAGCTTTTAAGAAGGGATCTTTGCCACCGAGGATGGCTGCGCAGTCATCACGAAAATTGACAGACCACCAGCGAAAAAAGAGTTATACGTATAGATTCGATGCATTGGGACAGGCTGGCCGGTCAAGACCCGAGAGCTTGTATACCAAAACGGCACCGGTAGGGTTAGGCAAGGAGCCTTCCGCGTGTCCTGTCTAAAAGAAAATGCAGGTAGTGTGTACAGGTCCTAGTCCACCCTCCCGCCTCGAGGAGAATGAAGCCTCCCACCGTAGTAGCGAGGGTCTGTGCCAGTAGACCCCAGTTCATACTCGTCTTACCTGGTATCTGTTCTTTCTCGTTGCTTCGGTAAATTGCTGGGTTTTGCGTTGTGGCTAACCAAAAGTTCTCCTTCTCTGCACTTGTTCCAGGGGTCTTTGGCGATTTCTGGCGTTGAGGGTTTGCGTTGATGCACATCTGAATGGTTCGTCCCAATGACCCTAGACGGCACCGCTAAGCAGGGGCCAGGGTATGGGTGGGACAGATGGATAACGCGGGGAAGCCTGAGGGACAAGGGTTGAAAATTTCGAGGTGACGAGAGTTTCGGGAGCCCGATGGATTCTTTTCTCTGTTGGACTAGAGTATTGTTGGATTGGAGAGGAGATGGTGGTCCAGATCCGGTAGTGTGAGATGGCATCTTCATGGCTTCCATCCTTAGCTTCGATGCCATCACATCTCAAACCTTCCAATCTGACCAATTGGCAAGCTTCCTGACCCGTCGTCGTTGAAAGCTTCGTCTTGGCCGCGCATTGTGTGTACCAGCTTCTAGTGTCGCCATCACTGCGGTCAGTCTCTGCGGTTCGAGATCAATCGACGAACCTCCATCTCGCTCTGGAGGCCCGTCGTATAAGCACCCGCTCGATCCCTTGATTGCCTGCATCCTAGTCCCATGTTTGATCACCGTTCATCAGCCCACATCATCGACACACAGCCATCCCAATCAAGACATGTTGGGGCACACACGTCCAACCCGATCCTGCTCCCTCCTGTACACTCGCCGAGGGGTTCATGAACACCATCATCTCAACCACAATGGCCCGGCAACCCAACATGCCGTTTGCAAACTCTCCTTGAATCGCCCTTGTCGAATTTCTTTGGCGCCATTTCCTGCACTGGGAGAAGGACACCCCGAGGGATCGATCGGTCACCATTTGACTCGGGTTACTCGAGCTTCTCAAAGTCCGAACTTTTGTGCAGTTCAGTGTGTGCAGGGATTCGATGTTTGCCTTGGCCCTTTCACTACCTTATCGAAAGGAAAGAGGGGGAAACGCTGTCTCCTTTCTCTTTGAAAGGGACATCATCCGCGGATGTTAGTGTGCGCCGCTGAGTTTGCTCGCTGCCATTGAGTCCGCTCGCTCCAGAGTCCAGAACCCCAACGCCCATGGTTGTGACCGCGAAGAGATACTCCCTCGATGGACTTATCAAACATGGCAAAGGCTTCGAACCAGAAGACTCTTACACGGTTGCGAATGATCATCTATAAAGACAACCATTAGATCTAGCAATGTTGCAGCATTTTCCTTCCCTCTTCACCCGTGCCAACTCAGACCGAGGGAGCAGAAAAGTAACAGCCAATTGATCTCAACGAGTCTGTGACTCGTCCAATTACTCAACCCCTAGTCAGACCGCCTCCTTCGAATTCCTACCCACGAAATTCTCACCCCACCGCTCCCACCACCATCATCATGAAGTATTTCGCAGCCATGGTCATCCTGACCATTGCCGCCGACGCCATTGCTGTCGCCCTCCCCGGTGCAATTACGTACAACTGGCCGGGTAAGGGCATCGGCTGGTGCCAAAACGTCGGCCAAGCCTGCTGGAAAGCCAAGGAGAAGCGCGCAGCCGAGCTGAAGCGCGAAGCCGTCGTCCTTGGTCAAGGGTGGTGCCAAAGCGTCGGCCAGTCTTGCTGGAAGGACAAGACCAAGACGAAGCGGGAAGCCGAGGCAGACCCGTACGACTGGCCGGGCAGGGGCACCGGCTGGTGCCAAAACGTAGGCGAGCCCTGCTGGAGGGTGAAGCGCGCCGCCGACACCTTTGCCGTCGCCCTCGCAAAGGACGACCTCGTCATCGAGCGGGACTCGGCCGAGGCTCTCGTCTCCCACGCCCAGGGCGGCGCCGCCTTCATGGCCAAGCGCGCCCTCAACGAGCTCGCCGACGTCGTTGCCGCCTCCCAGGACGACCCCTTCTTCTACTACGGCGGGCTGGACCTCAGGAACCACTTTGCGGACGACACGTCCGAGCTCGCGCGCCGCGAGGCCGAGGCCAAGGAGGGCTGGGTCGAGAATGTCGGCCACCCGGACGAGAAGCGCTGGTGCAGTTTGCCGGGCGCGCCCTGCGCCATCGCCAGGCGAGCGGCCGAGGCCCTCGTCGATGCCATCGAAGGCGTCGGCGAGGTTGCGAACCGGGGAAACGAGACTGCCCAGGCCGGAGTCCCGCCCGACGGAGGGCGCTGCCAAAGTATCGGCCAGCCTTGCTGGAAGGCGAGAGTCAAGCGCGAACCCTTTTGCACCAGCTATGATCAGGGCTGCTGGACGCGCTCGGCGGACTCGGCGGCGTGGAAAGCTTCCCGCGACCTGAAGGCCATGAAATCTGCCGCTCGAGACCTCCTCGAGGCCGTTGCCTAGGAATATGTTGCTGTTACTCCCCTCCTCGTTACCTCCTGTCAAAAGACATTTGACTGAGGGGATTTTGACAGCAACCACTGCAAATCTCCACGCCAACTTTGACAGAGCTTCTTATCCTTCTCTTGTGCAATATTGTAATATTGGCTTGCGAGCCGGGGTTTGACAAAGAGAGGTGGAGAAAACGACGACCCAAACACGAACACCAACATACACTTGTTTCCTCTTCTGATAATGGGCTACTTGCCGCCGATTAGACGCAGGATGTTGTCTTTTTGTTTTCATATTTGTATAGGTGATGGGGGAGAGAAACTCCTGGCGCCTATTTCATGTTGAACTATAGTGATCAGGCCTCATGCTCGACACTGAACCTTTCCGCGAGGTGACGAGGGGGTTGGCGACTGAGTCCTCCAGATCGAGACACTGGCCTCGTTTGTGTGGAAGAAATGGAACATAATTAATGCTTGAAATCTTGTCCGATGATGGGTGACGTGCCTGTTAAATTTGATGCAGGTTAACCGGTATCAAACTGGCGAGTCTGAGGCGTCTTGGATCTGCGTCGTGCAAGCGTCTGATCGTCTTTCACAAGATGAAGAATACCATCAGGGTCAACGAAAGCAGTACGCATTCCTTTGCGATAGTCAGACCAGACTTTGCGAGACTGGTCGTCAACTCTGGATTTATGGGCTTGGCCATGGTGCGTTGACGAATCTCCAGGACCTAGGAAGGCTGCTCATCAAATACTACTGATCAAAACATTTACAATGGTCGAATGCATGTACGCTCAATCATTGCGGTCCCCCTCACGTGCCCGTAGGCCGAGGGGCACCGCACCCAAGATTGTTCGCTTCCTTCTCCATTTCGATCTCCGAGTCCGATGGTCCTGGGTCCAGCCTAAAAGGCGAACCTCTCACCAGACGTTTTTTCACGAGAACCTGAATGTTTTATTTTGCGTTGTTCAATAATGAAGAAGAAAAGAGGAAGCAGAGCAAAGATGCGCTGCGCGGGTCGAGTTTTGTAGACGCGGCGAGAAATTTTTGGGGGTATTTGCCTCAGGCAGCCAACGATCCAAATGGGCGGGCACGAGCCGGCTGGGACTGATCAAGGCAAGAAGGGTCCTTGCCCCCTGTCCTTCAGTGTTTGACACCCGCGGCCGGTCTTCGGCAAGCTGCGCTCCCAAGTGGGTCAGCTGCAACGACATGCCGTCACTGGGTGCTAGTTATTCCAATCTCCCGCGCTGCTCCAAGATAATCTCCCCTGGGAATCGGCATTGCACCTCAACCACCAACACAGCAAACCCAAACACGAGATGGCCAAACCAACAATAATGGCCGTAGACGCCCTCCCGAGATTTCTGCTTCCTAGACTCAGCTGGACTGGTCCCTGGACAGCATCTCAGGCCCTACGACCTCTTTCGGCAAACTCTCCGAGCTCGCGCCGCCGGATGCACACCCGAACTGATGGTTTCCACGAGTCGAGTGTGCCGGCCAAATGCCGCAAGAATGGCTTCAATACCAAGCGTGGCTCGATCTTGGAGAGCCCGGGCCTCTCCAGGTCCTTCCATGCGACTCCTACGAGGCAACGAGACCACCACTTTGATACATTGAAGTTCGTGCAACGGCTGAGGAGCGAGGGCTTCACGGAAGTGCAAGCCGAGGCCACGATGAAGGTCCTGAATGATGTAATACAAGAAAGGTAAGCGATGCGCCCTCAGTCAGCGTGCCATCAATCTCACAGCAGTGCAGCATACAGAACCTCACCCGAACCATGGTCCTCCGCGAAGACGCCGCCAAGGCCACCTACACCCAAAAGGTCGACTTTGCGAAGCTGCGCTCCGAACTCCTTTCCGCCGATAGCACCGAGTCGAGCACGACGCGCGCATCCCACGAGAAACTTGGCAACGATATTGCGAAGCTGAGCTCCCGGCTGCGCGACGAGATCGGCCGGACACAGGCCAGCGTCCGCCTGGACCTGAATCTGGAGAAGGGTCGCATCAGGGAGGAGGCTGTCGGCCAGGAGCTCAAGATCAAGGAGACGGAGACAAAGATCGAACAGGAGGTGGCGGCGCTGCGCGAGAAGCTTGAGCAGGTCAAGTTCCAGACGCTGCAGTGGCTGATGGGAGTGTGTACCGGTTTCGCCGCTCTGCTTCTTGGTGCCTGGAGGTTGCTCATGTAGATGGAGCCCGGCCTGGGCACGTTGTCGTAAGTCGCGGGCGGCAGTTCCAGTCGGAAATGAAAGGAAACACTGCGTTGTGCAAACGCATCGTCGTGGCGCCTATCTACTGGGCTTCCCGCCTCGTTTCATATTCTTCAGTAGCTACCTTGTTCTTCACGAAAAGGTTTTTGTCCTGACTGTTTCCGCCTTCCGGAGGGCGGGCCAAAGTTTCGTGGGCAGGGAGCTTGTCTTGTACGTTGTAAGAGGATCCTCAGTTGCATCTGTCAGATAGAAATTTACTGAGTCCCCAAGACAAAGGGACCCGCCATCAAATGAAACATTTATTCACCACGTTGGCAATCTGCCGAATGTTTTCTTTCGGCATCTTCCAGATCATTGTTTCCTCTAGTTTCTCTATAATACTCATCGACGCTTCCGCCGCATCTAAATATCTCGTCCTCTCTCTCTTCCGTCGCCGGATTTACAAATCCTAGCTTCTTCACAGCTCATTCGTACCTCAATTTATCAAAGAGCCGGAAACGCGAACAACGTGATTGATTAACCCCCGAAAAGCCTCAGACTCAGATATCCCAACAACAATGGAGGCAGAAATGGCTGATGAGACCCCTGCCCATGAGGAAATGAAGCTTACTGAAGCTACTTTCGACGTGAAGGTAGGCACCGTTTGCTTGCCCCTGGCTTTGATACGCCGGGCGGGCATGCTCAACTTTTTGGATCTTTTATCTGACATGCTACATAGACAGCCCCCGGTTACATGGAAAACACCTATGTTGGTCACCACTCTTGGCTTGCGTAAGTCACACATTCCTGAGAATTGCTATGAGTGCACGTCGACTGATTCTTCTGCAGATCATGGTTCCCGTACAATCCCGAACACATCACGATCTACTTGGGCTCGGGCGCGGATGACATTCGCTGTTCCATCCCTGAACCCATCATTGTCGAGAGTTTCTCCTATCTCGCCGCCTGTTGCAAGGCACCCATATCTCGGGAGGGGCATGAGACTGGTCGAGTGTTCGAAATCAACCGTGATGAAGCTAACGCCTTTGGTCTCATCATGAGCTTTCTCATGACGTGAACTTTCCCGCAGCATCCGGATTCAACTGTGCGATCGGTGCCGGATATGATTGACGACCTCATCACTGCCTTTGACATGTCCATTTGGATAGGCCTGAACTGTGGTTCGTCCTTTGAACGTGCCGTCTGCCTGCGTGTGCGGCAGTTGCTGCTTGGTGATCGAATGGCGTTGCGCACGGCGTCCATTGCCAAGCAGCACAGGACCGCTGACGAGGATGATCGCGAGGACTATGAACAGCTTATAAAGGTCTTTGCGCAGGCGGCAGTCAGGCCTTGGATGTATTGCTTGGCTATTGAGAAGACGAATGCACCCAGCGCTCGCTACACCGCCGCCTTTGAAAGACTCGGCAACGACCCGGAGTGTCTGTTGGGTTTCCATACGTTCTACGACATTCTGATGGACGACCACCAAGATTTCGCAGCCGACGTCATGGCACAGGTGCGTGTGACCATGGATGATAGCAGGCGCATCAACTCGATTTCCACAGGTGAGTTTGATCCACGGGCAACAGAGATCTTAACCAAGCACTAATCTTATCATAGACACTCAAGATGGCGACAATCAGTCTGTCCATAACCTGCCCACGTCCGTCGACCATGTCATTTATAGCGATCCTCTCGTGCCTGCTGAAGGCAACGTGAGACCTCAATTCTTCAGGATTTGAAACTCATCTTTTTCCGCCAATATGCTAAGCAGTGGGCCAGTTAGTAAGTGATGGTGAGGTGATTTTGGTAGACAAGGATGATTGGACTCTGCTGAATGCCAATGGAAAACCCGGTGGCAAGCTGTCATGTTATCTCGACTACCTTACGTTGCCACACTGTATGAAACCATCCACTCTTGCTATATTTCTTTTGAGTCTGCAAATAGTCATGAATTTCACACGATTGATGGACTCTGAACAGAGCGAACTTCAGCTCCTAAGTTCAATGAACTCGGTGTCCCGATCTCTTATGAGGGTCTCCTTCCCCGGCTTTACTGGCTTTGGGGATCAACCTGAGCGGGATTCAGCTTTCAAATGAAGTCACACAGTCCCAATCTTTTTTAAATAGTGTTCTTCGCGATAGGCAAGGTAAAGCAACCGGAACTCAAGCAATGATTGTGGGCCAAGCCGGTCGGGTCGCCAGAGCTGGTAAACTGCTTATGTCATCCCGCATCCGGCCAAACATGCGTCCGGGCAGGAAGCAGGAACCCGACCTGACCTGGAAACGGACACCTCAGCAAAATTACCACGTGACAGGACCTTGCCCATCCAGTGAAGAGCCAAGCGCACGGGCCAGGCTGGTCTCAATTGGCTGAAGACAACAAGGAGCGACAGGAGCAAGCCTGGAAGCCTGGCAAGCGTGAGCGTGGGAAGCTGGCAGCAAACCACAGACCTCAGGCGTCGCGCACCCGGCTCAGTGCGCAACAACCTGGCACTGGCAGCAACGAACCGGACAGGCAACGTAAGGTATCCGTACTGCACCTAAAATAATCTCCAACCTTCCACCTCACCACAAGCGAACTACGTATCCCGTACCCATCTTTCCCATTCCTCCCACCACCACCACCCCAAACAAACACCATCATCAACGTTTGCCCTCCAGATCGCCATCGCTGCGAGGTGCATCGCTACCCCGTATTTACGCCTTCTCATTACCGCTCTTTGTTTCCTGTATTAATTGCCTTTTGCGCATTCAGTCGGGTCGCAAGGAAGCTATCCCCAGCTCCTACTCCTTTCTCTCCAACATACACCACACCACGTCGCCGAATCTACGAAATCCCGCGACACCCGACCAGCTGACCACTCCGAATCCGCGAGCTGACACCGCCTAGCTGAGGAGCGCAACTTCGTTTCTGGAAGCTCCTTGTCACAGATAACGCCAGTCATGGCGCCACTACCGATCAAGTTCCAGGAGCTGATCCAGCTTCAGACAGCCGGTGTCGAGGACTCTTCGATCGGCTTCAACTCCTGCGTGAGCCATCTCCGCCCGCCCATCATACCGCTCAGTGGCATCATCATGACTGACTTGCTCTCTTCCAGACACTCGAGTCAGATTCCTATGTCTGCATTCGGGAAAAGAAGAACGAGGCTGCCCAACCCGAAGTGGTCATTGTCGACCTGAAGAACGGCAACAATGTCACACGGCGCCCCATCAAGGCCGACAGTGCCATCATGCACTGGACTCGCCAAGTCATCGCCCTTAAGGCGCAATCGAGAACACTGCAGATCTTCGACCTCGAGAAGAAGGCAAAACTCAAGTCCACCACAATGAACGAGGACGTCCAGTACTGGAAGTGGATCAGCGACACTACTTTGGGCCTGGTTACAGATTCAGCAGTCTACCATTGGGACGTCTACGACCCCAGTCAGGCCCAGCCGGTAGAGGTGTTCAAGCGCAATGCTAACCTCAACGTGAGTGCAATGCTTCCTCCATCCCCCGCATGTCACCAAACAGTGCGCTAAATACATTAACTAGGGCTGCCAAATCATCAACTACCGAACCAACGCTGAGGGGAAGTGGATGGTAGTTGTCGGTATCTCGCAACAGCAGGGCCGTGTGGTTGGTGCGATGCAACTGTACTCCAAAGACCGCGGTATCAGCCAGGCTATCGAGGGTCATGCTGCGGCATTTGGCTCGCTGCGCTTGGAGGGTGCCCCCGCCGACACTAAGCTCTTCACCTTCGCTGTGAGAACCGCTACTGGCGCGAAGCTTCACATCGTCGAGGTTGATCACGCCGAGTCAAACCCCGTATTCCAGAAGAAGGCCGTCGACATTTTCTTCCCTCCCGAGGCCGTCAGCGATTTCCCCGTGGCTATGCAGGTGTCTCAGAAATACGGAGTCATTTTCATGGTCACCAAGTATGGATTTATCCACGTTTACGATCTCGAGACGGCCGCCTGCATCTTCATGAACCGAATTTCCAGCGATACCATCTTCACGACCTGCCCTGACAACGAGTCTCGCGGCATTGTTGGCATCAACCGCAAGGGTCAAGTTCTCTTCGTTTCGATCGACGACAGCAACGTCATTCCCTACCTCCTCCAGAACCCGGCCAACACCGATATGGCTATCAAGATGGCATCACGAGCTGGCCTCCCCGGTGCTGATAATCTCTATGCCCGTCAATTCGAGCAACTTTTCAACAGCGGTCAGTTCATGGAGGCTGCCAAGATCGCGGCCAACTCTCCCCGCCAGTTCCTTCGAACCGCCGAGACGATCGAGAGATTCAAGTCGCTCCCGCAGCAGCCCGGTCAAATGTCCTTTGTCCTCCAATACTTTGGTCTTTTGCTCGACAAGGGTGCGCTGAACGAGCACGAGTCCATTGAGCTTGCTCAGCCCGTTCTCGCCCAGAATCGTCTCAATTTGCTGGAGAAGTGGCAAAAGGAGGGCAAGTTGACTGCATCCGAGAGACTCGGTGATCTTGTCAGACCTCATGACCTGAACATGGCCCTCACTCTTTATCTCAAGGCCAACATCCCCCACAAGGTTGTTGCTGGCTTTGCCGAGACTGGTCAATTCGAAAAGATTCTGCCCTATGCCTCCCAGGCCAACTACCAACCCGACTATGTTCAGCTCCTTCAGCATATCGTTCGTGTCAACCCGGAGAAGGGAGCAGAATTCGCTACAGCATTGGCCAACAACGAGGGCGGCTCCCTGGTCGACATTGAGAGGGTAGTCGATATCTTCCAGTCCCAGGGCATGATTCAGCAAGCCACGGCTTTCTTACTGGACGCGTTGAAGGACAACAGACCTGACCAGGGTCATCTTCAAACTCGTCTCCTGGAGATGAACCTGATAAATGCCCCCCAGGTCGCCGATGCCATTCTTGGAAATGACATGTTCTCTCACTTTGACAAGACTCGCATTGCAACACTCTGTGAACAGGCCGGTTTGGCCCAAAAGGCGTTGGAGCTCTACGAGGACCCTGCCGCCGTCAAGCGTGTCGTTGTGAACATCGCGGCCACTCCTAATTTCAACATCGACTGGCTAACCGGTTTCTTCGGCAAGCTGTCCGTCGAGCAATCGCTGGATTGCTTGGACGCCATGATCAAGCACAACATCCGCCAGAACCTGCAAGCGGTGGTTCAGATTGCCACCAAGTACTCCGACTTGTTGGGTCCCGTGCGCCTGATTGATCTTTTTGAGAAGTACAAGACTGCCGAGGGTCTCTTCTACTACCTTGGCAGCATTGTCAACCTCTCTGAGGACCCCGACGTCCACTTCAAGTACATCGAGTCTGCTACCAAGATGGGTCAGTTCAACGAGGTTGAGCGTATCTGCAGAGACAGCAACTACTACAATGCTGAGAAGGTTAAGAACTTCCTGAAGGAAGCTAGACTTCAGGAGCAGCTGCCTCTCATTATCGTTTGCGACAGATTTAACTTCGTTCACGACTTGGTCCTCTACCTGTACCAGCAGCAGCAATTCCAGTCCATCGAGACATACGTCCAGCGTGTCAACCCCAGCCGGACTCCCGCCGTCATCGGTGGTCTGTTGGATGTCGACTGTGACGAAAGCATCATCAAGAACCTGTTGTCGACTGTTAACCCCGCCTCGATTCCCATCGATGAGCTTGTGTCTGAGGTTGAGTCTCGCAACCGTCTCAAGCTTCTGTTGCCTTTCCTCGAGGCAACCCTTGCTGCTGGCAACCAGCAGCAGGCTGTGTTCAATGCTCTCGCCAAGATCTACATTGACTCGAACAACAACCCGGAGAAATTCCTCAAAGAGAACGACCAGTATGACACGCTCAGCGTTGGTAAATACTGCGAGAAGCGCGACCCCAACCTGGCCTTCATTGCCTACTCCAAGGGTCAGAACGACCTCGAGCTCGTCAACATTACCAACGAGAACGGCATGTACCGCAACCAGGCTCGATACCTGCTCGAGCGGGCTGACCGTGAGCTGTGGACGTTTGTTCTCAGCGAGAACAACATCCACCGCCGCTCTGTGATTGACCAAGTGACTGCGACCGCGGTTCCCGAGTCCACCGACCCTTCCAAGGTTTCTGAGGCCGTTGCCGCCTTCCTTGCTTGCGATCTCCCTCTCGAGCTCATTGAGCTGCTCGAGAAGATTGTCCTCGAGCCGTCACCCTTCAGCGACAACACCAATCTTCAAAACTTGCTCTTGTTCACCGCTGCTAAGGCCGATAAGGGTAAGGTTATGGACTACATCCACCGTATGGACAATTTCAGCGCGCCGGATATTGCATCAGCCTGTATCGACGTCGGTCTCCACGAGGAGGCTTTCGAGATCTTTAAGAAGACTGGTGACAAGACCTCCGCTGTTGATGTCCTGGTAGAGAACGTCGTGAGCATCGACCGTGCCCAAGCTTACGCCGAGGAGGTTGACTTGCCCGAGGTTTGGAGCAAGGTGGCCAAGGCTCAGCTTGATGGCCTGCGTGTCACCGACTCCATCGAATCCTACATTAAGGCCGATGACCCCAAGAACTACGAGGAGGTTATCGAGACCGCTGCCCGCGCTGGCAAGGACCAGGATCTCATTAAGTACCTCCGCATGGCCAGAAAGACACTGCGCGAGCCCGCCATCGACACTGCCCTCGCCTTCTGCTACGCTCGTCTGGATGAGCTCGGCGAGCTCGAAGACTTTCTCCGCGGCACCAACGTCGCCAACATTGAGGAGTCTGGAGACAAGGCCTATGAGCAAGGCCTATACCAGGCTT